TTATATTCTATTTTAAAAAGTTTAAGTATTTAAATGGATTAAAAATCATAACTAGATCTATATCCCGAGTTCCCATCCCCTGTTGTTTTATATAAGAATATTCGAGAAAGTTTAGGGGAGATCACTCCCGGTTTATTTACTGTTTGGATTTGGGAATAGGATCCGGGATGGATTAAGGCCAGTGTTGGAAGTGAAGTAAGGTCAGGGCTATGATTAGGATTAGGGATGGATTAAGGCCCGTGTTGGAAATTGAAGTAAGGTCAGGGCTATGATTAGGATTAGGGATGGATTTAGGTCCGTGTTGGGACTAGAAGTAAAAATAGGGTTAGGATTTAGGATTACAGCAGGAATGAATTAAGGCACGTATTAGGATTAGATCTAGGCCACGTTTAGGATTAGAATCTGGGATGAATTAAGGCCACTGTTAGGACCAGGATTAAAGTCTTAGGATTAGTAAATGCCAATCGCCCTATCAGTTTTTTTATATCTACTTTACTGACATAAAATGATAATTTCGTACATGTTGATTAGCCATAGATATAGTAAACAGTGATGACGCAAAAATATGCAATATTTAAAAATAGATCAAAGATAGGCGCGAGGTAGAATAGCGTAGGTCAGTGGTCAAGCAGATACAATATAATTACAATGGAATAACTGACCGAGGGGCGGGGACGGTGGACCTGTTTCAATTAATCCCCCCCCCCTCACATCGAGAGATGCATGAAAGAAACTCCCCCTTTTTAAGAAAGTTCCATTACTGTAGCGACATCAGACACCCGTATAAGTAATCTAACACCTCTGTTCAAGACGATTCCATTATTATGAGACTACTACCAGATACTGGACGACACGCACGCTACTCACGTGCTACCAAGCTCATCAGTCTGGTCACCTCAGGACAGCGCGGGACGTAGGCGACGTATTTCCTCAGCCCTTTGAACATGCTCGTCGCTTCGTAAACGATCGGCTCGTCCGATTCGTCGATGTCCTGGTAGCGATCTAAAAATAGAATGCCCGCACAGACCAGCAGAAGAGCGAGCTCAAAGAAGACACCGAGCAGGCCGCGTTTGACGATGATCCAGTTCTTCCACATCAGTACTCTGTAATGTCTGTGGAATACAATGGTTCCTCAGTTGAACATGGTTTCTTTCAGACATTTTTCTCCAAAAGAAGGGTTGGGGTGAGGGGGGTGCACGAAAAACAGGTAATTAAAATTTCCGGAGGGGGGGGGGAATCATGTACGATATTATAAAAAAAAAACAAGGTTTTAGGTTAAATGGAATTTGAGAAATATCGGACGTATTTGATGGTTTTAGTATTTTCGGAAATTAGGTTGTTTACATTTTCTCACGGGAAATTTCCATAGTATGACAGAACTAGGCCATGTGGTTTTAAAAAAAAAATTTAAAAAGTTATATCTGCAAATTACTAGGAAGTTGGCTTTTCAGAAAAATCGATCACGGAGTTTCTGTACACCTAATCAATGCTTGTCTTAAGTAAGTATAACTTCAGGTAATAATTTAAGCTTGATGAAAATATATGTAAATGTAGCCCTTTAACACAAAAAATGGGTCGTCGTGGTCGAGTCGGTAAAGCTCAAGGTTGCTAAACCGACTAGTCACGAGTTCGAAGCCTCGGGCAGATGGGGTTCATTGGCTGGGAGAGACAATTCCAAAATTAAACAACTGCTTCCTTGTAGTTTGTTCTTGGTTAGACAAAGGCGATGGGAGCAAATCCAAAAGAAAAGCATGCTGAAATCGGAGTCAATGGCCTCAATGGCGCATAACTAGTTGACACGTATACTTAATTAACGAAGAATAACACAAAAAATGCCTTCAAGTTTTGCCCATTTTGCAACTTCTATAACATTCATTTTAAAAATATTAAACTTTTAAATTTGTTTATTCAAGCTTTATTTTTTTACGGCCGCTATGAAGGCCAAGTGGATTAAAACACTTTTTTTTTAAATCCATGTCAGCAAAAATAAAGGATGGATTCTCGTCAGTTCGTTGATAGTTCGTTGATGTCCATTAACCAAAACTAAATTTAGTTTCTATATCTATTATCTAAATGCTGATATTTAAAATCTAGATCTATAGACAAATATAAATATTTGTAGATACCGATCATAATCGATGTATCGATCATAATCAATGTTTTAGTGTTGCTATTTTAGCCCACACTTCTGTGTATTCGCGCCATCAGATGAAAATGTAAAAAAAAAAAAAAATTCACAGTATTTTAGGACAGTATATTGTTAGCTATATAATATTATCGATCATCGGAATCCTAGATCTAACATTACCTTTGAAACCCCATCTTGAAAAGCCACTATTTCCTGGTTTACGAGCGATGCTTTCAAATGCGCTCATATTTGCACTACAAAAATATTTTTTCAAATATGTCGTATTCGTGCGAAATTTGGGTTGTAGAGACATGTTAGGTGTGTAACTTCACAGAAAATAATGGATCTAGGGTGATTGTGGCCACTTTTACGGCTTTAGAACAATATTCGGATATTCTTACATCAACGTTAGATCCGTATGTATTCATCCGCATCAGAGAAGGATTGTCAAATCAGGTTAACATCTTATTGCCTTTATATTATTTTATATAACATTCTCATATTATTATAACACAATGTAACACATTCAAACCTCACCTAACAAAAATTATATTATATAGCTTTTCCTTAGAGAAAATTTCACATCTTGTGATTCTTTTTATTCTTCTTCCTTCTTAAAACTTAAATCGTAATGTTGGACGTGATTTTTTCCAGCACATTTAACTATTGCGTGTCAACATTTTTTTGCGCCTTTTTGCCTGTTGACTAAGATTTAAGCCTGCTGCTTTCTATTCTGGATTTGCTTCCTTAGGTCACTAAATTCCACAACTCCAACACATGAAATACAATATTACATAAGGTTAAAATACCCCCCTACCCCCATTCCCATTTTTTAAAGAGCGAAATAACCGGTACGTTTTTGTTTAAAGGGCATTTATCTAAATACCCCATAATATTATATAGGCTACACTGTAACAATAATTTCAGACTTCCCTTCTCTTGAGGATTCCTGTAGTAGATCAACACATTGCATTTGATAAAGAGCCCTATTTTCTCGAGTTAACTTAGGCCTTATCAGGTTTAAATCCAGCCTTGTTCATCACCTATTCATGCCAATATATATATATATATATATATATATATATATATATATATATATATATATATATATATATATATATATATATATATATATATATATATATACATATAGGCTATATTTATATTTGTTGAAAAGGTAGATTGAAAGAGATAGGGTAGGAGAAGTATAGGTAAGATACTATACTTTATTTAGAATTCAGCAAGAACATATTTTTCATGACAATGCATGTCGTCAAACCCGTGTCACTTCCAATGTATACACTACCGTGACAGAGTTGGTGAAAAAAATTCACAATTTATTACGTGCAAGTTCCCTTTTCGAACCTGACAGCCTATGGGGCGAGGGAAGTAGAGTTCATCTGTTTCTGTGACCTCGGTATATGAAGGGGTAGTGTGGTCAGCTCATACCCAGCCGCCTTTACTTTCCTTAATGTGAGTTAGGTACCCATCAGAGCTGAGTGGACTCGGGTACGTTCTACTTATGTGCACCCGGATTTGAACTCGAAACTTACGGGTTAGTAGTATATCGCTCTTCCTCTAGGCCACGCCGTTCTAAATGTTATTCTGTAGGTGAACTTTTTTTTAGACATAGCTGATTAAATTAATTTCTCCAAATCTTTGTCATATGTGTTTTGTTTTCACTTTAAACCAAAAACGACTACTAGGTTATAGATTTCTAGTTATAGTACCTCCACTGAAGCACATATAAAAAGCAAAGGCCACGCCGTTCTAAATGTTATTCTGTAGGTGAACTTTTTTTTAGACATAGCTGATTAAATTAATTTCTCCAAATCTTTGTCATATGTGTTTTGTTTTCACTTTAAACCAAAAACGACTACTAGGTTATAGATTTCTAGTTATAGTACCTCCACTGAAGCACATATAAAAAGCAAAGTCTTTCAAATGCCACGAATAAATATATTATAGCACAAAACTAAATGGTACAATTTTACTATATGCCAATAACTATCGCATTTTATTGAATTAGTTTTCCAATTCATATAGGTCTATTGTTCAATTTTTAAGATATTTTTACTATAAGCAGAAAAACCAAGTTTTTCAAATTAAATTAGACATTGTACTAACAGTACCAATGCATAATATATCTTCATGAATTATTACTGAAACAATAGATTTAAAGTTTTTTTTTTTATAATTGAACGCTTTTTATTTTAGGTTTGTACAAATTACGTCGACCCCTGTTAAAAATTCAATATTTAATCCAAACCTGCTTTATAAGTCAGTCTCTTTACCGATGTTATTCTTTACATGGATAAATACGACGCGTCTTCAACCGTTGCAGTCCGTCTTATGCTCACTCAACTTAATGGTAAGAATTAATAGACATGGTGAGTTTTTAATGTTTTATTACAGTAAATCACATTGTTACTTAGCCACTAATCTATTAATCAATAATAATAACTGCGTGTGACTGTGTGTTTGCGTCATATGTGTGCTTGTATTTGGGTTGTGTGTGTGTCTGTGGTTACATGAGTGTGCCTGTGTGTTCGTGTGTGTGTGTCATATGTGTGCTTGTAATTGGGTTGTGTGTGCGTCATCTGTGTCCTTGTGGTGTAATTGGGTTGTGTGTGCCTGTGTGTTTGTGTGTGTGTGTCTGTGTGTTACATGCGTGTGCCTGTGTGTTCGTTTATGTGGTCTTGTGTTTGTTTTAGGCTGTGTGTGCCTGTATGCTCGTGTGTGCGTGTGTCTGTGTATCAAATTAGTTCTGCATGTACACTGCCAGATAAAATTTTAAGACTCAACATTTTTCTAACACTTTATATAGCAGGTTCTATTCATCAAATCCGCTCATTACTTTAGACAAACCTTCCTAAAATTTCAAAACATAGAACTGTGCTTCAGGCGTCAGCACGAGATGCGACTCCATTTTCGTATCTCTGGGGTCAACGTTCAATAGTTGACACAGACGTGTAGAGGGGAACCAGTTGAAAGCAGCACACCCGTCCGTGTAGCGCCTCTCTAGACACTGGGAACCACACGACACGGAACTCGAATCGGTGACGTCCAGTGATGACGTCATGTTGAGTTTCCGGTTGTCGTAAATTTTAAAATCGCTGGATTGTGTTGTTTTCGGTGATGCCATCACCTCCAGCTCACAGAAATTGAGATAATCTTTGGTGTACCTGTTTAAAATAGGGAACACGGAAAAGTTAAAATAAAAATGTTAAACGTCCTATACTGAATTACAATAGTTCTCCAATCTAAAATGTCATACCCTACTCTTCCGTATCATACTATCAACACCCATGTCATTGTATCACTGTATGTATGTATGTGTGTTTGTAAATGTTTATTGGCATGTCTATGCGCATGAATTATTGCAAACAGAAGCGATAGTTGCACACATAGTTGCAGCTGTACCTTGTAAAAAAAACATTTTATGTAGAATGTGCTTTTATTCTACTCTACAAAGGCTACACAGTTCAAGTCGTTTTTATTCATATCACCTTTATTCACAAAACAACATAACACAATCTATGCTTGTCACTACCAAAAAGCCCCTTAACAATCGCTCATTTGGTATTCGACCTTGGGATAACAATACACAAACATCCCGGCAGAGGCGTAGTAACCCTTCCCGGCGCCCGGGAACAAACTTTCAATTTGGCGCCCCTCCACCCATACATAATTTTTTTATTTATAATGCAAAACTGCAGCTAAAATGAGCTTTTAATTTTTTTCAAACCCATTTTGGCGCCCCCTAGGGTCGGCGCCCGGGGACATATGTACCCCCCCCCTCCTCGCTACGCCTCTGCAACCTGGGGTTAACTCAACTCACACACGCTCTGTCCCCTAAGTTCTAATCTATTCTACCCTATTCTAACCCAACCTCCAAATAACATGCAACATAGAAACTACTGCCAGTATTACAGAACTATATGTTGTTTATGTGCTACTAAACAAAGCTCACTTGATTAACCGTACGTAGCGACCGACCAAAGGCTTGCTACAGTTCCAGGTAAAGGTGCCGATTGTGGCTGCTGTCGTCTGCCTGTAGCAGATGTCCCCAGAATCAGACGGGAAAGTTGGTGCCAGTCTTGGGTCTTTGTTAAACACGTCGATCTGGAAATTCTTCAGCCTGGCTGCGGTCACGTTGTTGTCGTTTCTGAAAATTGTGGAGGACAATGTATCTGCATAAGAGATTATAATAACATATAGTGTGCTCGAGGGGTAGAGCGCTCGACTGTTAACACCAAAGTCTCGAGCTCTGATCTCAGTCCAGCCTAGAGTCCTTAGGACATCCCTAAGTATACTCAGCTCTAATAAGTACCCGGCTCACGTTAGGGAAATTTGGGGAGACAGTGCATAATGCAGACCACTTTCTCTTTTTAAATGCAGTGGACAAAAAAACACATTAACTCTACTTCACCTGTCTTATGGATCGTTAGGATTCAAGCACCGGTATCCAACTTTCGTGTTTAGCTGTCGCACGTTCTGCTACCCGACCACGCCGTCCTTATATCATTTACAATTGCATAGAACTCAACTGATCGTCTATTCACTTAGATGTAGATTTATATAATAGCAATTATACCATTTATGGGACGACGTGGCCTAGAGGTAGAGCGCTAGACTGCTAACCCGAAAGACTCGTGTCCAAGTCAGTAGAACATTTCTGAGTCCACCCAGCTCTGATGGGCAACTTACGTTAGGGAAAGTAAGGGCTGCTGGGCACAATATTGACCACACTATTCCCTTCATAAGCTGAGGTCAAATAGACAGGTGAACTCTACTTCACCTTTACCATATACCATTTAAACCACACTGTAATCAGAGGTAAACGTCTTTTCATACCTTGAATTAAACAACATTTTCAAGTATATAAGTCACATAAGGTTATAATCATAGTTTAAATGTCTTCTCACAAACCATAACAAAAACAATATTTGTCAACAACTCACAAGTAAGTCAGAACCACAGAACTGATGACGTAAACACTATTTGTCTTGGTCGGTACCACATAACTGATGACGTAAACAATATTTGTCATGGTCAGAACCACAGAACTGATGACGTAAACAATATTTGTCAACAACTCACAAGTTGGCCAGAACCACAGAACTGATGACGTAAAGAATATTTGTCAACAACTCACAAGTTGGTCAGTACCACAGAACTGATGACGTAAGTGTCCAACAGATCCACCATCCACCAGCTGTTGTTCTCGTACAAGGTGTGCGTGCAACAAGCATCACTTGTGGTCACCGCCTTTTTCTTACCATCGTTTCCCTTCTCAGCATACCACTCGAAATACACCGACGATTGGAAAGCCGGTTTGTAAAGAGCTACGTTGTATAATACATCGTCTCCTAACGTGGGTATACAGTAGTGCATCAGTAGGCCGGATAGTAACGCCAGCTTTAAGAAGCTATTACACATTTTTTTTTATTGTCAATGTTCAAATGCTTTAAAAAAGTATATGATAATAAATATGTATGTAACTTTTTTAAAAAAAAGTGTGAGTTTACTAAAAATTTATTTCGAAAATCTAAATTTCAGAGTAATTGTAACTTTACAACTCAAGAAAAACAAAATAGATTCTACATCTATAACTATACAATGATTAAGAAATAAACTAATTAAGAAGCTTCGTCAGTTACACAACGCGAACAAAATATTCATTGCCAAATCTTTTATACAAATTATAATTGTCAATGTTCAGATGCTATAAAAAAGAATTATATGATAATATATATTCTGTGGATTTTTAAAAAGCGTGTGAGTTGACTAAAAATTTCTTTCGAAAATCTAAATTTCACCAGTAATTGTAACTTAACAACTCAAGAAAACCAAAACAGGTTCTATATCTATAACTATACAATGATTAAGAAATAAACTAATTAAGAAGCTTCGTCAGTTACACAACGCGAACAAAATATTCATTGCCAAATCTTTTATACAAATTATAATTGTCAATGTTCAGATGCTATAAAAAAATTATATGATCATAAATATTTATGTGGATTTTTAAAAAGCGTATGAGTTTACTAAATTTTTTTTCGAAAATCTAAATTTCACCAGTAATTGTAACTTAACAATTCAAGAAAACCAAAATAGATTCTATATCTATAACTATACAATGATTAAGAAATAAACTAATTAAGAAGCTTCGTCAGTTACACAACGCGAACAAAATATTCATTGCCAAATCTTTTATACAAATTATAATTGTCAATGTTCAGATGCTATAAAAAAATTATATGATCATAAATATTTATGTGGATTTTTAAAAAGCGTATGAGTTTACTAAATTTTTTTTCGAAAATCTAAATTTCACCAGTAATTGTAACTTAACAATTCAAGAAAACCAAAATAGATTCTATATCTATAACTATACAATGATTAAGAAATAAACTAATTAAGAAGCTTCGTCAGTTACACAAAGTGAACAAAATATTCATTGCCAAGTCTTTTATACAAATTATAATTGATTCCTACCTATTGATACGCAAATCTAAATTGATTTTTCCCGATTGATACCGGCGGGGTGTCAGTGGGGGCATTGAGAACAATCTATAACTCGATTGAATTGAGTAGCCAATAAAACAGACGGTGAAGTTTAAATACTTAGCTTCCTGCACTTTGGGCTTTCTGTAGACATCAAACGCGTCTTTCAGTCAACAATCGCCGGACCAGTGGCGTAACTTGGTCGGGTGTCACCCGGTGCGGTAACTGACAGTGTCACCCCACCTCGTAGAAAAGTTTTGCTTTTTCGATTTGATGTTACTCCTCTATTTTATTTTTGACTTGAATAATCATTGTTGTGCCAGTAAATTGTAACGATTTTTTAAATTAGGCGTCACCCAACCAGTGTTTCTTTCAGCCTTTTTTTTTCTACGGGAAGGATCTTGACATTTTCGGAGGTGGGAGGGGCATTTTGGCACCGATTAGATGACAGAGTGACCTATGACCAGACAACTATGGCAAACCGATTGAACCATGGAAAAAGACTATGGCATACCGTGTGACCAGCTAGCTTTTGGTTTTGCCCAATCAATCACAATGTAAACTTTTTAATAAACCGCTACTAGCTGTTGCACCTTTGATCACCGCCTGCAAATGTTTGAACTCCTGAGAGATCGATATGGAAATAAACACGGTGATTCTTTTACATTTCTGCTACAATCTCATAAAAATATATATATTTTTAAAAAAAAATGTAATTTACATTTCTACGGCAGTTAGTGTTGACACTTTTGAAAGGTTTTCTTAGTTTGGTAGATTCAAGGGTGCACGTTATTAGGTGCACATTCGCAGATTAAACAGACCCACAGTAACCGTGTTTCCTCCAGACTTTTTCCTCGAAGGGGGGGGGGGGGGGGAGGTCGACAAACTGGTATTTGTATATGTTTTGAATATCTATTTAATTTCGTTCGGGTGGTAGTGGGGGGGGGGAGGGGGCAGAGACTCCGATGAGATGCCCTGAAGGAGCACTGACAATAAAGTAGCTTTAATTTTTTTTTTTTTTTTTTTTTTTTTTTTTTTTGCCTCAGACACGTAATTTATAGCGTCAGTTGTGTGTTCGCTTTAGTATTACAGTTTTCATCATCGGCTTGTGAGGACTGACTGATACAGATTTACAATAGTAATATTTCTTTCTTACTTGTAGCCTGCTTTCATTCATTTAAGATGGTTTACTTATACATAGATCTAATACAAAACGTCTAAATATAAATAAAAAAAATTAAAATTAAAAACCAACCTGAAACTGAAAATGCAAATGTGTAATTAAATGATGATTCAAGGGATTTTTTTTCTCGGCGTGGTGGGCTGAGGGGACGAGGGGGGGGGGGGGGGGAGTGGAAATTTGTGTTTTTTTTAAAGTAGAGCTGAAATGAATTTGGGATTACAGAGAATTAAAATGATACAAATTTTAAGCAATCGGAAGAATTATGTTATTACAATGAGACACGTAAAAGCAAACACTCTTCCCTTTCAAACATCTATATCTATACAGTCCTCAATTAGTTTTTTTTTCCTTTTTATTTTTTTTATTAATTCAATTGTTTTAAACATTTAAATCACTAATAATTATTTATTTGATAGATTTTACACAGCATCAAAAATAAAATGGCATAAGAACTAGACAAAAATAAGGTGTGCAAACTAGGTTTCTCTTGACTGCTTAGTTTACTGTGCTTTTTCCTTAGCTGAGGAGTCAAAAGTTCACATTGTAGCCACCCATGGACAGAAATAGAAACGACCGTTGGAGAAGTGTCTCTGCATTACACATACTGATCTATCATTCCATGACATAAAATTGACCCTTGGCAAAGAGGGCACGCTACCTTGAAAAATCCGCCAGTCCGGTTTAGTGAGGGGAAGTGTGTGTGTGTGTGTGGGGGGGGGGGGGGGTGAGGTGTGTATCTCTTTTTACCATTCAGGTTGTGCACTTTTAAAAACCTGGGAAACAGAAGACTGTTCTAATGTTAATTTACTTGAGGGCTGATCGAGTGATGTTTAGCTTGAGACTGTCGATATTAATTATGCATCTAGTGTATTTGCTTCTTCTGTAGTTCAAATGTTAGTTTCCTGTAAAAGTAGGATGTCAATATTGTGTTTATTTATTATGTTGTTTATATAATGTGTTTGTCCCTAGCCCCCCTGATGTTCAATGTTGCCAGAGTTAGCATAAATTATTTGGGGTTTTCTTTCGAACATCTGTTTCTGGAGGGCTGGATGGTGGTGGTCTTTTAACGCCAAACTTTCCAGCCGCTGGTTTGCTATCCCGTTGGACCCTGGTCACGACCCTTTGAGGTGGCTTTACTGTAGGTAATTGATTTTTACTTGAACTGATTGCTTGACTATATGACAGTTGACATGATACCTTTGTTGCTGATATACTTTGTGAGCTTTTAATTTCCTTTAGCGGTTTCGTTATGTTTTCTGAACTAGTGTTATCTTGAAGAATATCATTTATTATTTCGTCGACAAACTCCAAATTTTCTTGACTCCCATCTTTTTGAGACCCTGTTACTATGGAATTTCTGATCGCTATTGTCTCCGTGGCTTCGGCCTCTATGGTGGTTTCTGTTACGCTTTCGTTAACTTGCTGTGATGCTGCAGTAGTATGGTGTGCTTCAGTTTGGCCATCTACTCCAAACGCATCTTCTACCTCTCTATGCCTTGCTTCTCTAAGCATTTCATTTTGTCTTTCTCCGTCAACATCATAACTGTCCCAATGCTTTAAGAAATTTCTATTGTTACTTAGATGCTCCCTAACTTCTTCTTTATCATTTGCATCCCAAGGCTCAATTGCCCTGTACTGTCCATCTCTTTATTACTTTAATAAAGTAGCTTTATAATCAAGATCACAAATAGACCTACGCGAGATTGATCAATTAAATCTTGCGTTGATTCAATTTATTATACTTTCTAAAAATGTTAAAGTAAGGGTCTGTGTTGAGAATATGTTCTCTTTCTGTATTAAGATTATAGTGTTTTGTGTGATGTTGACTTTCATTGTTTTGCTTTTTTTTTCTTAAAGTCTAATTAGGGTAAACATTGGTTAATAATGCTTATATAATTTTTATATTAATTGTTGTTAAATTAAGTCTTGTTAGTGATTGTTATGTCCCTTGTATTATGCATATGTTGGTTGCGTCCCTTGAGTATTCACTGTGTCATCCGCAATGTGTAGCTGATGTGTACCTGGGAGTTTGTTAACTAAAGATAGATAGACCCAGAGACAAGACAAGTCTATGCTGTCTATCATAATAAAGTATCAAGGTTAACTACACGAACTGTGTCTGTAGAAGTAATGTAAAAATTATATTTTTCTATTTCGTCCGAGAGGGGAGGGGGGGGGGGAAGGGTGGATGTGCTCCAAGGTAGTGTACCCACCCCCTGTGAGAAAAAAAAACACTGGATGTGCTTCCATACACTTTGTTCAAGGGAATCTGTATGATTTCTCTCTAAGGTGGGTTGCTTTCCCCAGCTAATGCGAATTGTCAGCTCTGGAGTCTGAGCTTTGGATTTTAAAGTTAGCGATCGTTCACTGTCCTACCCGACCAGACTTTCCCTCCCCATCCTTCCTAGATTCATCACAGGAGCTGATTTGTTTATCTTAATATGTGTCTGCTACACGAGAGAGAATTGTGTGATCATTCACTTAAAACCCTTAGCTGTCTTGGTGGTAGCCTACGTCTAGAAATGGCTTCACGCAAGAAATGCAACGTTGGGAATGGTGTGTAGGACTACATTTAACCTTGGCACTGTGTGGCATATGCGTGGAGAGTGTAGAGATCACACAAAAAAAAACAAAAAAATAAAAAAATAATAAAAAAACCACTATTGGCGCGATCAATGGACACATACTTTTCTTTTTTCCATGACCCTTAAAATTAAAATGTCACACAGCAAGTAGGGCCTAGGCCCAGTCGAAGTAAAATATTCCTTCCGATCCAACCTTTTTAATATTGGAAAGTCTTTTGCGACGCAAGTTTAAATATTTATTTCGACTGCCAGATTCTAGAGAAGTTAGGACTTAGGCTAACTGCTAGAGTCTAGACTCACTAGAGTAGATCTAGATCTAGATCTAGATCTATATCTCTAGATTTAGATCTAATCTAGATCTAGAATCTTATCCCAAAAGAATCTAGATCCTAGATATAGAAAAATCTAGAGATGTAAATTTAGATCTCGTCAATATTCGAGATCTAATAAATCTAGTCTATAATATAATTTAATATATTAATAACCCTACGCGTTTTTTAATAAAAATATTTAATATATTAAATATATGTGTTTGACTATTCCCAGGTCTAAAAAATAAAAAAGAATTAGATCTAGATCTACGAATGGGCAAGTTCGGAAATCATCTTTCCCTTCTCATCTGGAAAAATTGGCTTATTAAAAAAAGACGGTATGAGCTAACAATACTGGAGCTTGGACTGCCAATTTTCTCTGCATTTTTGTTAGTTCTTATTCGGCACATGACACCCGTTATTGAAAAAGCGAAACCTGATGTTTATGATTTTCAAAGATTGCAGCTAGGCTTACTCCCTTCTCAGCCTTCAAGTCACTCCATTGTAATAGGCTATGCACCAGGGTGTCAGGAAACAGAAAAAATAATGGATTTTATAAAAGGAAAGTTGGAACATGGAGGAGGTAAACCTCATCATTAGAATATGAATATTATATTTACTATTTAGTATTTAGACCAAATGCTAAAATGTGGGAACTGCAGTTAAAAATAAATGTTATGAATGGAACTGTTGTGTGTTGTTTTTTTGGGAGGAGGGGAGAAGTGTTTCTTCCAGACATTTTTTTCTCCAGGGGGGGGGGGGGGGGGGGGGGCACTTGATATTTATTGGGGGGGGGGGTCAACATTTTCTGGGGCGGCTACTGGTAAAAGTATATGTTTTCTATTTAGACTTTCTCCGGGGGGGGGGGGGGGGGGGGGGGGGAGAAGTCCCTCTGAATAGATGGCTGGAAGAAACTCCAGGGGGGATTGTGGTATGGGTTGAAGGAGATAATGGTTGAGAGTTAAGAAACTATGTATTGCCTTTTTATGTTTGAAAAAGTGATCTTCTTAACTAAATTTTAGTTATTTTGCCTTTTTAAAGATTGTTTTGATAAGTTGTTTAATGTTAAGGGTGGCGGGGTCGAGTTGGTAAAGCTCATGGTTGCTAAACCAATTAGTCTCTAAACCCTCTGGCATATGAGGATCGTTAGCTGGGGACAGCCACTCTTCTAGGAGAGACAACTCCAAAACCAAACCGCTGCTGCCTTGAAGTTTGTTCTTGATTGAACAAAGGCTATGGAAGCAAATCCAAAATGAAAAGGAGGCTGAAATCAGATTCAATGGCCTAAGAGTAAGTGTTGCATAACCAGTTGACACGAATACTTAATTGTGTTGGAGGGAATCCCCTCCAACACTAAAATTAAGAACCAAGAAGAAGAAGAAGAAGATCAATGTTGCTACAAAGCAAAGTAAATTAAAATTGTAGAAACAAATTTGCTGTTTTAAAAAGGAAAATTGCAATGTGTCGCTTAAGTATATTAATGATATGGATAATAGAATCATGTGACATGTTACAAGGACAGCCTCTAAATAAAAGGTTTAGAAAATGAGGTTTGTTTGGCTTAGTTATTGCTATTTTATTGAGTGTTATGGCTAGGCTACTTGTTGCAATTTCATTTCTTATCAACTTGACAATCTGTGTCAGGCTTATCTAAGAATATCAGTCCTCTTACACAAAAATAAAAATCACATTTCTATTTAAAAATATGTTGGCATTTATGAATTTTGGTACATAGGTCTATTAATTTTAAAACATTCTGTTGTCCTGAAAGACATCGCTGATTTTTATTTCAGTTGTGTTAAAGGTTTTTTCATCGCCCTATGATGCCAGTAGCTACATGAAAAAATTTCCTCTTGAGTTGCACAGTGTGATTATATTTTCTGGTGTTACTGAAAATAGATGTGACATTCCAAAAGACATGAAACTGATCATTCGACCAAACATCGGTAACAGTGTGTGGCGGACATCGTTTACAGGGCCTTTATTCAAATCAGTTGCCTCCAGGAGTGTTGAGCATTCAAGCAAGTATTCTTAGTTCTTTAACAGTAGTAGTTTGGATTTACAGAATAAATTGTGCTGCAATGTTGTCCATTAAATAGGTTCAGTTTAGGGTTTAAGGATTTAAATGCTGGTTTCTTCAGGTATTTGTTTAAAGGGATTCTCAACATACATGGACAACTTTCAGTGACGCTATCACATCTACAACAGTTAGTTTTAGGCAGTTTTTCCATATATATCACACTTTCAAAAACAAACAGTTAATATGTGCAGAGGAAATAGAGTTCATCTGTCTCTTTGTCTACACTTTATGAAGGGAATGTATGGTCATCATTAGGCCCATCTGCCTTTTCTTTTGAAGGAGAAACCAGCATTTAATGGTGGCTGGGCATAATGCTGACCACTCCATCCCTTCATATGTCAAGGTCAAAAAACACACAAACTCTACTTCATCTGTGCAATGGATCGCTAGGTTTAAGGAGGTATCTTACTTTTTTCTTTATATTTTCACATGCTTGAACAGATTATAAGTCCAGTGGAGTTCTGACTCTACAGAGTTTGCTCACTGAGGCTGTCATTAAGTACTGGCTGCTCAAGAACCCAAAAGGCGGAAAGGATTATACAAACATCACATTTGATGTGATGACTAAACGTACACTGACCCCACCTCACATTCATGACCCTATGTTTGAAATACTTGAAGATTATTTGCCAATATTTATTGCATTAAGCTTTGTGTTTAATGTCATTATGAATACCCAGATTTTAATTGAAGAACAAGAGAACAAAATTAAGGTAGGCTTCCAAGAAAAATATCAGTTTGATTTTATTTATTACAATATGACTAAGCCTTTACTGATATGTGCTTTAGACAAATAAATAAATTAGAATGTGCTGTTGAGATGTTATGGCCAGTAGTGCAGGTGAACTCAAGATTCTGTGGTCATATAAAAGGATTGTAAGAGCAGTACAGTGCCAAGCTGACTGGCCCAGCTGAGCTCTAGGAAAACCCCTAAATTAGAAATGTAAGCTGGCTTCCACCACTAAGACCTAAGTTGTATTTAATAGAAATATTATTGACTCGAATAGTGCTGTTGTGTCTTTTTCAAGCCGCAATTTAATTCCATTTGTTTATCTCATTATCTCAGTTTAAAAAATATCTGTACTCTAGCTTTTACCAATTTCATCAATTAAATAACAGTTTGTTTTTTTAATAATAATATTATATAGGTTTATTATATTTCTATAAATATTACCCCACCTATCAACCCTATGATGTTTAAAAGTGACAGAAAATTATCTCACAAAGTTAAAGAGTTCTTGTTTTTGTTCCAGCCTCTGCTTACAGTAATGGGGCTATCCCGCACTGCCTACTGGCTCTCCTGGTTTGTGGTGTTCTTCCTGCAGCTGGTACCAACAGTGACCTTGTATACCTTAGTCCTTTGCCTTGACCTGACCCCTGCTGGCCCTGTGTTCAAGTCTACTGACCCCATACTGTTATATGTGTTCCTGCTGCTGTATGCCACATCATTTACAGCTTTTGTGTTTATGATCAGCTCCTTCTCTCCCAGTGGTGAATATTATTTTGATTTAAGAGGGTTAATTAAAAAATAGGATTGCTGTGACTTTATTTATCATTAAATATATCATTCATCTGTAATGTAGGCCTATTATTTTAGAAATTTTTCTGTATTTCTCATTAAATATATTTTTCTTATAAGTAGTGTTTTATAAAAAGAATATTCAGTAAAAATGTTCAGAAATGTTTCTCAAATAATAGCAACACTAGCTGTAGTAATTAATAAAAAAAAATAATTAAAAATAAATAAATTCTTTGAATTTAGAAATAACACTATTTATTAGTACTTACAATTACATATAATGATTGCCTGTACAATTAGTGCTATAATTTCATTTTTTTTTTTCATCTACCCCAGCCAGTTTTGGAGCTGTTGTGGCTGGTGTTTTGTACTTTGCATTTTTATTAATGCATTTTGTAACACTCTGCAATTGGGAGGAGCCGATAGCCAAATATGTGAAACTCATCTCTCTGTTGTTCTTCAATACGGCTATGGCTCAGGGTGCTTTCATCATCTCCGTTCTGGAAGACAGAGGTGATTTAGACTGTTGTAGAGATATCTGTTCTTCTGTAGGCCTATATTTAACAACACTTTTCTTTTTGGTATAGCTGATAAAAATGTTTTTAAAAAAATCTTTTAAGTCTGCCAAAGTATATTTTTTTTTATTCAATACAATTTTAATAAAAATAAATGTATATAAAAAAGCTGAAAGAAACTGCTAATACTTTATCAAAACTGAGACTGCTGCAACTACTATTAAAGTGCCCTCCATTTATTCCTGCTAAGGGTTACTTAAGGACAAAATATCCCATACAAAATATCAGAAAATAATTTGAGATAAATTATTCCAGGCCCACTTTCTCTTACAAAATATCTGATACAGAATAACTGGATAATATCAGAGACACAATATATACAAGTAATTTCCCTGTTACAAGCCGCCTTAGCTGAGATTATATACATTTTGTGCCAGGTGATGGTGCTGTGTGGAGCAATGTGTACATCCCCTTAGACACCAACCACCTGACCTTGTTGGAGTGTATGCTGTCCCTGGTGTCCAGCTCAGTTCTCTACCTCCTGATCAGCTGCATCTTCTACTCCCTGCATGTACACATTTTTTTTGTTTTCAACATCTGGAACTAAAAGTTCCCCTTTCTTTCAGATATAATTATCCTTAGGAATGATGAAGTATAACCTCATCTCAATAGCCTTATATGATGTGGTCAACACTATGCCAGCCACATTTACTTTTTAAATGTGATTCATGTGCCCATTAGAGCTGGATGGACTAAATGATGTCCTGTAGAATCAAGTCCATACTTAGATCAGAGCTTGAACCTTTTGGGTTATCAGTAGAGTGCTCTAACGTTCAACCACTTTATAACATGCCGTTGGAATTAGTTACCTAGCATTACATTTTAAACTTGTCTAAGATATCCTCAAAAGTATGGTTAATTATATTTAAAAAAATCTATTTCTTCTTCTTCTGCATTCTTAATTTTGTTTATGGTGGAGGATTTAAATCTATTTCTAAAAGTTCTATTTTCAGACACAAGGCCTACTGGGCGGACTGAATAGTTATTTTTATTGCATACTATTTCATAGTGGGGAAGAGCATTGATTGTCCTGGCCATAATTAACTTAGTTGATTCCCAGACTTGTTTATGGGGGAGAGTTGTTACAAAAGGTTGTCACATAGTTGAATTGTTAAAACCCTTTCATAAAATTAAACTTTCTTTACAGGACCGCCTAGTGCATCCTCGTTCCAAAGCTGTAAATAAAAACATTTTTCTGGCAAATGCTTTCTTTGAAAATGATGCACCAAATTTGAAAGCAGCAATTCAACTGCATAGTTTAAGAAAGGTAACTTTATATAATCTTGGATGTAGATATTATATTCTTCAAATTGTTTTATTAATAAATGTAAATTTAATGCAGTTTATTATTTATGAAAAAATGGATCTAAAAAAACCTACAAAATTACCATACAACACATATTATGTATTTTAGATGTTTGTTATTAAAAAATCACATATTAAGAAATGCACAGAGGTCTGTTATTGGTATCACATATAAGGTCAGACCTCTAAAATGCATTGATGCACATTCCCTCATTATGACAATCTGTGACTTTTCAATTGCAGACCTTTATAATTTTTTAATATTTTTAAATTTTCATATTGAGTAAACTAGTACATAGGTTATTTTTATGCTGATTTCATTAACACTGTGCAAATAAACTATTATTTTTCTTTCTTCACTGACTATGTGCCATTGTGTTGCATATTTTATGTACATTGAATGACATAATATTTGACTATTAGATATAAAAATTGTGTAGGCCTACATGTCAGGACTAAAGCATTTTCCACTCATAAAATAGTTTTTAACAAAATTTCTATTTTAAGTCTAAAGAGTACCTTGTCTATCTAAAAACCACACCATTTTTTTTTATAATATGTAATAGAAACTGCTTTATTAAATATATGGAAGTCCAATCAATTGATGGAATTTTAGAAAACTAAAAGGTGGTTCAAGTGAAACTTGCCCTATGTGGCATGGCCCCAGAGAACGCAGAACACATACACCTTTCTCAAAAAAAAAAATCGAATGGACAGCCCACAAATTTAAACACCACCATCCACTCTATTGGTCTTATTGTTTGATTCCTCCAAAATAAATATTAAGAATAACGAAGAAGAATTTAATTCCTTACTATGCACAGGCAGACCCATTTAAAATTAATACTTTCAGTTATACTAGTTTGTAGCAATGCAGCAGTGAGCTACAAATTTCTAGTCAAACTCTGAATGTATATTGTTTGATTCTGTTCTAGGTTCTGAAAGGTGAAACTGTTGTTGAAATTCCATTACTCAACATATTTGAGGGGCAGATAACTGTTTTGTTAGGCCCCAATGGTGCAGGGAAGACAACTTTGATATCATTACTAACTGGTAACAGGTTTTATTAATTTTAATTGCTGTTATAAATATATTTATGTAAAGTTAGCAGTAACAATTTAAATATCAACATATTAATTAAATATTAAAAGATCTAGTAGCCATATACAGTATTGCATGGTCTTGTGTTCAAATCATGGACACCCAGCTCTGATGGGTACCTGACTCAAGTAAAGATGTCTGTACATATTGTTAAAAACAAACACTATCCCTTCATATGCAGAGGTTACAGAAACAGGTGAACTCTACTTCAATTTTGACTTAGACTGCCAGGTTCAAAGGGGTAACTTGACTTTGCTTACATAGCCATACATCTTTGCTTAGTTAAAACAGATTTTTATCAAGCCTTCGTGTACTCAAGAATCAAGTTCTGGAGCTTCAGAACACTATGATTATGCTTATAGTATTCAAAAATGTGATCACAGAAATAATTATAGTATACACTTAATATTGAAAAAAAAAAATAATACTTGTAAAAACGCATACTGTTTGTGCTGCAAGCAATGATGTAAGTTATCAAGTACTAATTACCTGCATTTTAAGTATCAAGATAATTAATATGTAAATGCGTGACAATTGCTTGATTGTTGAACTGATTTAAAACTGTTCAGGTATCCTTTCCCCCACCAGTGGATGTGTACAGGTTTACAACCAGGACATTAAAACCTTGACTGACCATGAACAGCATGTGATAGGGGTTTGTCTGGAGGAAAACATTTTGTTCCAGTACCTTACAGTGTTTGAACACATGGAGTTTTTCTCTAAGGTAACGTTTTTTTGTGTGTGTGTGTGTGCTTACCCTCCTCACATAAGCTACATTTTTTTGTTATAGATATGAAAAAAACTTTAAAAATGTGTTACTTAAATAAAAAACTAATTGTTTTTAATACTTATCTAAATTTTGGAAGCTATTTACCATAAATTTAAAAAAACTTACATGGTCTAAAAAAAAATTCGGCATTGGCTAAATAACACACTACTCTTTTTATAAGAGTGTAGGTCTAATATTTAAAAAAATACAGCTACAATTTTTAGTCATCTTATAGTTATAAAACATTTTATTACACTATTTGTTCAGCTGAAACAGAATCCTTGGTAATATTTTTGAACGTAGGTTGTAATTCCTAACTAACACATCTTACTGTAATATCTGTTTTTGAGATATGATCTATTTTATTCAGATTTTTTCATTGAAACATTAACTCTGAAAAACACTATTTACAAATGTTTCTGAAAAGTTGGGAGAACTCCAAGTCCATCATGCTCCAATATGAAAAGTATATTCATAGTCATAGTCCTCAGTACAATAAACTGATCTAAACTAAATCACAATGTTGTAGTGATGCCCACTATCAATTTCAGTCTAATTCAACTTTTCTCCTGCTTCTAGCTGAAAGGTCTGACCAGTGGGGAGATTAAGCCTGAGGTGGTGTCCATGATCAAAGTCAGTCTAATCCAACTTTTCTCCTGCTTCTAGCTAAAAGGTCTGACCAGTGGGGAGATCAAGACTGAGGTGGTGTCCATGATCAAAGTCAGTCTAATCCAACTTTTCTAATGCTTCTAGCTAAAAGGTCTGACCAGTGGGGAGATCAAGCCTGAGGTGGTGTCCATGATCAAAGTCAGTCTAATCCAACTTTTCTCCTGCTTCTAGCTGAAAGGTCTGACCAGTGGGGAGATCAAGCCTGATGTGGTGTCCATGGTCAACTTCAGTCTAATCCAACTTTTCTCCTGCTTCTAGCTGAAAGGTCTGACCAGTGGGGAGATCAAGCCTGAAGTGGTGTCCATGATCAAAGTCAGTCTAATCCAACTTTTCTCCTGCTTCTAGCTGAAAGGTCTGACCAGTGGGGAGATCAAGCCTGAGGTGGTGTCCATGATCAAATTCAGTCTAATCCAACTTTTCTCCTGCTTCTAGCTGAAAGGTCTGACCAGTGGGGAGACCTAACCTGAGGTGGTGTCCATGATCAAAGTCAGTCTAATCCAACTTTTCTCCTGCTTCTAGCTGAAAGGTCTGACCAGTGGGGAGATCAAGCCTGAGGTGGTGTCCATGATCCAAGTCAGTCTAATCCAACTTTTCTCCTGCTTCTAGCTGAAAGGTCTGACCAGTGGGGAGATCAAGCCTGAGGTGGTGTCCATGATCATGGAGATGAACCTGAAGAATGAGGTGGACACTCTAGTCAAAGATCTCTCATGGGGTACACAGAGGAAAGTTGCTCTAGCTGCTGCACTCATCGGAGGCTCAAAGGTGTGTGTAGTCATCTCATGGGGGTAGGGGGTGGGGACAGAGAAAGGTTGCTTTAGTGTCTGCTGATTGGAGGCTAAAAAGTGTGTGTGGTTATTTGGGTGGGGACAGTGAAGTTGATCAAGAGTAATGTTTTATTTTAGTTTTTTTGTCATTACCACATTGTTATGATAATAAAAACAAAGATATGTTCAATAATTTAGACTTAAATGATAGGCAGTAAACAAATTTTTGAGTGTTGAATTTGAATAACATATTTTTTACTGATTGAAAAATGCCACAACCCAAAGTATTAACTAAGCAGCGTCCTCTTCTATCATTACAAAAAAGGCCTATAAAACTGGTTACTGGCTTGTCTAGTAGTCTGGATTCTTTTTTTTTACAACTAAAATACTTCCATTAAATAAAAAGATAATATATACTAAATCAATTTTTTTATATAAAATATTCCAAGAAACAGCCCCCTCTTACTTATCAGACCTATTTTCTTTTAACATAAAATTAAATCGTCGTCTTAATTTACCGTTCTCATATACAACTTTTTTCCAAAGGCCTTCGTGCCTACAATTGTTACCGTTTTTTTTTTTTAATAAAATTTAAGATTTGAAGAGTAATATACAATTGTGATTCTGATAAAATAATAGCCAATGAAATTTGTTTTAGAAAAGTAGTTTGCCTAGAAATTTGAAATAAAACAAAGGTTCAACTCCTGGTTGTAAGTAAAAGTTTAGTAAAAAAAAACAATCTCAATTAATTTGTATTTGCAAATTTTAAAACATAAATCTTAAAAATGTTTTATTTCTCGATTTATCTTTAGCTTTAGGGGTAATATTAAGTTTGAATCTACCCAGAAGAAATGGACATAAATATATTTTTCGTCCAAGTCAACTTAAGTAAATAATAAACTATATTTATAGTTGGCACTCAAGATAAATTACCACCTTGTACTTAATTATCAGAAAAATAACAACAATTGCTACAATTTATTCTGTAACGTTTTTGTCTTAGATGAACCTTTCCTAGTAGACCACTTTGTTAGATATCGGCTAATAGCAGATGCTGTTATTTATACTGTTGTGTTATTATTTTAGATTACATTACCATAGTATCTGTTAAATATCAGCTAACAACAGCTTTCTGTTTATTTATCCTCTAAGGTTATTGTTCTAGATGAACCAACTAAAGGCATGGACCCAGCTATTAAAAGCCAGATCTGGAGCATCCTAAAATCCTCAAGTAAAGATCGTGTGATCCTCCTCACCACACACTACATGGATGAGGCCAACGCCCTGGCTGACAGAGTGGCCATCATGGACGATGGAAAATTAAAATGTTACGGCACCCTGTCATATCTCAAGTCAGTTTATGGCAAGTTTTTGTTTTCAATATTTACTCTTTAAATATTTTTAGGAATATAGTTGTTTACTTTATAATTCTGTCTATTGCAGTTCTTTTTTTTTTACAATATCTTTGGGTACTTACTATGGCTGATGAATTTGTTAAGGATACGTTTTGCTTGTATTGATACCAACACCCCAATTCTGATCAAGATCTCGTACATTAAATTAGACAGATCTAGATCCTAACCCTAACAGTCACTGGCATAAAATAAAATTATATAATATTCTATAATCTTGGCTGTTAGTTATTTAAACTTTGAATGTTATACTTGGTTATGTGAATATTATTAGTTGTGTGAATGTAAGACTTGATCATGTGAATATTCTGAATGGTTATGTGAATATTCTTTATGGTTATGAGAATATTAGACATTGTTATGTGAATGTTAGCCATGGTTATGTGAATGTTAAGACTTTGTTGTGACAGGTGCTGGGTACACGCTGAGTTTTTCCAAAAATTCCCGCTGTGATGTATCAGTGCTGACCTCTCTGGTCAAGAGCTATGTGAGTACAGCAGTGCTACTGAAGACAGCCAAAAGAGAAGCTGTCTATCTCCTCCCCACCACCGCCAACACCCACTACGAAGCCCTCTTCAGTGATCTGGACAAAAATAGAAAGAGTCTAGAAATTAGGAACTTTAAAACTGCTCCTGCTTCAGTTCAAGAAATTTACTGGAGGTAAGTCAAAGCTGTATATTATCCATCCATCCCTGTGGTACTGCAACCCTTTGGCCTGTTTCATAACTTTCTTCCACTCGACTACATTTTTCTTTTGTCTGTGGCAAACATCATCTATCCATCAACAAAGCTGTAATTTATCCATCCATCCCTGTGGTACTACAACCCTTTGGCCTGTTTCATAACTTTCTTCCACTCGACTACATTTTTCTTTTGTCTGTGGCAAACATCATCTATCCATCAACAAAGCAGTAATTTATCCATCCATCCCTGTGGTACTACAACCCTTTGGCCTGTTTCATAACTTTCTTCCACTCCACTATATTTTTCTTTTGTCTGTGGCAAACATCATCTATCCATCAACAAAGCAGTAATTTATCCATCCATCCCTGTGGTACTACAACCCTTTGGCCTGTTTCATAACTTTCTTCCACTCCACTATATTTTTCTTTCGTCTGTGGCAAACATCATCTATCCATCAACAAAGCTGTAATTTTTTCAGTAAAAATGTATAGCTCACATTGCTAAGTTGTAGGTTACTAAAGAAGTGTCCTGATTATTTGATTTACAGTAGCAACTATATCATCTTTTCCTTTTTTGTGCCCAAGACACATGGGGCACGCATAAAGCTCCTGCAAATTTTGTCAGGTTGTCGGTCACTGGCAATTTTCCTGGCAGTCCCCCATGACAGTCCTGCTCCCTTGGCCTTCCTTGCTTTCTTTTTCATTGAGGTATTCAGTTTAGCGCCATTCCTGTGATGTCATCTGGATTCATTCTTAGGTTTTACCCCATCCATCGCCATCATCTTTTTTCAATTCTTTTGGAAGCTGCTTCCGATTGCATCTCTCCTAGTAATTTATCCTTTGAGATGGTGTAAGGCCAGTGTTGGTGACAACTGCATAAATTCCTTCAATATTTGAAATAATTTTATTTCCAACCCCTGCTAATACAGAGCTCTAGATAAACAAGATGAAGAAAATGATCTGATCAACAATTTTGAGTTTGACATGGATAGATGTAAGTAGTTTTTCATTTGTTCCTGGGTTTGAGTCTTTAGGGCATCTTTGAGTCCACCTAGCTTTAATTGGTACCTAACCTGATTTGGGGATAGTATAGGTGTTGAAAATACCAACTCGTCTCGTTCAGAAAAAAAATAATTTTTATTTCATCTGGACTGCTCGTTGTAAAAGAAGTTTCAATTTTTAAAATCCAAAAAACAGGATGAGTCATTTCACTGAAAAAAAATGACATAAATAAATATAGTACTAGTATCTGTGCTTGAGTAAGTAATATCAAGGAGCTGTTTCCAATAGATTAACTATTTCATTTGTTAAATGTGTGATGAGATTTTAAAATCTCACAACTCTATATGTTATATATTTATGTATTATTTAAACTAGGGAAAACATTTTTATAATCTGCCCTGTACGTTGTATTTTTCAGTGACGTTTCAAAATGATATTTTCCAATTCACATTAACGGACATGGAACAATCCAAAGTTTGGGCCTTATTTGTGAAAAAGCTTCTCTACATCAGATACCATTTTGACATTATCATCCTCCAGCTGTTGTTCTCCTTTCTTCTCATTATCCTCGGCCTGGCCGTGGTCACCTTCAGTGCTGTCCCCCCAGTGAGCCACCCCCTGGACCTGAGACTGGACATGTTCAGGCAAACTATAGTGCCAGTTACTGTAGGGGTTTACCCAACACCAGAACGTCATCGCATGAAGGAGCTGTACTCACAGCTGATCACTGCTGACCACAAGGTTGAGGAGTACACTGTATATGAGGTCAGATTTTAATAAATAATGTGTAGGATATAATGCTGACTTAAGGAGTACACTGTATATGAGGTCAGATTTTAATAAATAATGTGTAGGATATAATGCTGACTTAAGGAGTACACTGTATATGAGGTTAGATTTTAATAAATAATGTGTAGGATATAATGCTGACTTAAGGAGTACACTGTATATGAGGTCAGATTTTAATAAATAATGTGTAGGATATAATGCTGACTTAAGGAGTACACTGTATATGAGGTCAGATTTTAATAAATAATGTGTAGGATATAATGCTGACTTAAGGAGTACACTGTATATGAGGTCAGATTTTAATAAATAATGTGTAGGTCATAATGCTGACTTAAGGAGTACACTGTATATGAGGTCAGATTTTAATAAATAATGTGTAGGTCATAATGCTGACTTAAGGAGTACACTGTATATGAGGTTAGATTTTAATAAATAATGTGTAGGATATAATGCTGACTTAAGGAGTACACTGTATATGAGGTCAGATTTTAATAAATAATGTGTAGGTCATAATGCTGACTTAAGGAGTACACTGTATATGAGGTCAGATTTTAATAAATAATGTGTAGGATATAATGCTGACTTAAGGAGTACACTGTATATGAGGTCAGATTTTAATAAATAATGTGTAGGTCATAATGCTGACTTAAGGAGTACACTGTATATGAGGTCAGATTTTAATAAATAATGTGTAGGTCATAATGCTGACTTAAGGAGTACACTGTATATGAGGTCAGATTTTAATAAATAATGTGTAGGTCATAATGCTGACTTAAGGAGTACACTGTATATGAGGTTAGATTTTAATAAATAATGTGTAGGATATAATGCTGACTTAAGGAGTACACTGTATATGAGGTCAGATTTTAATAAATAATGTGTAGGTCATAATGCTGACTTAAGGAGTACACTGTATATGAGGTCAGATTTTAATAAATAATGTGTAGGATATAATGCTGACTTAAGGAGTACACTGTATATGAGGTCAGATTTTAATAAATAATGTGTAGGTCATAATGCTGACTTAAGGAGTACACTGTATATGAGGTCAGATTTTAATAAATAATGTGTAGGTCATAATGCTGACTTAAGGAGTACACTGTATATGAGGTCAGATTTTAATAAATAATGTGTAGGTCATAATGCTGACTTAAGGAGTACACTGTATATGAGGTCAGATTTTAATAAATAATGTGTAGGATATAATGCTGACTTAAGGAGTACACTGTATATGAGGTCAGATTTTAATAAATAATGTGTAGGATATAATGCTGACTTAAGGAGTACACTGTATATGAGGTCAGATTTTAATAAATAATGTGTAGGTCATAATGCTGACTTAAGGAGTACACTGTATATGAGGTCAGATTTTAATAAATAATGTGTAGGTCATAATGCTGACTTAAGGAGTACACTGTATATGAGGTCAGATTTTAATAAATAATGTGTAGGTCATAATGCTGACTTAAGGAGTACACTGTATATGAGGTCAGATTTTAATAAATAATGTGTAGGATATAATGCTGACTTAAGGAGTACACTGTATATGAGGTCAGATTTTAATAAATAATGTGTAGGATATAATGCTGACTTAAGGAGTACACTGTATATGAGGTCAGATTTTAATAAATAATGTGTAGGTCATAATGCTGACTTAAGGAGTACACTGTATATGAGGTCAGATTTTAATAAATAATGTGTAGGTCATAATGCTGACTTAAGGAGTACACTGTATATGAGGTCAGATTTTAATAAATAATGTGTAGGTCATAATGCTGACTTAAGGAGTACACTGTATATGAGGTCAGATTTTAATAAATAATGTGTAGGTCATAATGCTGACAATGTTTACAATGTGTAGGATTAACTGCTGATCTGAGGAGTACACTGTAAAAGTAAAGTTCCTTTTTCAAACCTGAAGGTCTATAGGGCAAGTGAAGTAAAGTTCACTTGTTTCTGTGACCTCTGCATATGGAGAGATAGTCTGGTCAGCACTATGTTCAGCCATCTTTACTTTCCCTAATGTGAGTTAGGTACCCATCAGAGTTAGGTGGACTCAGGGATGGTCTACTGAATTGAACCCGGATTCGAACTCAAGACTTACAGGTTAATAGTCCAGCTCTCTACCGCTAGACCACTACGTCCCATAATACACTGTATATGAGGTCAATATTTGGTTAATGATGGCTTTAAATATATATTTATTGTGTTCTGTAGTATTAACTTATAGCTAGGATTTATTATTCTTGAGTGGGATTATATAAAACACCAGAATGGTGGGTAGTGATTAAAATCTGAACTTTCTAAAATTTAATGTTGTATACAATTTTAACACTGGCTTTAAAAATATAAACTACATTGTGGTAGTGTTTGTTCTGTTTGTGCAGTTTAAATGTATATATATTTATATACATTATATTATGTAATATAAATGATGACAACTGATTAAGTTATCCATGATTATTTCCCATGTTAACTGTTTCAGGAACTCTCACTGGACTACTACCTGTTACACCTGATGAGAAATTTGGGGTTCCAGGAGTTCAACAAGCAAGTTGTCATCGGCATGGAGCTGATGCAGTCTGAAATCTCTGACAGTTTTGGGGTGGTTGCTCTGTACAATGGTTTTCCTTACCATGCTGAGGCAGTTTCTGTAAGTTGGGCTCAGTCTATTGGGCTTGTCATTTTCCTTAACTCAGTTCTTTTAAAAACAAGATAGAATGAAGAGTTACTTCCCTTGTTTGAAAAAATCCCAGTTAGAGCTTTTAGAAGGCTTGATTGTGCAGGTTTTTCTTCTAATAAAATGGTTTGCTAATAATTTTTTTCCTAACATATGTTTGGCTGATACATATCTGATAATTTTTGATTATGTAAATTTCAAGAAATGAATAGGATTGTGTTTTTCAATTTAGTATTCTGCATATTGTAATGATTTTTGCAGGTTTTTCTTTTTAGATATTAGTTAAGGTTTTTATTTGGTTATATGTGTTTATATTTATCTGCTAGTTTTTACACTCTGTCCATTAATTCACTCATGTGACACGCTGAAAAACTGACTAATGCACTAAGCCATAATTTTTCTTACAGGTCAACTAGTGATTTGAACACCCTCCCTCCTCCAGTATAACATAAATAATCAGTCTAGTGACAACTGGTGACCTAGTGATCCACTGACAACTGGTGACCCAGTGATCCACTGACAACTGGTGACCTAGTGATCCACTGACAACTGGTGACCTAGTGATCCACTGACAACTGGTGACCTAGTGATCCACTGACAACTGGTGACCTAGTGATCCACTGACAACTGGTGACCTAGTGATCCACTGACAACTGGTGACCTAGTGATCCACTGACAACTGGTGACCTAGTGATCCACTGACAACTGGTGACCTAGTGATCCACTGACAACTGGTGACCTAGTGATCCACTGACAACTGGTGACCTAGTGATCCACTGACAACTGGTGACCTAGTGATCCACTGACAACTGGTGACCTAGTGATCCACTGACAACTGGTGACCTAGTGATCCACTGACAACTGGTGACCTAGTGATCCACTGACATCTGGTGATCTAGTGACCCTCTGACAACTTGACACAGGGATGCCACTGACAATCAGTAACCCACATATTACTGGTGACCTAGCAACCCAGTTACATCTGTTTACCTAGTGACCCACTCACAACTGACCATCACTTGACCAACCATTTTTGTCCTGCAGGTCAGCTATGCCTTGAATGCCCTCCTACAGTACAACTTAGACACATCTTACAGCATAGCGACCAGGATCCACCCCATGCCCAGAATCCTGACAGGTGAGAAGATGTATGACGCCCACGACATCACTGGCTCGGCCTTCACCCTGGGTTTCCTCATCACCTGCAGTATGTCCCTGCTGACCAGCAAGGTCATCTATTTTACTATCAAGGAAAGAAAGGTTGGTTTGTTGCTCACCTGAGATATTACAAGTTAAAATGTTACTTTTGAAGAGGAGCATATTGTTATTCATGCAGTATTAGTGGATGATTTAAGGCAGGGGTATGCAAATCAATACTGGCTAACAGAAAGATGGCAGTTCAAAAACTGGTCCAATCTATATTTTCTTCAATACTACCTACCAAAAGATGTCAATCCAAATCCTAGTCATATTAATATGTTGGGATCAAACATTTAGGTACCCCTGAGTCCAACCAGCTTCAATAGATATTTGACAAGTCAAGTTTACCCCATCTATTATTATCCTTGTCTAATCTTTTAGCAGACCTTATTTTTAAGAAAGTTAAATTTTTTTGTTAAATTAAAAAGAAATAACAAAATAGGCCCCACAAATATGTTTTTATTACAGAATTGATTTCTCTATTATTATCATGTTTATTCGACTGAGTTTCTTTATTTCTTGATTCCCCCAAAAGACAGGATCCAAGTTCCTGCAGATGTTGAGTGGAGCTGGACCAATAACATTCTGGGTCCCCACATTTTTGTGTGATATCATCAACTACATAGGGCCCTGCTTCCTCCTGCCTGTGGTCTTTTCCTTGTTTCACAGAGAAGAGTTCCTGGTTGATGGAAGGTGGATGCTGCTTGTTTTTGTACTTGCCCTGTATGCGTTTGCTGCGCTGCCATTTTTCTACTTCTTGCAGTTCTGGTTTATATGTCCTGCTACAGGCATAGCTGTGATTACCTCTGCCAGTCTTTTGACAGGTAATCTCACTATTTTTAAAAGCTTCTGTTTATTTCATGTCTGTGTGTCGGGTGTGGCAAATCTTATAACTGAATTTTTTCCCCTTCTAATGCATCAATTTTGTTTACAGACACATAAGTTATTAAATTATTACTAAAAACTAATATAAAGATTACTATATTCAATAATAAAAGGGGAGATAATACAATTAATCTCAAGAGATTACTTAATCAGCCTGTTTAACATGGTAAAATGACTGAGCGTACATTTCTGATGCTATATAAACATGTACCGTTTTGACCATGCCATCTTGCTTAAACAGCATGAACACTCTTTAAAAAACCAGATTTTGAGTTAGTATTTATGGTTTATTTTTTTAATTGTCACAAGGAGTTATACTGCTACCTTTACACCTAGCACATTAGTTTGTTACTTTTTAAAGACAATTTAATACTTGTATGTCTCTTTTTCTTCTTCCTCCGTTCCTCTCGGCCCTCCACCATCTTTAGTGCTTCCCTTTGTGCTTAATTTCTTTTATAACCTATGAGTAAGGTCTTAAAAATGTTCTACATCAATGTGTACATATAATAAAAATTAATTTAAAAAAAAAAAACAAAGTCTTGAAATCAATGATTAAGACCCCTCTTTCTATACCCCTCTCAACCATTAAACTGACCCATTCTGTCCCACATTACAATGTCAAAGTTCCTAATGACTTGAGTAACTATGTTCCTAACAGGTCTGACCACTACAATCAAACTGACCACTACAATCAAACTGCCCCATTCTGTCCCACATTACAATGTCAAAGTTCCTATTGACTTGAGTAACTATGTTCCTAACAGGTCTGACCACTACAATCAAACTGACCCATTCTGTCCCACATTACAATGTCAAAGTTCCTATTGACTTGAGTCATTCCTAACAGGTCTGACCACTACAATCAAACTGACCCATTCTGTCCCACATTACAATGTCAAAGTTCCTATTGACTTGAGTAACTATGTTCCTAACAGGTCTGACCACTACAATCAAACTGACCACTACAATCAAACTGCCCCATTCTGTCCCACATTACAATGTCAGTTCCTAATGACGTGAGTAACTATGTTCCTAACAGGTCTGACCACTACAATCAAACTGACCCATTCTGTCCCACATTACAATGTTAAAGTTCCTAATGACTTGAGTAACTATATTTCTGACAGGTCTGACCACTACAATTAAACTGACCCATTCTGTCCCACATTACAATGTCAGTTCCTAATGACTTGAGTAACTATGTTCCTAACAGGTCTGACCACTACAATTAAACTGCCCCATTCTGTCCCACATTACAATGTCAAAGTTCCTAATGACTTGAGTAACTATATTTCTGACAGGTCTGACCACTACAATCAAACTGACCCATTCTGTCCCACATTACAATGTTAAAGTTCCTAATGACTTGAGTAACTATATTTCTGACAGGTCTGACCACTACAAGCTTGGTGTACGCCTTATCAGCCACCCCCTCGGGGCCCAGCCAGCTAGCCAACATCTTAAACCAGGTCTTCATGTTGCTGTTTCCCAACTACAACATCGCCAACTGCATGGCCAACATCTACCTCAACTACCACAACCACAAATACTGCACTGAGATGAACAATGAGAGCGTTTGTGCTCTCTGCTGTAAAGGTTAGGGTTAACTTCTGTAGTTAACAAACTTCAGACTTATGAAAGTTTAGGTTTAGGATTGAATGGTAACTAGCTTCACATGTATGAGGGTGGAGTGCTGATTATACTGAATGACAGTCTAACTAGTAATATTGCTACCGTAATCTTCTTCTTCTTCGTTCTTAATTATTAGTGTTAAAGGGGATTGAGATTTATTTGCCAGTGGGTTTTGAACTCGAGACTTTGTTCGAATTTATCAACCATGAGCTTTTTGCTGACTCGACCACGCCTCCAACACAATTAAGCGTTACGTGTCAACCGTTTATGCGCCATTGAGGCAATTGACTCCGATTTCAGCCTGCTTTTCTTTTTGGATTTGCTTCCATAGCCTTTGTCCAACCAAGAACAAGCTACAAGGCAGCAGTTGTTTGATTTTGGAGTTGTCTCTCCTAGAAGTGTGGCTGTCCCCAGCTAACGAGCCTCATCTGCCCGAGGGTTCAAACTCGAGACTTTTCGGTTTAGCAACCATGAGCTTAACCGACTCGACCACGCCGACCCCGCTACCGTAATGAAATTGTTGTTTTATCTGAGGCCAAGGTTGGGCTATAATGGAAGACATATATAAAAGAAAGAGATAGCACAGATAAAACCTAGTGACTCTAGGAGTCTGTGGAGTCTTGCTTAAAGTGACAGCTTGTTGCTAGAGTGGGGATTGGGATAACACTTAAATGACTTGACTGATGTAAATTACGTGACTTATGGCCCTAAAATAAAGAAACAATATTTTATACACACTTGCCAATACTACACTAAAATATAACACCATAGCAAAAATACTTGAATAGACTGATTCTTGATCCCACCACACATTACGTTGTGCTGCCATTATGTTATGTCATAAACTTCCCAGAGGTCACATGACATGGGAAAGCTGGTAATCATTGCTCACAATGTAATGTGACACATTACCTACTCACAGGGCCAGCATCCAAATAAGTCAGGTTATTTCCCTTGGCTGGTAATATTAATGCAACGTGTTACATTATGATTTACCAAATAACAGGAGCTGGTCAGTAGACTGGTCATTTTGTTATCTGGACATTCATGGTTTAACTATGCCTGGACATTATTTGCTGATAATTGATTCCTGGGGATTAATATTACTTGATTGCAGATGCTCCCAATTAATGCCTGAAGCATAATAAGCTTAAAACTATGTAGGCTACTAAAACAAAGAAATGAAGGAATAATTTTAGACTCAGTAATGTATAAATCTTAACTGAAGCCCCAACACAATAAAACATAGATCTATGTATAAGTAAACCATCTTAAATGAATGAAAGTAGGCTACAAGTAAGAAAGAAATATTACTATTGTAAATCTGTATCAGTTGTCACAAGCCAATGATGAAAACTGTAATACTAAAGCGAACATGCAAAGCAAACTGATGCTGTAAATTACTTGTCTGAGGCAGAGAAAAAAACCCACTATAAAACATTCCAACATTCATCAGGGTTCTGTGACAAGTCTCCCAGTAGCAATTGCATCAAGTATGAGGAGAGTTACCTAGCTTGGGAGAAGCCAGGGATAGGAACACACCTTACATACATCTTCCTACAAGGAATAGCTTTTTTCTTTGTTATCTTCCTGATGGAGATAAAGCTGTTTAAGTATTTATGGTGAGTTCTTGTGAATATCTGGGCTATAAACTAAAGGTTTAAACACATCTCTTTTATCTTTTCACATTTGTGCCCAAGATAAATGGGCAAATAAAGTACAGTTCATCTATTTCAATGACCTGATCATACAGGGGAATAATGTGGTCAGCACTATGCCAAGCCGCCTTTTTTCCCTAACATGAACCAGGTACCCATAACAGCTGGGTGGACTCGGGGACGTCCTACAGCCTCAGGCCGGGGACCGGAACTTGAGACTTTTGGGTTGGCAGTCTAGCGCTCTACTGCTCCACTGTCCCGTGCTCTTTAATAGGGTGGTTAATTAAATCTGGTCTTTTAACAAGGTCTTAAAACAAGTTGCTCAAACAAATCTGGTGTTTAAACAAGTTGCTTAAACAAATCTGGTGTTTAAACAAGTTGCTTAAAAATTCTGGTGTTTTAACAAATTGCTTAAAAATTCTGGTGTTTAAACAAGCTGATGAAACAAGTTTTAACATTTTTATATTTGAATACAAATTTATTATTCTCTTATTGGCCTACGTATATAAGCTTTAGGTATCTTAACTATACCATTTAAACTGGATCATACTTGGTATATGTCCTGCAATGATTATAACCTTTGTTAATAACTAAAGGAATAATAAAACCAGTGCTGGCTCTATGCCTCAACAAGATGGTCTGTCTAAAGGCGACACAATGAATTTTAATGATGAAGAGGAAGATGTAACAGCTGAGAAAACTCGAATCCAAAACACACCACTCACCTTACTGTCAATCAAAGGTAGGTGTCACCACACACCATTCACCTAACTGTCACTCAAAGGTAGATGTCACCACACATCACTCACCTTACAGCCACTCAAAGGTAGGTGTCACCACACACCACTCACCTTACTGTCAATCAAAGGTAGGTGTGACACACCACTCACCTTACTGTCACTCAAAGGTAGGTGTCACCACTCACCTTACTGTCAATCAAAGGTAGGTGTGACACACCACTCACCTTACTGCCACTCAAAGGTAGGTGTCACCACCCACCACTCACCTTACTGTCACTCAAAGGTAGGTGTCACCACACACCTTACAGTCACTCAAAGGTAGGTGTCACCACACACAACTCACCTTACTGTCACTCAAAGGTAGGTGTCACCACACACCTTACAGTCACTCAAAGGTAGGTGTCACCACACATCACTCACCTTACTGTCACTCAAAGGTAGGTGTCACCACACATCACTCACCTTACTGTCACTCAAAGGTAGGTGTCACCACACATCACTCACCTTACTGTCACTCAAAGGTAGGTGTCACCACTCACCTTACAGTCACTCAAAGGTAGGTGTCACTACCCACCTTACTGTCACTCAAAGGTAGGTGTCACCACACACACCTTACTGTCACTCAAAGGTAGGTGTCACCACACATCACTCACCTTACAGTCACTCAAAGGTAGGTGTCACTACACACCTTACTGTCACTCAAAGGTAGGTGTCACCACACACAACTCACCTTACTGTCACTCAAAGGTAGGTGTCACCACTCACCTTACAGTCACTCAAAGGTAGGTGTCACTACACACCTTACTGTCACTCAAAGGTAGGTGTCACCACACACAACTCACCTTACTGTCACTCAAAGGTAGGTGTCACCACTCACCTTACAGTCACTCAAAGGTAGGTGTCACTACACACCTTACTGTCACTCAAAGGTAGGTGTCACCACACACAACTCACCTTACTGTCACTCAAAGGTAGGTGTCACCACACACCACTCACCTTACTGTCACTCAAAGGTAGGTGTCACCACACACCACTCACCTTACTGTCACTCAAAGGTAGGTGTCACCACACACCATTCACCTTACTGTCACTCAAAGGTAGGTGTCACCACACACCACTCACCTTACTGTCACTCAAAGGTAGGTGTCACCACACACCTTACTGTCACTCAAAGGTAGGTGTCACCACACACCGCTCACCTTACTGTCACTCAAAGGTAGGTGTCACCACACACCACTCACCTTACTGTCACTCAAAGGTAGGTGTCACCACACACCTTACTGTCACTCAAAGGTAGGTGTCACCACACACCGCTCACCTTACTGCCACTCAAAGGTAGGTGTCACTACACACCACTCACCTTACTGTCACTCAAACATAGGTGTCACCACACACCACTCACCTTACTGTCACTCAAAGGTAGGTGTCACCACTCACCTTACTGTCAATCAAAGGTAGGTGTCACCACACACCGCTCACCTTACTGTCATTCAAAGGTAGGTGTCACCACACACCACTCACCTTACTGTCACTCAAAGGTAGGTGTCACCACACACCTTACTGTCACTCAAAGGTAGGTGTCACCACACACCGCTCACCTTACTGTCACTTAAAGGTAGGTGTCACCACACACCACTCACCTTACTGTCACTCAAAGGTAGGTGTCACCACACACCTTACTGTCACTCAAAGGTAGGTGTCACCACACACCGCTCACCTTACTGTCACTCAAAGGTAGGTGTCACTACACACCACTCACCTTACTGTCACTCAAAGGTAGGTGTCACCACACACACCTTACTGTCACTCAAAGGTAGGTGTCACCACACATCACTCACCTTACTGTCACTCAAAGGCAGGTGTCACCACACACCACTCACATTACTGTCACTCAAAGGCAGGTGTCACCACACATCACTCACCTTACTGTCACTCAAAGGTAGGTGTCACCACACACCACTCACCTTACTGTCACTCAAAGGTAGGTGTCACCACACACCACTCACCTTACTGTCACTCAAAGGTTGGTGTCACAACACACCTCTCACCTTACTGTCACTCAAAGGTAGGTATCACCACACACACCTTACTGTCACTCAAAGGTAGGTGTCACCACACACTACACACCTTACTGTCACTCAAAGGTAGGTGTCACCACACACACCTTACTGTCACTCAAAGGTAGGTGTCACCACACACTACACACCTTACTGTCACTCAAAGGTAGGTGTCACCACACACACCTTACTGTCACTCAAAGGTAGGTGTCACCACACATCACTCACCTTACTGTCACTCAAAGGTAGGTGTCACCACACACTACCCACCTTACTGTCACTCAAAGGTAGGTGTCACCACACACTACACACCTTACTGTCACTCAAAGGTAGGTGTCACCACACACACCTTACTGTCACTCAAAGGTAGGTGTCACCACACATCACTCACCTTACTGTCACTCAAAGGTAGGTGTCACCACACACTACCCACCTTACTGTCACTCAAAGGTAGGTGTCACCACACACACCTTACTGTCACTCAAAGGTAGGTGTCACCACACACCAACCACCTTACTGTCACTCAAAGGTAGGTGTCACCACACACCAAACACCTTACTGTCACTCAAAGGTAGGTGTCACCACACACCAAACACCTTACTGTCACTCAAAGGTAGGTGTCACCACACACCACTCACCTTACTGTCACTCAAAGGTAGGTGTCACCACACACCTTACTGTCACTCAAAGGTTGGTGTCACCACACACCGCTCACCTTACTGTCACTCAAAGGTAGGTGTCACCACACACCTTACTGTCACTCAAAGGTTGGTGTCACCACACACCGCTCACCTTACTGTCACTCAAAGGTAGGTATCACCACACACCTTACTGTCACTCAAAGGTAGGTGTCACCACACACCACTCACCTTACTGTCACTCAAAGGTAGGTGTCACCACACACCACTCACCTTACTGTCAATCAAAGGTAGGTGTGACACACCACTCACCTTACTGCCACTCAAAGGTAGGTATCACCACACACACCTTACTGTCACTCAAAGGTAGATGTCACCACACACACCTTACTGTCACTCAAAGGTAGGTGTGACACATCACACACCTTACTGTCACTCAAAGGTAGATGTCACCACACACCGCTCACCTTACTGTCACTCAAAGGTAGGTATCACCACACACACCTTACTGTCACTCAAAGGTAGGTGTCGTCACACACCTTACTGTCACTCAAAGGTAGGTGTCACCACACACCACTCACCTTACTGTCACTCATAGGTAGGTGTCACCACACACCACTCACCTTACTGTCACTCAAAGGTAGGTATCACCACACACACCTTACTGTTACTCAAAGGTAGATGTCACCACACTCACCTTACTGTCACTCAAAGGTAGGTGTCACCACACACCACTCACCTAACTGTCACTCAAAGGTAGGTGTCACCACACACCACTCACCTTACTGTCACTCAAAGGTAGGTGTCACCACACACCACTCACCTTACTGTCACTCAAAGGTAGGTGTCACCACACATTTACTTTACTGTCACTCAAAAGTAGGTGTCACCACTCATCACTAACTATTAAATTTCACTACCTTTCTATCTAACCTCAGGCAACATTTGATTCAATATTTGTATCTGATAATTACAGTAAATAGTGTACAAAAAGACTATATTGTTATATTCAACAATTTTAACTGTCTTTAATTAGTTTACTTTTCGTAGTCAATTGTTACCTTACTCTATGTAAAATTTGTCACCTTAATTTATGAATGTTTTTATTTTAATATTCCCAATCTATTTGTCTTTAATCTCTCAGTAGTCTTTACTACATTTATATATCCCTTATGTTAATTGACACTGATTTATACTTGGTGCAGATGCACTGTTCTCAAATCTTTACATCTTCTGTTGTGGATGATAAGTTGATTGCCACTGATCTCTGTCTGGTACAGATGCACTGATCCTGTGCAACCTGAGCAAGAGGTATGGCAGTTTTGTAGCACTGAACAACATCTGCATGGGGGTGACAGAGAAGGATTGCCTGGGTCTAGTAGGGTTAAATGGAGCAGGGAAGTCCTGTATTCTGAAGCTGTTGGTGGGGATTGAGGAACCAAGTGAGGGCACAGCTCTGCTGCATGAGCTCAATATCCTGGACAGCATGCGTTATGTAAGCTCCTTGTTGTTTGACACTCTGTAAGCTCCTTGTTGTTTGACACACTGTTCTTTTGTTTGACGTTCTGTAAGCTTCTTTTGTTTGACACACTCTTCTTTTGTTTGACGTTCTGTAAGGTTCTTTTGTTTGACACACTGTTCTTTTGTTTGACATTCTGTAAGGTTCTTTTGTTTGACACACTGTTCTTTTGTTTGACATTCTGTAAGGTTCTTTTGTTTGACACACTGTTCTTTTGTTTGACATTCTGTAAGGTTCTTTTATTTGACACACTGCTCTTTTGTTTGACATTCAGTAAGGTTCTTTTGACACACTGTTCTTTTGTTTGACATTCTGTAAGGTTCTTTTGTTTGACACACTGTTCTTTTGTTTGACATTCTGTAAGGTTCTTTTGTTTGACACACTGTTCTTTTGTTTGACATTCTGTAAGGTTCTTTTGTTTGACACACTGTTCTTTTGTTTGACATTCTGTAAGGTTCTTTTGTTTGACACACTGTTCTTTTGTTTGACATTCTGTAAGGTTCTTTTGTTTGACACACTGTTCTTTTGTTTGACATCCTGTAAGGTTCTTTTGTTTGACACACTGTTCTTTTGTTTGACATTCTGTAAGGTTCTTTTGTTTGACACACTGTTCTTTTGTTTGACATTCTGTAAGGTTCTTTTATTTGACACACTGTTCTTTTGTTTGACATTCTGTAAGGTTCTTTTGTTTGACACACTGTTCTTTTGTTTGACATTCTGTAAGGTTCTTTTGTTTGACACACTGTTCTTTTGTTTGACATCCTGTAAGGTTCTTTTGTTTGACACACTGTTCTTTTGTTTGACATCCTGTAAGGTTCTTTTGTTTGACACACTGTTCTTTTGTTTGACATTCTGTAAGGTTCTTTTGTTTGACACACTGTTCTTTTGTTTGACATTCTGTAAGGTTCTTTTGTTTGACACACTGTTCTTTTGTTTGACATTCTGTAAGGTTCTTTTGTTTGACACACTGTTCTTTTGTTTGACATTCTGTAAGGTTCTTTTGTTTGACACACTGTTCTTTTGTTTGACATTCTGTAAGGTTTTTATTTTATTGACATTCTGTAAGGTTCTTGTTTTTTGACACACTGTTCTTTAGTTTGATATTCTGTAAGGTTCTTTTTTGACATTCTGTATGGTTCTTTAGTTTGATATTCTGTAAGGTTCTTTTGTTTGAAATTCTGTAAGGTTCTTTTGTTTGAAATTCTGTAAGGTTTTTGTGTTTGAAATTCTGTAAGGTTTTTGTGTTTGAAATTCTGTAAGGTTCATGTTGGGTGATGTGTAGTTCTAGTAGTAATTCTATTTCGTTTGGTGCTTTACATGTTGGGTTTTCAAAACATTTATACCCTCATCAATGGTTTAAATCAATGTGCACAACTGGTTACTTTTTTTAACAAAACTTAACAAATGGGCTGTTTTTTTAAACTTATATGTGGCAGATCACTTTGGATAATTGCAGTTTTGGAGATATCTTCCAAAAGATTGCTGCTGTAAATATGGAGCTTAATATGTAAATAGTTAATTTTGTTGGAGGAAATCCCTTCCAACATTACAATTAAGAACAAAGAAGAAGAGGAACTGCTGACTTGTATAAATGTTTAGATCCACAGTTGCACTGGATACTGCCCCCAGCAAGGTGCCCTGTGCTAACTTGTATAAATGTTAAGATCCACAGTTGCACTGGATACTGCCCCCAGCAAGGTGCACTGTGCTAGCTTGTATAAATGTTTAGATCCACAGTTGCACTGGATACTGCCCCAGCAAGGTGCACTGTGCTAACTTGTATAAATGTTTAGATCCACAGTTGCACTGGATACTGTCCCCATCAAGGTGCACTGTGCTAACTTGTATAAATGTTTAGATCCACAGCTGCACTGGATACTGCCCCCAGCAAGGTGCACTGTGCTATCTTGTATAAATGTTTAGATCCACAGTTGCACTGGATACTGTCCCCAGCAAGGCGCCCTGCTGAAACACATGAATGTCAAACAAACTCTTCTGATGTACGCGAGGCTGAGAGGGATATCCATTAACAGGCTATCCTCTGTCGTCAGATATTTGATTGAAATTCTACTGCTACAGCCGTATGCAAGGGTCAAGGTTGCATACCTGAGGTTAGTAATCTCAAAACAGTTAATTTGTGGGTTAGACCATTTACTGTTTTAGTCAAGTTGACCTACCTGAAAGTCTTCTTCTTAATCCTGTTCCTGCCCAAGACACATGGGGCAGATGAAGTAGAGTTCCTCTGATTCATTGACCTCTGCATATGAAGGCATAGTGTGGTCAGTACTTTGCCCAGACGCCTTTATTTTCCCTAACATAAGTTAGGTACCCATCAGAGCTGGGTGGACTCAGGGACGTTCCACTAATTTGAACCCAGATTCGAACTCCAAGACTCTCGGGTTAGCAGTCTAGCTCTCTACCGCTTGGCCACGCCGTCCCTGAAAGTAGTAATCTTAAAACAGGGTTAGACCTGGTGCTGCCTCAGAAAAAGTCAAGGTGACCTTTCGGAGGTTAGTAGTCTTAAAAAAATCAACAACTGATGAACTACAAATATGATTGTTATGGACATTATTTTAACATACCTCATATAAAGCGGGAGTAACCTACCCTAAACTGTCATCTATATTATTATAAAACAGAAATTTTTGGAATAGCATTTCCAGTGGATGAAACCTTGTGTATACATAATCACTCTCTGCATGGGCTAGGTAGAACAAAAGTTCTTTTTTAAGAAAACGCCTAGACAAAAAATTCTTAGATTATTCTGCTTTATGATAAACAATTAGCTCATATATCTCAAACGTTGACTAATGCCTATGCATTCAATCTTATGTATGAAATTTTGGCCACCCCGCTGAAACTTTAGGCTACTCAAGCTGTTAGTGTGTTTTTTTGTGTGTGTTTTGGTTAGTTGTGGTTTGGGTGGGCAATGCTGGGTATATGCTGATTACTAAACACACATGTCATGGTCCTTTACAGTTAGGTTTTTCACAGAGGCCAGTGCAGGGCCTGGCCGGGACGGCTAGTTATAGTATATAAGTAATTCTGTTTATCTTTTAAGCATTACTACTCAGATCATCATAATACCGCGTTTACACTTGCGACATGTATACTATACATTTCTAGAAAAAAAAACTTCGCTATAGAGCCTAAGTTAATAGGGGAGCCTACTCACTTATTGCGAAGTTTTTTTTTCTAACCATGTAAAGTATACATGTCGCAAGTGTAAACGCGGTGTAAGACTTAAGGAAGTTGTTGTATTACTATGCCCACCTGTAAATGTTTCTATCATGAAAAAGTTTTTAAAATATCAGAGGGGAGGGGGCGGCTATCTTAGCATATGGTGTCTGCTGATAAGGCCTCCTGCCCTGGGGATCAGGGGCAGGCCTACTTCTGCTGTATGATCTGGAGCACCTTGGATTCTCTCTTGTCAACTACTCTCATTTTAAAGAGCGCCCTACACCAGGAATAAAGAGGCCATTATAATTGAAGACTAAACTACCATGGCTGGAATCTGAGGCTTCTGCAGTATCATAAATGGTGGCACCTTCCAGCGCACGGCTGAGGGGGATTAATGTATACTTAAGGTTTCTTCCAGCACACCCTGATGTGTTAAGTGTGGACAAACTTTCGTCTCAGTAAAATTAACATTCAAGATATGTAGCACCACCATTATTACTAATTTACTCAAAATTATAAATTTGATATCTAGAAATAGATGATACTCTAACTGCTATTTTATCAGCACCTTATACAGAAGTGTGGTTTAATGCCAGTATCAGTAAATCACTTGATAAATTTCAGCAAATGCATTAATTTGTGTAGTTGAACACACATATCAAATTAAATTCCTTTCTTCTTAGATCGCAGCAACCCAACTTAAAGTCACAGTTCAGTATGTTTGATATGTTTAGACTCATGCTAAACGATATGTTGAAAAAGTGAATTAACATTGAAAATCCCTTTGGACTAGTTACAACCTCTTTTTAAAAAAATTTTTTCATAAAATCAAGGGAGGCAACCTAAAAGTATGTTCCCTAAATTCGTGAACAAACGAGATTTGATCATTACATACTAGAAATGTGTGGCTCATTGCATATTACTTCATTGAACTTGAGTATTAATAACTATTTATATGTGTATGTCATTTTTATGTTTCTTAGTTGTTAGGATTATTAGCTAAGTTAAATTTTAATATAAAAGAAAACGTTAGGAATACTGAACAGCAAATTTATAGGTTTAAAAATTGTGTCTTAATTGAAATTATTCATTTATGATACTGTCTTCTGGTGGAATATTCTATATTTACTACATAAAAAAAAATTTAAAAATGACACAAATCACTGAACCCTCACAACCCTTTCTCCCCCCCCAATTCAATATTATCTCCCTTGATCCACCTCTATATTGATCTCTATTTTGATCACATTCTATTGAAATTGTTGTTAAGTCAATTAGTCTACTTTACCACATAGCTTCTACCCTCCTCTACATAGCTTTCTCCCCCCCCCCCCCCCCCCCTCCTCCACAAGAAAAAAAAGTCTGAAAAAAAACAGATTTTGTGGTGATGGTCTCTCTGCAGACCTCCGACAGTGAGTTCCAGAACGGAGCTTACCTGTTTTAAGTTTAACTTTCTTTGGTTATAATAATTGTAAAATGTCTAAATTGTGTTATTATGTAGGTAGCGATTTTTTGTTTTTGAAAAAAAAGTTTATACATGTTATAGATTCCAGCCTACAATTGTTATATATGAATCCTTTAGGAGAAGGTAAAAAATATGAAAAAGACACTTCATTAATTAAATAATTAATTTGCCACTTAGTGCAACAAATGCGTCTAAAATCGTCTATCTCATAATAATAAGCATTGCAATCTACAATGGCTACTGATGTATTTGTTTTTTTAACCAAACTATTTTGTTTAGAACTTCTGCTCTATATAATTTTTACAATAGAAAATAATTACTTAAAGTTGTATTTATAAGTAAGGGGTCTACTTAAGTTGCAGGTTTTTTAATGAATTTAAAGTTAAGCAACAAATTATCTCCCATTTGGATATCTAAATACCAAAATTTCATTCAAGGGAAATAACTTTCACAAGAATAGCTAAATTAATCAAGTTTAACTACGGCTATTTGAAAAGCACAATAAAACGCTTTAAATTTCATTACGTAATAATTATAACTAATATTTTATATTAGCTATGTAACTTTGTCAAAACAATATATTTTACGAATCGACTACTTAACTGTAGGTTTTGTTTGAAAGTCTAAACATGGTAGATTTATTACAATATACTTATAGTCAACTTTGATAACATGCTTTCAATTTTTTGTTGATTTTGATATTGTTTTACATACTTAATTTTGGATCCCCAAAATAAAGGGACATCTTTAAAAAAAATTATATTATAATAGGGGTGAGTAACTATTGCTATAATACTTTTTTAAATATATAAGGATTATATATTGAAAAAATAAAGTTAGTTATACTTTCCAGCCTAGTTCACCTTATAGGTAGCACCGACCATGCCCCTTTCTCTCTCATTCAAAGTTTGTTTACCCCATGACCCTCCCTTCATTTGGCTTCACTGTTTTTCACTAGCACTTAGTTATTATTTGGTTACATATTGTAAAAACAAACAGCACTTTGACTTTGATATTAATGATATATGAACAGTTGTAAAATCTTATGGTTTTGTTTAATGTTTGAAATTTATGCAAATGATGTTAATGTATTTTTTTTATTTTGAAAATAAAAGAATTAAAAAAATTGAATATAGATTTAGATTCTAGTAAACAAATATATCTTCTACGGACACATTCAACTCATGGTATGTCTTTGACGCCCCTTATTTGACAAACCTCTTATGATCAGTGCTGTCTTAGGCTCCCACATTGTCTCTTTCCATAGCTTTGTGTTAGGTAATTTGTCCAGCCTCCACAATCCCAGGATCTGTGGAAAACAGTTGTTATAAAGGTCTCTATTCTGTTTGTGCTGGTCTTGAAGACTCAATACTTCAGATCCATTCAACAAGACTGCCTTCACATTTGAGGTTAATAACTTAATTTTTGTTGTGGTAAAGTTGAGAGCGGTTGTCTGTTCAGAACGCACCATGTTAAAGACATACAAGGTTTTCTTAATTCTTGCATGGATGTCCATCTCTGTGTCTCCTGATTGGCTGATCTTGCTGCCAAGGTAAACAAATTTTTGCACATCATTCATGTGTCCTCCCTCTGTTATTACTTGGACATCTTAATTACTGTTGGTTGTCATGTCATTACAACAAAAACTGCTAAGCCCCTAACCTGTTATATATAGCTTGAACTCCTTGGTAGGGAGAAAATTGGACAGTATTTCCCATTCCATCTGCCTCATTTGATATGGTTATTGGGAACCCCTGGTTGGGCTACTGCACGGTTGCAGACCCTGGATTGGTTTGGTCATTGAAAGTAGCGGCCCACCAAATCTCTTGTGCAGGGTGCTCTTTAAAATGAATGTAAGCACCATACAGGTTATAAGGCAGCCAGGGCAGTTCAAGTCACTGGACTGAGAGGGTTCCAGAGTTGTATCCTGGTGTTGTTTAACTCTTGAATCAAGTAGCACCCTGACCCCATTCAACATACCCTTTGTCTTAAATTTAGCTGCTGGTAACCAAATTTTATAGAATTCAACACATTTAATATAAATGTATTCATATAAAGCCTATTATAATTAGGTTTAATCCACTTTTATGAAAAATTTGAAGCAAAATATGAATTTGAGGAACAATCAAAACTATATTTAATATTACTTAGATGAGTAATTTTTAAAATTGTATTGCTCTTTGTAATCACACATACACCCCCCACCCACCCCTTCCACACCCACATGAACTTTAATGTATACACTATATCCAATGTACACTTGAACCTGTAAATTGCATCAACTTGTTTTACTTAACCAGCCAAGGACTGAGACAGAGGCTAAACATCGGCATAGCTCTGATTGGTGACCCAGTCCTGATACTGTTGGATGAACCACTGTGTGGCATAGACCTCAACACTAGAATTAGGCTATGGAGCGTCCTGACCAAATTTAGAAATTTAAATCATACTGTCATACTGGTGACTAACAAGTAAGAACTATTTGTTTCATTTCTTATTTATTCAGTTTTTTTTTAATATTGCTCCCTGGTGTTAAAAAAAAACCAACCTCAATTGAATTATCAATACTTGCATTTAATAAGAAATTTTACAAATTAGTTTCCCTGTCATTATCAATTACTGTTCACTGTAGGCCTATCTATATACATAAAATGTTGTTTTTTAATTTATAAATCACATGTATCTGAATCTGGAATATTTTTTTAAGTTTCTGATTAGCATGACTCCTAGTTAAGTCCTGGGGTCGGCGTGGTCGAGTCGGTAAAGCTCATGGTTGCTAATCCGAAAAGTCTCGAGTCTGAACCCTGGTTAGCTGAGGCAGCCACTTTTGTAGGAGAGACAACTCCAAATCAAACAACTGCTGCCTTGTAGTTTGTTCTTGATTGGACAAAGGCTATGGAAGCAAATCCAAAAAGATAAGCAGGCTGAAATTGGAGTCTCAATGGTGCATAACCAGTTGACACTTATCCTTCATTGTGATGGAGGCGTGGTTGAGTTGGCTAAAGCTCATGGTTGATAAATTCGAAAAAGTCTTGAGTTTGAACCCTCTGGCAGATAAGGCTCGATCCCTTCCAACACTTATAATTAAGAACGAAGAAGAAGAAGAGTCCTGCAGCAGAAAATATTATTTACCACTTTTATAAAAATATTTCCCATGACATTTACAGTTTGATAACTTTTTTTCAGTTTGGAAGAATGTGAAGCATTGAGTACCCGCACTGCCATGATGTTCAATGGCAACTTTGTCTGTTTGGGGAGCCCCAGGCATTTGAAATCTAAATACAGACTGGGATTTACCCTTATCATTCACCAGAAAATACAAAACAATGGCAGCCCTGTCCCCAGTAGTCCGTTGATAGAGTACATACTCAATTTATTTCCTGATGCCAAGGTGGGAGAGTTTTTGTTTTAGTTTGCTATAGTAGTAGAAGGATTAATTGCCTTATTTCCCAGCATATAGGATGACTTAATCAAGGAAAATCTCTAGTTGGGGGTTGTCTTGTAGGCAGGGTGACATATTTACAGTTCTATAGGCCTATATCTTAAACTGTACACTTAAACTTTACAATTTAACTGGAAAAGTTAAGGAGGTCGTCTTTTGCACTTGGTCACCTAACAGGTGAGAATACAGGTTTTACCTGTAGTTTAATGTATTGTGTGAAGCAACACAACTTTATTGCTGGGTGTGAAAGTTAAATAAATTTTCAACAAGTTGGATGTGATGTTGGCCTAAAATTTATTTTTTTCTCATGAAATAAACCACTCATTCATTTCTCTGAACATTATAGGCCTGAGTAGCTTAAATTTCATGTGAACTACTCTAACAGAGAAAATAGAAAAGCTGGGTGTATTGCAAAGACATTGTAAATTAAAAATCACTCCCCCAAAGACAATAATTTCTAGAGGACTCTGTAATTTATAAAGAACCTCTCCAAGATGGTGATTGATTTTGAATCTGTACGTACATCTAGATTATTATTATTTTAACTCGCCAAAACAATTTTAATTTTACTGCCTCTTGACACCTGTTGCTAAAGCAAACAGATTAAGTTGGTTCAATTTTCTCACAATGGCAAAAAACAAAATATCTGGCCAAAAACAAAGGATTCTTAATTTACTTTTGGTTCCACTATACAGTCAAGCCCTTCACTTAGGGTACGGAATCTTAGACATGGGGGTGTTTGTAATTGAAAAAAATGTTGACAGCTTTGAGTGGGACCTTGAAGTATGTCTCTAATCATTTGATTTTTACATGTGCTGTCCTTCCCACGGCTACTGGACATTACCCCCCCCCCCTCCCGGACATTTACCCCGTATTTACCCCCTGTCAATTACCCCCCCCCCCCCCTCCAAGTTAGAATCCTAACTCTAACTAGAATTCTACACCTATATATTACCTTAATCCTTACCCCCAGAAAAAGACCAAAACCTAAGCATCCACCTCAGCCTAAAACTTAACACAAAACCAAAACCAATGCTAGACATTGGTTTAAGCATAACCCTAACACTGACATTAACCCTTACCCTAGCCATAGCTATAGCCCGTAACCTAAACCTAGCCCTAACCCTGTCCGGGAGGGGGTGGGGGTAATGTCCTACTGGGTGGGGGGTGGGGGTAATGTCCTACTGGGTGGGGGGGGGGGTAATGCCCTGTTCCCCCTCCCCACAGACACCCACAAAGCCCAAGTAATATCCTACTGGGTGTGGGGGGGGGGGGGTAATGCCCTGTTCCCCCTCCCCACAGACACCCACAAAGCCCAAGTAATATCCTACTGGGTGTGGGGGGGGGGGGTAATGCCCTGTTCCCCCTCCCCACAGACACCCACAAAGCCCAAGTTTTATCTTCGTGTACAGGTGACAGATGACCACCTGGGCTGTGTCCTGTTTGAGGTGGCCAACATAAAGATGAAGCTCCCAGACCTGATCTCCGTGCTGGACAACGCCAAGACAACCCTCAGCGTCACCCACTACTCCATCCAGCCAACAACATTAGAGCAAGTGTTTCTGGCCTTCGCCGCCCTACAGTCCCCCAATGAACAGAAACAAGTCAACATTGGGGGCAAGCTGCTGTTTCAGCTGTCCAGTACAGGAATGCTGCGTAGGGCATCGACCTGCTCAGTGGCCCGGCCCAGAACTTCTGTAATTTGGGAGTCACCAAGTCTGGACATCCTGGCTACAAGATCAGTGGCTGATACAGATGGCACAGAAAGTGAAGTTTGAGGACAGACCTTTGACACAGAGAGTGAAGTTTGAGGACAGACCTTTGACACAGAAAGTGAAGTTTGAGGACAGACCTTAGAAAGTGAAGTTTGAGGACAGACCTTGGAAAGTGAAGTTTGAGGACAGACCTTGGGCACAGAAAGTGAAGTTTGAGGACAGACCTTTGACACAGAAAGTGAAGTTTGAGGACAGACCTTCAGCACAGAAAGTGAAGTTTGAGGACAGACCTTGGGCACAGAAAGTGATATTTGAGGACAGACCTTGGAAAGTGAAGTTTGAGGACAGACCTTTGACACAGAAAGTGAAGTTTGAGGACAGACCTTAGAAAGTGAAGTTTGAGGACAGACCTTGGAAAGTGAAGTTTGAGGACAGACCTTGGGCACAGAAAGTGAAGTTTGAGGACAGACCTTAGAAAGTGAAGTTTGAGGACAGACCTTGGAAAGTGAAGTTTGAGGACAGACCTTGGGCACAGAAAGTGAAGTTTGAGGACAGACCTTTGACACAGAAAGTGAAGTTTGAGGACAGACCTTAGAAAGCGAAGTTTGAGGACAGACCTTGGAAAGTGAAGTTTGAGGACAGACCTTAGAAAGTGAAGTTTGAGGACAGACCTTGGAACGTGAAGTTTGAGGACAGACCTTAGAAGGTGAAGTTTGAGGACAGACCTTTGACACAGAAAGTGAAGTTTGAGGACAGAGCTTGGACACAGAGGCAACAAGAAGTAAAGTTTGAAGACAGACTTCTATTTTTATTTACAATACTGCCTGGCAACAGACCTAAAAGCTCATATCTGAAGCTAAAGCTATTTTTTGTAAGCTTGTAGTGTTTTATTTAACCTGTTTATAAAATTAAATCCCTTTCAACTTTGAATATGTTTTCTATAGTTTCTGTTATGTAATATACTCAGTAAAGAACTTATAGTTTTTTTTTTCCTTGTGCTAATGTCAGCTTTTTAAACTAAAAGTATTAAAATAACCTTAGTTTTTAAGATTGTATTAATGGAACAGTTAGATTCTATCTTTTTTTCCCAATATTAAGTTATATTTTAAATTTTAGCTTTATGTAAGTGTAACAATAATTTATAGTAGTTTATTTTAAGGAGTAAAATTTGACACCATTGATAGCATGTTGTAGTACCTGGCCTACATTGAGTAACTCACTTTCAATATTTTTAAAACTAGAATTAAAGTTTGTTGGTCACACCTAACCTACATATAGTGGCATAAATATGTATGTATATAGGCCTAGATATTTTAATTTATATATATATGTATATGTGTGTATATGTACATATATGTATGTGTGTATATAAATGTCACAATGTAGTATCAGTTGAATATATCTACGTTCTATAAGCTTCCAATCAATGTACAAATGCGTTTATGATTTTACAGTTTGTTGGTTGCACACATACATTTTTTTAATACTTCTAATCTCTCTCAATTATATGCATATATTAACTGCATATGTTAAACAACCCCAGCGTAAACGTTTTTCTAAAATACGCACGTCCTAAACTTTCTGCAGTTAATATTTTTTGTACTGCTGATTGAGGGGGTAATCCGTCCTACTCATTGGCGTAAAGCCAGCCAGACTTTGTTTTGTTTTGAACAATTTTTTTTTTGTTGTAAATTCAAATTATATGTTTAACTTTAATTCTAAAATAAATAAAAATCCTGAGCAGTTGTTTCTTATTTATAGTTGGTCCTTTTCTGTATTGTTTAATTATGATAGTTCATCCTATATTTTATTTCCATATGGCAGATTTTGAGCTCTACAACTCTGGGAGTATTGTAGTCAGCACTATTCAGTCAAATATAAGTATTGTAGAATCCTGCACTTCTACAATAGTAGTCAGGTACCCATCAAAGCTGGGTAAGCTTGAGACAGGTAACCATCTAAGCTGGGTGGGCTTGAGTCAGGTACCCATCAGTACTTGGATTATAGAGGAACTTATCAGAGCTTGGTGTCTTAAAGAGGTACCCATATAAGCTGGGGGAATGGAGTCAAGTACTTCTCAATGCTCTGGTTTCAGATGACCATATCAGTCATTTTTGAGAAAGAAATAGATTTTAATTTTTTTTTAAATCTCCATTTTTAGTGGGTTGTTTGCTGAGTTGTCTCGTCTTGCTTTTTGTGACGCTAGGAAGGGGGAGGTAAAAATCTTCAAATTAGCGTAACATCATTTGTGGATGATTTCCCCCCCCCCCCCCCCCCCCAATCAATAAGCAGCGACATCACCTGTAAAATCTATTGGCAGGGATCTAAGCTTGAGTGACACCTAAGTGTTGATGCTTTCTCGTTTTTTTTTCTTCTAAAGGACTAACTAGTTTTATTTGTTTATTTATTTCTGTTATCAAAATTTATATCGTGTTTTTATTTATATATTTTAACCCCCCCCCCCTTTTCCATAATTCAATGACGCAAGTGGATTTTATTTAAAAGAAAAATATCTTAGCCATCTGGAAATTTAAGCAATGTGTAATTACTATAGCCCCCCCCCCCCCCCCCCACCCCCACTCTTGCAATAGGCTACGTAACTAATCCCTTAAACATTACCATTGTTTCCTTTCCCACAGAACATTTATAATGGCTTGAAAAAAATAACCATGTGTTCTTCACACCTCACCAACCCCCAGGAAAACACGGTTTAGTTTAAGCACCAGTTCAAAGTAGGCGGACTACTTAGCTGTTGAAAGCTTGCGATTTCTTCTGGGGAGAGTAATTTCAACCGTTTATAATCGTTGTACACGGCAATGCACAAATCCGAAAATCACTTTAATATGGCGATTAGAATAATGTATTACGATTAACAATGTACACGGCTGAGAGGAACGAAACTAATCGATCACATTTGCAGCTGTATAACTGGAGAAACATTTTTGCTCGACCATAGAACGGTCACCCAAGCTTTATTCTGATAGCTATACTGTACTTGCGTAATTTTGGTAAAGAAACAAAATGATGAGGTCTTGCATTGCAACCCTAGCTTTTTGCTTCATAATAAGCAGCACCAGTTATAATCCTGATGCTTTTCCTGCACCCGAGGTAGGTAGCCTATATCAATTATATATATAAGTATATATATTATATACCTTTATTTTTCTTGGATTTTGATACAATGAAAAATCGACAATAAGTAAAAGGATATGCAATCGTGAAAACATCAGGGATACTGCCATTAGGGATATTTGACGCTAGGAATTTCGACATTAAGGATATTCTCTACTCAGGGCGTGTTTTACGAAAAGGAAGAACCGAAATCTGAGTACTCTGGATTTTTTTTACACGGATCTCGATTGCTTTTGTTTTTTTTTCTTGAATAATTTCTCTTTTTACACTATGTGCACCCGCAGTTGATTGACGAAGAGTCACAAGCATCTTCTGACGAGAGTGGAGTGGACAATCAAGTAATATTTGAAGCATTGCATATATATATATATATATATATATATATATATATATATATATATATATATATATATATATATATATATATGAGTGTGTGTAGGCAATTTACACTCCAGCACCCAACTTAATTATATAATAGGTCAATGTTGGTAAATAGTGATGTCAATATTTCTCAGTTTTGTTGTCAAGATCTGTAAAAAAAAATAGGTTACCTAACATTATTTCTATAAATTGTTAGACAAATATAGACTACAATATGTATCAAATCTCTTTACTTTGTTATTTGACAAATCAAAACATATACGTGTAATAAAAGCTATCGAAAATATTGAACACAACAATTGAAAATAAATACAATTGATAATAGCCTACATAATTTAAAACATTGATACCCAAATATTTTTACTTGTATTTGGCTTTTGTGAAAGTTTTTTTTTTAAATTTAGATGGACAACATAGGAGTAAATAGGTTTATTTTTAGTAAGGGGGAAAACGTGAAAAAAAAAGGCCAAATTTTTAGAGTTGTTAATTTTTTCTGTATCATAAAAGCCTATTTCAAGTACATCACTGTCTATATAATAAATGGTAGGCTTACTAACTGGGCTTTTATTTTAATACACACACTTTAGACACAGCGAAAATCATTTTTCTTCACCATATGTGGAACTCGAATAAAATATTTAGTTTGATGAATAACTTTCCGTAGTTTGAGTTATATTTGGGATAATTTTTTAAAATGTCATTGAAAATAACCATCACTATTTCTATAAGATGTGAAAACGATAGACAAAAATTAACCCATTTTTAAAACACCCTCACAAATACACTAACATAAACACACATATAGACCTATATAATATGCACATAGATAGAGAGAGACAGATAGCTAATGAAAATAGTGGTATTAAAATATCGGAATTTAAATTTTAGTATACTTGTAAATCGGCCTCCAATGTTAAAAATGTAAACTATCATGGTAAAATAGCATATACAGTTTTATTATCACTCTTAACGAGCATTTAATTTAAAACTTTTTTTCAAGGCGCCACAAGTTCTGGGAGACCCTTCTAACGCATTTGGACATGAGAGTGGTGATAAGGACAAACCAGTAATAAAATTATCTTTAGTTTACAAGAGGATGGGTGGATGGTCTGATAAATGGACAGATAAATATAGAAATCGACGAATGAAATTGAAAAAATTCGGAATGTTTAATTTAGCTTTAGTAATTGCTTTTGTTCTTATTTTACCACCAAAGACAAACAGGCGGAATAACTCTAACCTTGACATTTCAGCTGATCGTCAGTGATCCACTTGAAGACGACATTGTCGAGGCTCCTGCTGTAATTAAGGGCGGGGAAACGAGCAGTGAAAATTTTGTAGGCCCAAATTCAAACTTTATACATTTTTGCTAAAACTGGTCATATTCACATTTTCTCTTACACATTTTCTGGGGGAAAAAATTATCTCCAAAATTTACAAATTTTAATTTCAGCAACACATTTTCTTTAAAAAAAAACACCTATATTTTCTCCAAATCTGGACACATTTAAATTTTCTATTACACATTTTCTGAGGGGAAAAACATTTTCCCCAAATCTGGGTAATTTCTAATTCATCTTATACTACTTTTTCTAAAAAAAAGACATCTTCGCCAAATCTTGACCAATTCTAATTTTATCATAGATTTGTTCTGAAAAAATACCGGGGTTTTCTCCAAATCTGGACCAATTAAAATTTCATCTTACACATTTTCTTAAAAAAAAAAACGACTTTTTTTTCTCCAAATCTGGACAAATACATAGTCAATCTTATCCTTTTTCTGAAAAAAATCAAAATCACGCGAAAGTTGTACATTTTGTTTGTTAGGATAGTTCAGCATCAATTCTCTTTTATGTAAGAATTGGCTTAATTTTAATAAAAAGTAGTAACGTTCCATTTCAAACCTGACAGTCTATGGGGCAAGTGAAGTAGAATTCACTTGTTTCTGTGACCTAACGTGAGCTAGGTAACCATTAGTGCTTGGTGGACTCAGGGACGGTCTACTGACTTGAACCCGTATTCGAACTCGAGACTTGTGGAAGAATTGGCTTACTTGGGTAAAACTTGAGACAATCAAACACCACAAAACGCCATGTCAAAACATGTCTTCCCTTCATACTTATACTTACTCATTTTCTTTTGCAATTAGTGAACAAATAATTTCAGCTAACTGGTAACTTACTGTAATTAAATTTCAATTAAAGTTATTATAAATTCACCTTTAAAAACGAATCACGATTTTTTACAGGTACCACAGGTAATAAGCGATCCAGTAGGGAGTGGAGACGATGTTGCTAGAGAGGATCCAGCTGTAAGGCTTATACTTACTGAAAATTACAACAACAAAAAATAATGACGAGTAGATTTTATATGTAGGAATTTAAAATGCACAAAATATTGGTGGGGAATCAGTAGCAAGTCTCCAAATCCACCCAGCTCTGACAGGTACCTGACTCACGTTAGGGAAAGTAAAGTCGGCTGCGCATAGTGCTGACCATATTATGCTTAGGTTTCAGAAACAGGTGAACTCTACTTCACTTGCCCAGTGGACCATTAGGCTCCAAAATGAAACTTTACTACTTTATACAAGCCCCCGAACAGGTAGACATACAAAGAAATAATAAAGCGATTTTGTTAATTAAATTTAACAAAATGATGAGCAGGCTAATTATTAAAAATTAATTAAAATTCTAATTAATTTCAGCTCATCTCAGAAGAGCCATCTAGCGGCGAGGCGCCTGTAAGTTGTTTTACGCGTGTAAACTGTTGTAGACGAAATGGAACTTTGTGGAAAGCGTTACTTTACTTATACCAACCTGGGTTTCTTTCAGACATTTTTCTCTTGGTTGATTTAGGGGGAGGGTCGGAATGACAGGGGTAATGCCTAACCTCTACCTAAAGATGATGCCTGAAAGAAAACAGATGCCATCCAGAGTTTCTTCGAAAAAATTCTACCGTCCCCCCGAACGAAATGAAATTTATATAGAAAATATATACTTTTAACAGTGTCCGCCCCCCCCCCCCCGGAGAAAAAAGTCTGGAAGAAACACTGATGCCATCGTTAGTTACTTAAGTCTTAAATTATTCAGAAAAAAATTCAGGCCAACTTTAGTCATTGTTTCTAGGAGAGTTCATTCTAGCCGTTCATAGTGTAAGTAAAGTAGAGTTTATCTGTTTCTTTAACGGCGGTATCAGAATAAAACACGATAAGCACTCCGGACAGCAGCCCCCCCCCCCCCCCCACCCATTTTCTACATACCCATTCTAGCTCAGGGCGTATAATTATGGCCTAGGCAGTTTTCAAGCTATTTTTTATGATAAATTTTACATACAATCACGCGTAATAGATTTTAAAATTAATTCCAAAATCGTAATAAATGGAAATCAATTGTCTTCTTGCAGGAACCAGTAGGGGTAGGTGACCCGGTTTTTGTAGTAGAAGAAGGAAGTGGTGACGTAAATGGAGAAAACCCCACAGGAGACGGCAATGATGTTCCTTTTGAGGTCGTCGAGAGTGGGGATGATTCAAATGAAAGTTCGAAAGGGGAAAGCAGCGATGAGGATTATGTAAGTCTACAATGGGGGTGGGTCGTGGTTGGTTGGTTGGATAATGGATGGATGGATGGGTGCGGACGTGGTTGGTTGGTTGGTTGGACGGACGGACTTATGGATGGGTGGATGGATGGATGGACGAATTGATGGATACTTGGATGGATAGACGGACGGATGGTTGGATGGATAAATGGATGGATGAATACATGAATCTTTGGATGGATGAGTTATTAAATTGACATGTAGATGAACGACCAAAAAGACAGTCATATAAACGGTTGACTTTATCCATAGATGGATATATGAATGGACAACTAGTATCACTTGCATGGTTGGATATTGAAAATTAACATATTTATCCATCTATATAATTTGGATATTTTAAATCACTTTACGATTTATTTAATGAAGTGTGTAATTACTAATTGAAACCTTGTTTCCTGAAGGTTCCGGAGATCGCAGTAGATCCACCTTTTTCAGTAGGCGGAGGAAGCGGTGATTATGATGCAGAGATCCCGGTAAAATATTATGCATGTTCGCCCCTATTTCATCGTCATTTTTTGTAATGCATACACCCACATTTGTATCCTTACGCTTACATTTAGATGTAGACACGCGCACGCACGCACACACACACCACAAACTAACAAACACACACACACAAACACAATTAAGTACTTCCACGAACAACCCCAGCCAACCACACCCGACCCATAATTTTCTTCTCTAATGTCAAGGTCATCTTTGAAGTCCCAGTACAGAGTCCTGGGAAGGAAATTCCCGATCCTGTGGAACAAAAATAGCATCGCGTTCACAGGTGTGGAGAATTCACTCTACAAATTGACTATGAAATAAAAGTGTAGTGGTTCAAACTGGGTTGCTTTTTTATGTTACCTCTGTTAGTGAATTTATTTTTACGTTGTTTACCAGTAACATGTCTGTACATTGGTTATAAATTCTACAAAGATAAATCACCCTTTCAGAGAATACTTAGAATAAAGAAGATGAAGTAGAGTTTACCTCTACTGTGTTCTCTGTGAAGTGAGATTGTGGACAGTTTTATAGCATTGCTACTTGTTATAGGCTTACAAAGCTGACCAAGTTGTATGTAGAGTACTTTTAATACATTGGGCTAGCTGCTACGTAGTGCTAAATGTGTGAATGCTACATGGTGCTGAATGTGACTGCTACATGGTGCTAAATGTGTGACTTCTACATGGTGCTGAATGTGTGACTGCTACATGGTGCTAAATGTGTGACTGCTACATAGTGCTAAATGTGTGACTGTTACACTACATGGTGCTAAATGTGTAACTGCTACATGGTGCTAAATGTGTGACTGCTACATAGTGCTAAATGTGTGACTGCTACATAGTGCTAAATGTGTGACTGTTAGACTACATGGTGCTAAATGTGTGACTGCTACATGGTGCTAAATGTGTGACTGTTACATGGTGCTAAATGTGTGACTGTTACATGGTGCTAAATGTGTGACTGCTACATAGTGCTAAATGTGTGACTGTTACATGGTGCTAAATGTGTGACTGTTACACTACATGGTGCTAAATGTGCGACAGCTACATGGTGCTAAATGTGTGACTGCTACATAGTGCTAAATGTGTGACTGTTACATGGTGCTAAATGTGTGACTGTTACACTACATAGTGCTAAATGTGTGACTGCTACATGGTGCTAAATGTGTGACTGTTACACTACATGGTGCTAAATGTGTGACTGCTACATGGTGCTAAATGTGTGACTGCTACATAGTGCTAAATGTGTGACTGTTACACTACATAGTGCTAAATGTGTGACTGTTACATGGTGCTAAATGTGTGACTGCTACATAGTGCTAAATGTGTGACTGTTACATGGTGCTAAATGTGTGACTGTTACACCTTGCTAAATGTGTGACTTCTACATGGTGCTAAATGTGTGACTGTTACACTACATAGTGCTAAATGTGTGACTGTTACACTACATAGTGCTAAATGTGTGACTGCTACATGGTGCTAAATGTGTGACTGCTACATGGTGCTAAATGTGTGACTGCTACATGGTGCTAAATGTGTGACTGCTACATGGTGCTAAATGTGTGACTGCTACATGGTGCTAAATGTGTGACTGCTACATGGTGCTAAATGTGTGACTGCTACATTGTGCTAAATGTGTGACTGTTACACTACATAGTGCTAAATGTGTGACTGTTACACTACATGGTGCTAAATGTGTGACTGTTACATAGTGCTAAATGTGTGACTGTTACACTACATGGTGCTAAATGTGTGACTGCTACATGGTGCTAAATGTGTGACTGCTACATGGTGCTAAATGTGTGACTGCTGCATAGTGCTAAATGTGTGACTGTTACACTACATAGTGCTAAATGTGTGACTGCTACATGGTGCTAAATGTGTGACTGCTACATGGTGCTAAATGTGTGACTGTTACATTGTGCTAAATGTGTGACTGTTACACTACATGGTGCTAAATGTGTGACTGTTACACTACATAGTGCTAAATGTGTGACTGTTACACTACATGGTGCTAAATGTGTGACTGTTACACTACATAGTGCTAAATGTGTGACTGTTACACTACATGGTGCTAAATGTGTGACTGTTACATAGTGCTAAATGTGTGACTGTTACACTACATGGTGCTAAATGTGTGACTGCTACATGGTGCTAAATGTGTGACTGCTACATGGTGCTAAATGTGTGACTGCTACATGGTGCTAAATGTGTGACTGCTACATGGTGCTAAATGTGTGACTGCTACATGGTGCTAAATGTGTGACTGCTACATGGTGCTAAATGTGTGACTGCTACATGGTGCTAAATGTGTGACTACTACATGGTGCTAAATGTGTGACTGCTACATGGTGCTAAATGTGTGACTGCTACATGGTGCTAAATGTGTGACTGCTACATAGTGCTAAATGTGTGACTGCTACATAGTGCTAAATGTGTGACTGTTACACTACATAGTGCTAAATGTGTGACTGCTACATGGTGCTAAATGTGTGACTGCTACATTGTGCTAAATGTGTGACTGTTACACTACATGGTGCTAAATGTGTGACTGTTACACTACATAGTGCTAAATGTGTGACTGTTACACTACATGGTGCTAAATGTGTGACTGTTACATAGTGCTAAATGTGTGACTGTTACACTACATGGTGCTAAATGTGTGACTGCTACATAGTGCTAAATGTGTGACTGTTACACTACATGGTGCTAAATGTGTGACTGCTACATAGTGCTAAATGTGTGACTGTTACACTACATGGTGCTAAATGTGTGACTGCTACATAGTGCTAAATGTGTGACTGTTACACTACATGGTGCTAAATGTGTGACTGTTACATAGTGCTAAATGTGTGACTGTTACACTACATGGTGCTAAATGTGTGACTGCTACATAGTGCTAAATGTGTGACTGTTACACTACATGGTGCTAAATGTGTGACTGTTACATAGTGCTAAATGTGTGACTGTTACACTACATGGTGCTAAATGTGTGACTGCTACATAGTGCTAAATGTGTGACTGTTACACTACATGGTGCTAAATGTGTGACTGCTACATGGTGCTAAATGTGTGACTGCTACATGGTGCTAAATGTGTGACTGCTACATGGTGCTAAATGTGTGACTGCTACATGGTGCTAAATGTGTGACTGCTACATAGTGCTAAATGTGTGACTGTTACACTACATGGTGCTAAATGTGTGACTGCTACATGGTGCTAAATGTGTGACTGCTACATGGTGCTAAATGTGTGACTGCTACATGGTGCTAAATGTGTGACTGCTACATGGTGCTAAATGTGTGACTACTACATAGTGCTAAATGTGTGACTGCTACATAGTGCTAAATGTGTGACTGTTACACTACATGGTGCTAAATGTGTGACTGCTACATGGTGCTAAATGTGTGACTGCTACATGGTGCTAAATGTGTGACTGCTACATGGTGCTAAATGTGTGACTGCTACATGGTGCTAAATGTGTGACTGTTACACTACATAGTGCTAAATGTGTGACTGTTACATGGTGCTAAATGTGTGACTGCTACATAGTGCTAAATGTGTGACTGCTACATGGTGCTAAATGTGTGACTGTTACACTACATAGTGCTAAATGTGTGACTGCTACATAGTGCTAAATGTGTGACAGTTACACTACATAGTGCTAAATGTGTGACTGCTACATGGTGCTAAATGTGTGACTGCTACATGGTGCTAAATGTGTGACTACTACATAGTGCTAAATGTGTGACTGCTACATAGTGCTAAATGTGTGACTGTTACACTACATGGTGCTAAATGTGTGACTGCTACATGGTGCTAAATGTGTGACTGCTACATGGTGCTAAATGTGTGACTGCTACATGGTGCTAAATGTGTGACTGCTACATGGTGCTAAATGTGTGACTGTTACACTACATAGTGCTAAATGTGTGACTGTTACATGGTGCTAAATGTGTGACTGCTACATAGTGCTAAATGTGTGACTGCTACATGGTGCTAAATGTGTGACTGTTACACTACATAGTGCTAAATGTGTGACTGCTACATAGTGCTAAATGTGTGACAGTTACACTACATAGTGCTAAATGTGTTACTGTTACATGGTGCTAAATGTGTGACTGCTACATAGTGCTAAATGTGTGACTGCTACATGGTGCTAAATGTGTGACTGTTACACTACATAGTGCTAAATGTGTGACTGCTACATTGTGCTAAATGTGTGACTGATACATAGTGCTAAATGTGTGACTGCTACATGGTGATATGTGTGTGACTGTTACAACAAACTATACTGTAAATCCATTAAATATATCTTCTTATAACCCGCTCAACATAAAAACACGCGTACATTTAAACTTCGCACCTATTTAAACAGTGCGCAATATTCGCAGGAAGCGGAAATAAAATTAAAAAAAATAAACAATACAAATAAACAACACAATTCTACGAGACACAGTACTCAAATTAAAATGCTTTTCTGGCGGTAAACATGCAGAATATTTTTATACTTGTCACGTGAATTAATCTAAACTGTTGAGTAGTTAGATATTTCCATACAGCATTTTAAAGCCTAAATTGTATTGATGTTAAAAATTATTCTACCAAGATTCCATACCCAGCTTACTAAATATAAGTTCGATCAAGTAGACGTGTTTTGGTGCTTAAGTTCTAACGCTACATCTAAACATGAGCTCAAAAACATTACTCTCTTAGTTAATGGTGTTAAGCGTTACACACTCAGTGTTTCTTTCAGACTTTTTTTTCACCGGAGGAGGACACTTGGTATTTTTAAGAGGGGGGGGGGGGGGACACTAGTAAAAGTATATATAATTTCTATATAAATTCCATTTCGACCGGGGCGGGGCGGTAGTCTTTGTTCGGGGGGAGGGGGGGGGGGGGTGTTTGGAAGGGGGGGGTGTTTGGAAGGGGAGGGGGTGTTATGTGCTCCGGAAAGATAACTCTAGTAACAATGCTCTCGTTCTTTGAGTTAAGTTGCTGTTATTTTTTATTTTAGAAAACTTGTTAGGAAATTGTAATAGAAATGTATTAATATACCGATCTCAGTCAATATTTTAGAAAGAAATCGATGTTAATTTTTTTTTTGTGCAAAGTAGATCTATATATTTTCTATAAAAATTCCACTTCGCCCATTCGTAAATTGAAAACAAATGTTAGTGGCTTGATAGTAATCAAGGGCGACTATACCCTTCTTACAAGTATACTTCGAGAATAGTCTAGAGCAGGGGTCTCCAAACTACGGCCCGCGGGCCGGATGCGGCCCGCAAGGTCCTCTCATCCGGCCCGCGGAGATATTTTTGTCCACGGGAAAATGTTTGTTGGAGGTGGTTGAGGAGCTTTGCACAGAAAATTCAATACGATCTGAAAATGTAGCTTTGGGTACAAATACCATTGCCCGCCTTGTTGCAGACATCGATGAAAACATTGTGACTCAAATAATGAAAAACGCAAGCAAGTTTCGCCATTTTTCAATTGCATGGGATGAGTCGCTGAAATGTATATATATTTCTGTATAATTTATATTTCGTTGGGGGGGGGGGGGGGGGGGAGGGTAGGGAGAGGGGGTATATGTTCTTCGGTGGGGAGGGGGGGGGGGCTCAGCCACCCCAAAAAGATGCCTGGAAGAAACTGGCCCCCGAAATGATATTTGATAATTAATGCGTTCTCGGGCTGAAAAGTTTGGAGACCCCTGGTCTAGAGGCTGCAAGAACTATAAAAAATATATTCAAAATATACACTTTAAGAGTTACCTTCCCTACCCCCCCCCCCCAACCCCACCACCCACACTGGAATTTGTTTCTAAATGACACCCCCTCCCCTCCCTGGAAGTTTCAGTCCAATTCCATCTGGGATAAAGAAATCTTCTGAAAGAAACCTTGCTCCCCACCCACTCACCCACCCACCTAGAAATTTATTTTTAATGCCCCTTCCCCCCGGAAGTTTCCCCCCCCCCTCCAACCCCACTTAAAAACAAAATCTTCTAAAAAGAACCTAGCTCCCACCCCTTCCCCCCCACACGCCCCCTCCTCCCCCCACATACCCCCTTCTGCCCCACCCCCACACACGCCCTACCCCACACATGCCCCACCCCCTCCTCCCCCACATACCCCCTTCTGCCCCACCCCCCCCACACACGCCCTACCCCACACATGCTCCACCCCTCCTCCCCCACATACCCCCTTCTGCCCCCCCCCTCACACACACGCCCTACCCCACATATGCCCCACCCCTCCTCTCCCACATACCCCTTCTGACCCCCCCCCCTCACACACACGCCCCTATCCCACACATGCCCCACCCCTCCTCCCCCACATACCCCTTCTGCCCCCCCCTCACACACACGCCCTACCCCACACATGCCCCACCCCTCCTCCCCCACATACCCCCTTCTGCCCCACCCCCCACACACGCCCTACCCCACACATGCCCCACCCCTCCTCCCCCACATACCCCTTCTGCCCCCCCCTCACACACACGCCCTACCCCACACATGCCCCACCCCTCCTCTCCCACATACCCCTTCTGCCCCCCTCACACACACGCCCTACCCCACACATGCCCCACCCCTCCTCCCCCACATACCCCCTTCTGCCCCACCCCCCACACACGCCCTACCCCACACATGCCCCACCCCTCCTCCCCCACATACCCCTTCTGCCCCCCCCCCCCCCCTCACACACACGCCCTACCCCACACATGCCCCACCCCTCCTCTCCCACATACCCCTTCTGCCCCCTCTCACACACACGCCCTACCCCACACATGCCCCACCCCTCCTCCCCCACATACCCCCTTCTGCCCCACCCCCCACACACGCCCTACCCCACACATGCCCCACCCCTCCTCCCCCACATACCCCTTCTGCCCCCCCCCCCTCACACACACGCCCTACCCCACACATGCCCCACCCCTCCTCTCCCACATACCCCTTCTGCCCCCCCTCACACACACGCCCTACCCCACACATGCCCCACCCCTCCTCCCCCACATACCCCCTTCTGCCCCACCCCCCACACACGCCCTACCCCACACATGCCCCACCCCTCCTCCCCCACATACCCCTTCTGCCCCCCCCCCTCACACACACGCCCTACCCCACACATGCCCCACCCCTCCTCTCCCACATACCCCTTCTGCCCCCCCTCACACACACGCCCTACCCCACACATGCCCCCCCACATACACGCCCCACTCCCCACGGCTTTTGACAACGCACCACTTCCAGCCACCTCCGCCTCTTGCTGTGGAAGAACTGGCTCCTCCAGAAGAGGCGCCCCTTCAGCTTCACCTTGGAGCTGCTGCTGCCCGTGTTCCTGGCAATGTACTTCCTGTACATCAAGAGCATCTCGCGAGAGCTGGCACTCGAGGCCATCAGCTACGGCTCGGAGGAAGTGTGCGCCACGAGACGGACGATGGGCGTGGCTTACGCGCCGTCGTGCTCAGGGACCGACGAGTTTGTGCGGATGTTGTCGACGAAGAACCGGGACGAGGAAAAGGAAAGTAGGTATCTTTATGACTTTGTGATGTGAATGTTTGTCGCTTATAAGATATAAGTCATTATATGCGGACTATGATGTGATTTTGGTTTATAAATTTATTGATTTAATTGTTGATAGCTTATATGTTTTTAAAGTTCAACAAAGAAGCCCACGTCAAAAGCAGTTTTTCTTTCAGAAGTTTTTCTTCGAGGGGGGGGGGGGGGGGGGGGGGGGCACTGGAATTTTTTGGGGATGGACTAAATGTTCATTTATAAATTATATTTTGTTCGGGGGGCGGGGGGCAGTAGATGTTCTTCGAGGGGGTGGGGCGGAGCAATAGATGCCCGAAAAAAAACTCCGGCAAAAGCCATTTTACTTTTAGACCTAACGATCTATACTGTAGATAAAGCTTCTAATTTCGGTTCAATTAATAGCTAAAACAAGAATGTTTTCTCTGAGCCGTAAAAAGTTTTCTGTACAGATGCAAAAGAGGATTTTAATTATTATTTTGTTCCGCAGACAATTCGGGAAATATGAATTCACTTTTTTATTTTGTTTTACACTCAGGCGAATGTGGATTCCATATTACATTTTCTTTCGCAGATGGCCCATCAAATACGGATTCCATTTTCGGGTTCACCACAGAGGACGACGCCTTGAAATTCCAAGCCGATAATCCGCTGCTAATCTCGCTAATCCTCTCCTTCCCTGACCTCTCGCAGAGCGACTGCGTCATCAAGAGAAACACCAGAGTCATTTTCCGTGAGCCTCAGAGTTTTCTCCCCGTCAAGCTGGATAACTTGTACTCGAACCCGGACCCTACGGCTCTTGGACAGATGAACGGTTAGTAAACTGTCAATTACACGGCTTTGTCCTCTTTGCTCCTTGTATAACATAGGGCCTCAACATTGGACAGATGAATGGTTAGTAAACTGTCATTGTCTTGACTTTGACTTAGTTTTCTTTGCTCCTTGTGGAACATAGGTCCTCAACATTGGACAGATGACTGGTTAGTAAACTGTCAATGTCTTGACTTTGTCCTCTTTGCTCCTTGTATAACATAGGGCCTCAACATTGGACAGATGAACGGTTAGTAAACTGTCAATGTCTTGACTTTGTCCTCTTTGCTCCTTGTATAACATAGGGCCTCAACATTGGACAGATGAACGGTTAGTAAACTCTCAATGACTTGACTTTGTCCTCTTTGCTCCTTGTATAACATAGGGCCTCAACATTGGACAGATGAACGGTTAGTAAACTCTCAATGACTTGACTTTGTCCTCTTTGCTCCTTGTATAACATAGGGCCTCAACATTGGACAGATGAACGGTTAGTAAACTCTCAATGACTTGACTTTGTCCTCTTTGCTCCTTGTATAACATAGGGCCTCAACATTGGACAGATGAACGGTTAGTAAACTCTCAATGACTTGACTTTGTCCTCTTTGCTCCTTGTATAACATAGGGCCTCAACATTGGACAGATGAACGGTTAGTAAACTCTCAATGACTTGACTTTGTCCTCTTTGCTCCTTGTATAACATAGGGCCTCAACATTGGACAGATGAACGGTTAGTAAACTCTCAATGACTTGACTTTGTCCTCTTTGCTCCTTGTATAACATAGGGCCTCAACATTGGACAGATGAACGGTTAGTAAACTCTCAATGACTTGACTTTGTCCTCTTTGCTCCTTGTATAACATAGGGCCTCAACATTGGACAGATGAACGGTTAGTAAACTCTCAATGACTTGACTTTGTCCTCTTTGCTCCTTGTATAACATAGGGCCTCAACATTGGACAGATGAACGGTTAGTAAACTCTCAATGACTTGACGTTGTCCTCTTTGCTCCTTGTATAACATAGGGCCTCAACATTGGACAGATGAACGGTTAGTAAACTGTCAATGTCTTGACTTTGTCCTCTTTGCTCCTTGTATAACATAGGGCCTCAACATTGGACAGATGAACGGTTAGTAAACTCTCAATGACTTGACTTTGTCCTCTTTGCTCCTTGTATAACATAGGGCCTCAACATTGGACAGATGAACGGTTAGTAAACTCTCAATGACTTGACTTTGTCCTCTTTGCTGCCCGTGGAACATAGGGCCTCAACCATACCCTTCCATTTTGTCCAGTCCCCGGCTATTTATTTAAACAGTCATTAGTAATTAGCAATTTATCATGCAGGGTAGAGGTGGCAGACACAGTTCTTTATTATGCTAGTGAACTGCTCAAAATAAGACCCAAACTCGTAGCCCATTTCGTGAGCAGTATTTTAATTCATGTCGTGTATTATTTTGCCAATAAAAATATAGGAACTTGTTTTGAGTTGTTGTTCTTTGAGTTGCAATATCTTTTTGTTTAAACTGGTATCATTATGAAGTTACGTTATTGTAATTAATGATAATTCTTAACTACCGCAAGAAGGGATAATGTGGTCAGGTAGTAGACCGTACGACCGCTAACAAGACGGTTAAATAAATATTCACTAAACCTTGGGGAACTAACAATCTGCATAAGATATATTACAGAATCTGCTTCGTTTCAATATAGTCACAATAAAACCACCACTTGTGTAAGTTTTAAATATCTTAAGCTATCGTTGCTGAAGTAGTGTATACCATTCAATTTTTTTTAGTTTGGTCAGTTTTGTTGCTATGTAGCTAGTCTTCTAAATAAAATAGCGCCCCTTTTGTGTTGTCTTTTGCTTTAAAATAAATATTTGACTGTATTTTTGTTTCGCTGCCAAAGTCACTCCACTCATGGTACAGTGTTTCTTTTGGGCGTTTGATCCGCGATGGTGGAGGGAGGGGGGTAGGCAATTATAATTATGGTAAAATAGATATTTTCTATTTAACTGACGAAGTGGGTAGAGGCGGCGGCTCCAAAACGGACTCCCCCCCCCCAACCCCCATGAGAGAAGCTTGAAAAGAACACTGTAAAGACGTCACCTGTTTACACACATCTCTGCATCAAATTATTGCACGTTCCTGCCTGTGCAATCTGTTACAGTCTCCAAACTTGTATTTTCTGATTTTAGAATCAAGCTTCAATGTATTCTTTCTATCTCTCCCAAAGATTCCGATGAGCAAAGCTTCTACTCCCTGTACAGAACCACCCACTTCATGCAGATGAAGTTAGCCGAGGCGTTCATTCGTTACTGGGGCGGCAAGGCTTTACCCAACGACACCAACATTTTCACCAAAAGGCTGCCGTCGCTGCCCCACGAAAGGGAGGTGTTTGGGAAGTTCTTGAAGAACCTGTCCGTGTTCTTTCTGGTGATGTTCATGATGAGCATCGTCATCAATACAGGGGATTTGATCATTGAGAAGAACACACACATTAAGGTAAGGGGGGGGGGGGGGGAATCTGGTGTTTGTGAGGGCAGGGTCACCGGTGACAGTTAGTGACGTCACAGTCGCGTTAACAGTACAGATCACGTTGTAAGTAAGTAAATAGCATATCTCATTTTCACTCACATGAAAGGTCACGGTTATGATAAAATAAAAGAACATGTTTTAATAAATCAATAGATCACGATTTCGATAATAAAGTATCAGATCACGTTTAAATAAATTAACAGATCACGTTTTCCCTAAAGTATCAGATCACGTTTCAACGTTTTACTTAAGTAAGATGTCATGTTTTAATAAACTAAATAATAAATCAAGTCGCAGTAATACACATCGCAAGCGCTGTTCGACATTCGCATCAAAACTATGATTTTCATTTTTATAAATATGATTTTATGTATTGGGCGGTAGATATCGCTTGCTAACTGGAAAGCAAAGTTTCGTTGTTTTTTTATCTCAAACGACGGACCAGCCATCTCTGAGTACCTGACTCATGTTGGGGAAAGCAAATGTGGTTGGACATAGTTTAAAACACAAAGCTTGTGCCGAAGTCAAAAACACTGAACAACTCTGCTCCACCCGACTTGTTGACGATCAGATACCGTAGCGTTACTTTCAACGTCTAACTTCTTCTTCTGCGTTCTTAATTTTTAGTGTTTGAAGAGATTCTCGGAAGAGATTTCCTCCAACACTGTGTCAACTTATGCGCTATTGAGGCCATTGACTCCGATTTCAGCCTGCTTTTCATTTTGGATTTGCTTCCATAGTCTTTGCCCAACCAAGAACAAACTAAACTGCAGCAGTTGTTTGATTTTGTAGTTGCTGTCCCCAGCTGTCGAGCCTCATCTGCCCTAGGGTTCGAACTCGAGACTTTTCGGTTTTAGCAACCATGAGCTTTACCCACTCGACCACGCCGACCCCTCTACGTCTAACAAGCCTCGCGTTTCTCCCCAGATAGCCATGGTCCAGGTTGGACTCGATCTCACAGCTCACAAGATTTCCTGGTTCCTGACCTTCTTCCTCAAGTACCTCACCCCCATCGTCCTGACCTCGACCTTGATGTGCATGCCGCTGGTGACGCGGCCCGTGCTCACCCAGACGGAAGTGACGCTTCTCATCGCCTTTCTCATGGCCTACGCCCTGGCCATGATGAGTTTCTCCTACCTGGTCAGCGCATGCGTCAACAAAAGTGAGTGACGTCAACGGCTGACGGTGTTAGTTCCGCATGAATGCTTGTGCATGTAACATAAAACATAAATAGGTAACAGGGTTAAAGCTAGATGATGATCAAATTTAGAACTTTGTAATGAAACAGGTATTTTGTATCCCTACAAATTCAAAACAATAACAGGTACAATGGACGTTTCAACCTAAGGTCTTCCTCAGCAGACAAAAGTGTGGTGAACGACTCAGAGGCGTTGGGGGTCGTGGTGTGCAGTAGGGAAGGAGAGTATAGATAAAAGATACCTGCTCGTTTCAGCCATCTGGTGCTCGAGTGCCGAATCCTAGTATGAACCACCATTCCGTGTTCATGCGGTCTTTAAAATTAAATAAAAAACGGGCAGCGGTATAAAAAAAAAGTCAGTTTTAATATTGTGTTTACTCTTACTAAAATGATTAGCCAAAGTAACACTGTCTTCATTTTTCTTGATCGTAGGTGTTAGAACTTAAAAGTCAGATACCTAAAGCAAAATAAAAGTCCCTCTAGAATTATACTTTGAAAATAGGAATCTGTAACAAATTTATGACGCAGCCCTTGGACCGAAATGCCAATGAACTTATACTTGTCTTTAGCATGTAAAAATACTAACACTAACTGTTTGTATAACTATACGACCTTACCTGGAGAACACGGCAATACTTTTGTCTTTCCTGTCTTTAGCCTCTTTTGAAGCGGTCACTTCCGGTATCGTCTTCGTCCTGTTCTACCTGCCGTGGTACACGATCAACATGGTGGGCGTGGCCTATATGAGCTACGGCACGCTCATGTTCTGGTGTCTCTTCTTCAACACCGCCATGGCCGTGGGGGCGAACGTCATTTACCTGCATGAGACTCACAGTGAGTTGATGTGTTACATGGGCACAGTGAGTTGGTGTGTTACATGGGCACAGTGAGTTGGTGTGTTACATGGGCACAGTCTTGGTGTGTTACACAGCGAGTGGTGTGTTACACAGTGAGTTAGTGTGTTATACAGTGAGTTAGTGTGTTACACAGTGAGTGGTGTGTTACATAGTGAGTTGGTGTGTTACGTAGTGCGTTGGTGTGTTACACAGTGAGTTGATGTGTTACAAGAACACAGTCAGTAGGTGTGTTATACAGTGAGTTGGTGTGTTATACAGTGAGTTGGTATGTTACACTGTGAGTGGTGTGTTACACAGTGAGTTGGTGTGTTACATAGTGAGTTGGTGTGTTACATAGTGAGTTGGTGTGTTACACAGTGAGTTGATGTGTTACACGGGCACAGTGAGTAGGTGTGTTACACAGTGAGTTGGAGTGTTATAAAGTGAGTTTGTGTGTTATACAGTGAGTTGGTGTGTTACAAAGTGAGTTGGTGTTGTTATAAAGTGAGTTGGTGTTCTACATTTTGTATTAATTCGGGTAGAACATGTGTTTACTAACTGACCTTTACCCTAACCTCATCTCAGTTCCTCTACCCTTAACTTTTAACTCACACCAATCCCATTCACCTTAACCCTAACCTTATCTTAGTTCCTATTGCCTTAACTGTAAACTCACATCGACCCCCAATGACCTTAACCTCTGTTCTCCTACCCCCCCCCCCCACAGTGAAACCCCTCAGCTGGTCTACGGCCTCCTCCCACGGGGACAACCTGGTGACGGTCAACCTACTGGAGGCCACACTCATGCTGCTGCTGGACGCCAGTGTGTACTCACTCCTGGCCATGTACATCGAGCAGGTCAACCCGGGGGAGCTCGGCATACCCAAACCTTATTTGTTCTTTCTTCAGGTACATTAAGCAGGTCATCCCGGGGGAGGGGGGGGGGAGCTCGGCTTACCCACGCTCAACCTGTTTTCATCAGGTACAGGCAGGATAAGCCGGGGGGGGGCGGCATACCTAAGCACCTTGTTCTTTCTTCAGGTACAGGGTCAACCCCTAACCCCCACCCCTTACAGAAAGCAATACCGTCTAATATATTTTTAACATATCGTCTGTGCCGTGTTAGATGTGTTTTTTTTTTAAAATAGTCGATAAATATTGTAAATATGTGAATGTTGAAAGAAATATATCACACAAGTAAACGATAATATTGTAATAATACTAAAACTAAAATAAAAATTGTTAATGTACAAAAAATTAAAAAAGATGTCCATGTTAAATTTAGCGTACTTATAGCCTAAAGTTCCTAGATTAATAAACAATAAAGGCTTATTTTCTTTGATGATTAAAACAAGTATTAACGTTTTTTTTTAAATAGAAAGATGATATTTAAAAATAGTTTTACTATGAAAGTTTTGAAAAATATCTGAAGACGTTTGTTTTTAAGAATCTCTGCTGGTTAGATCCAATTCTATTAATCATTTATTTGACGCACACATTTTAGTTGGGTAAGCACGATTTTTCGAACAACCAAATACTTGATGTAACTAAGTAAAACACTCATTTTTTGTACAATCACACTCTTCTTCACACCCCCACTATAATGACGTATAATTATCGAGCACGTGTGGCTAAGAGGTTAAAGGTTATCTGGTTTCAGAGTTCGTTGTGGACAAAGTCGGAGTCTAAAACATATGGAGAGGCTAACACGCCGGAAACTGATGCCAAATTTGAGGCTGAACCAGCTAACTTGCAGATGGGAATTCAAGTCAATAATATAAATAAGGTGAGGACACGGTGTGGAGGTTATGTTGAGGATTCAAACCATGTTTTTGGATGATCATTGGGATACTGTTTTGTAAATATCATTGGGATCATTAGGATAATGTTTTGTAAATATGTATGGATAAATACTAAGTCATATTTGTACATACATATTGAAAATAAATGGGACCATGATTTCTATCGATATTTTAAGGGCTTTGAACCAATCAATTGAAACTCTTGTATATCTTCTTTTTCTTCGTTCTTAATTTTAATATTGTAGGGATTTCCTCCCAACACAATTAAGTATTACGTGGCAACATGTTTAGCGCTATATGGCTCATTAATTCCGACTTGAGCTAACTTTTCTTTCTAGATTTGCCTCCATAGCAACAATTTGCTACCATCAATAACAATCTGCATGGCAGCAGATGTTTGATTTTGGCGTTTTCCCTCCTAGATGAGTTGTCTTCCCAAGCTAATGAAGCTCATATATATATATATATATATATATATATATATATATATATATATATATATATATATATATATATATGACACTATTTGTGGTTAATACTCATTCATTCACTCAACTAACATGTGTATATGATGTTCAAGTGTTTGTGTTTAGCGCTTACATCAAGAATTTAGTACGTTTATCCATTTTCCCTTTGAAACTGCCTGATATAAAGGTGTGTTTTTTTCCTAACAACAGAGCTATGGGGAAAATAAGGTTCTGGCTAACGTTTCCTTAAACATATACGAGGATCAGATTACAGTTATATTGGGCCACAATGGTGCAGGCAAAACAACGCTCTTTAATATTTTAACAGGTAAGGTCAAAGTTTTAGTTAATTCATAAAAAATTAATTAGGCAACCAATTAAGTCAAATTTAATGCCATGTTGCATTGTCTTCATGTCTTGACCCACGTACCAACTATGAACCGTATCTGTTGGTTAGAAGTGCCAGTAATTTCACTCGGGCGTTTCGATCTAAACAGAATGACGACAGACAAAGACAGTGAGTTTGTAAAAGCTTGTAAAAATAGGTTTGAATACAAAAATTAGTATATCAGAAGAAAGCTAAGTAGGTAAATAATGATGTTGCTAGCGTTTGTCTGTTGATTTAGATTCTGGAATGTTCTGTTTAATATCTCGCCAGGGGTGACCCGGCCCTGCTCAGGTACTGCTGTCCTGAGGGGTTACGACATCGGCACCAAGGTCTACAGAGTGCGCAAGTTCCTGGGGGTGTGCCTGCAACACAACGTGCTCTTCGACAACCTCACTGTGTGGGAACACATGTATCTCTACGCCAACGTGGGTTTTATTCTGGTCTAGGACATTACCCACGTCATTTACCCCTCACCGTACTTTCCTCCTGGCATTATCCCCCCGGAGACATTACCCCCCCCCCCTTCCCCCGTCATTTACCTATCACCGGACTTTCCCTCTGACATTATCCCCCTGGAGACATTACCCCGCTCCCTGTTAATTACCCCCCCCCCCCCAACCAATATTTAAGAACCCTGACCCTAACCATAAATCTATAGTTAACCCTAACCCCAACAACAATCCTAACACCAGCTTTAAACCTACATCAAACCCTAACCCTATCCCTAACTCGGAATGGGCGAAGGGGGGTAATTGACAAAATGGGTAAATAACAGGGGGATAATTGCTTGGGGGATGTCTGGGGAGGGGAAATGTCCGGGGGTGATTGACGAAGGGGGGGGGGCAGTGGCGTAGCGAGGTCGGGTGTCACCCGGTGCGGCACTTAATGGTGTCACCCCCCAGAGGCGTTGCGACCCTTCCCGGGAACAAACTTTCAAGTTTTCGATTTGCACCCCCCCCCCTCAACCTTTCGATTTGCACCCCCCCCCCCTCAAACTTTCGATTTGCACCCCCCACTCAAGTTTTTCTCTACATATTTTGCTATTTTTTGCCTTGGTGTCACCCCCCTAAATGGTGTCACCCGGTGCGATCCGCCCCCCCCGCCCCCCCCCCCCTCGCTACGCCCCTGGGGGGTAATGTCCTGTACCCATTTTCTTCATTCGCCCTATGAAATGTTAAATGAAAGCATTCTTCTTGTAATTTTTTTTTTTACATTTTTCAACTCCCCCTGAAACATACGCCACCCACAGAACTCTTCCATTCTTTCTGTACTGTTATTTTTTTCCCCCACTTCTTTCCAATTATTTGTATGCATTTTCTCAATTTCTCTGCGCCAAGTATTTTGGGGTCAACTTCGTTTTCTAACATCTTGTGAAAGGTTTCTGTATTGTATGGCATATCACTTCCTTCTTCATTTCATATTTGTTCTGTTCTTTCCAAAGCTATTGTGTTACCTATTTTTAAAATCGCTTTAAATTTAACATTCGTGATAGACAGCATCAAATAAAGATTATAATTGGTTCCACTCGCCTGTAAGTGAAGCATTACCTAAAATTAAACAATTTTTAAAATATCGAAGTTCTCTAAAGTTTTTTTTATTACATATAATCTCGTGCATGTAAACTGAAATCCCCCCACACACAAAAAATCTTAAAGAAAAATTAATTCTACCTACAATACTTATTTTACTCCCTCCTTTAAACGTAAAAATATTAAAATAACTTGAGTAGTTTTTTTGCTGGTTGAAACCAGTTGAAAGGTGGCGATGTCGTGGAGCAGGAGCTGAACGAACTGATGAAAAAGGCAAGCCTCGATGACAAGTCGGACAAGGTGGTCAGCACATTGGCCAGTGGGCACAAACGGAAGTTGTCCATAGCTCTAGCGCTAGTTGGTGGTTCAGAGGTTCGTGTTGTAGTAGGTCATTTACAGGTTCGTGTTGTAGTTGTTGGTCATTTATGTAGTTGGTCATTTACAGGTTCGTGTTATAGTTGGTCATTTACAGGTTCGTGTTGTAGTTGGTCATTTACAGGTTCGTGTTATAGTTGGTCATTTACAGGTTCGTATTGTAGTTGTTGGTCATTTATGTAGTTGGTCATTTACAGGTTCGTGTTGTAGTTGTTGGTCATTTATGTAGTTGGTCATTTACAGGTTCGTGTTGTAGTAGTTGGTCATTTACAGGTTCGTGTTGTAGTAGTTGGTCGTTGTTCGTATAGCAGTAGTTGATCCTTTACAGGTTCAAGTTGTAGTTGTTGGTCATTTACAGGTTCGGGTTTAGTAGTTGGTCATTTACAGGTTTGTGATGTAGTAGTTGGTCATTTACAGGTTCGTGTTGTAGTAGTTCGTCATTTACAGGCTCATATTGTAGTAGTTGGTCATTTATGTAGTTGGTCATTTATGTAGTTTTTCATTTACAGGTTTGTGTTGTTGTAGTTGGTCATTTACAGCTTAATGTTTTAGCAGTTGGTCATTTACAGGTTCGTGTTGTAGTTGGTCATTTACAGGTTCGTGTTGTAGTTGGTCATTTACAGGTTCGTGTTGTAGTAGTTGGTCATTTACAGGTTCATGTTGTAGTAGTTGGTCATTTACAGGTTTGTGATGTAGTAGTTGGTCGTTTACAGGTTCGTGTTGTAGTAGTTGGTCATTTATGTAGTTGGTCATTTATGTAGTTGGTCATTTACAGGTTTGTGTTGTAGTAGTTGGTCATTTACAGCTTAATGTTTTAGTAGTTGGTCATTTACAGGTTCGTGTTGTAGTTGGTCATTTACAGGTTCGTGTTGTAGTAGTTGGTCATTTACAGGTTCGTGTTGTAGTTGCTCATTTACAGGTTCGTGTTGTAGTAGTTGGTCATTTACAGGTTCATGTTGTAGTTGGTCATTTACAGGTTCGTGTTGTAGTAGTTGGTCATTTACAGGTTCGTGTTGTAGTTGGTCATTTACAGGTTCGTGTTGTAGTTGGTCATTTACAGGTTTGTGTTGTAGTAGTTGGTCATTTACAGCTTAATGTTTTAGTAGTTGGTCATTTACAGGTTCGTGTTGTAGTTGGTCATTTACAGCTTAATGTTTTAGTAGTTGGTCATTTACAGGTTCGTGTTGTAGTTGGTCATTTACAGGTTCGTGTTGTAGTAGTTGGTCATTTACAGGTTCATGTTGTAGTAGTTAGTCATTTACAGGTTCGTGTTGTAGTAGTTGGTCATTTACAGGTTCATGGTTCAACGATATGGTGGTCATCTAAGGTCACTATCGTCCGATTAACGTAACTTATGTGTGGGTCATTTACCATCACTCTTGGTCATTTAAGTCACTTTGGTCTCGGTCAGTTCACGTCACTCTAGCGTGTGTGATCTTATAATGGTATCTTACATCAGTGGTCATCTCACGTCACTAAGTAACTTGACGTCACTAAGTCATCTGACGTCACTAAGTAGCTTGACGTTACTAAGTCACGTGACGTCACTACGTCACGTGACCTCCCTCTCGTCCAGGTCATCGTTCTAGACGAGCCCACCACCAGCATCGACCCCCACTCCCGGCGCCAGATCTGGGATCTCCTGAGAGCCTACAAGACCGGCCGGACCGTGCTGCTCTCCACTCAGAACATGGAGGAGGCCGACGCCATAGGAGACCGTATCGCCATCATGGCTAAGGGCAGCTTCAAGTGCTGCGGCAGTCCGATGTTCCTGAAGAAAACTTACGGTAAGTTTAACACGTATATTATATCGACTGGCATTACTTGTATAAAAATAACGGTTTTAACTGTGTAAATTCTTACAAAAAAAAATAAAATAAATAGGTTAAAGATGAATGTGGTTGTTGTCAAACTGCTTACTTAAAAGGTTTAAATAAGTTGGGGATAGTCGGTGTTGACAGGAGCAGGGGTTAAGGAAAAAACATTTATATTGAGATCATTTTGTAACAGTCGGGATCATCATAGAATATATAATAAACATTAAATATACTTTTTATAGGAACGGCGTGGCCTAGCGGCGGAGAAATTCTTGAGTTCAAATCCGCGTTCAAATCAGAAGACCGTATCTGTTAGGGTAAAAAAGGCGACTGGGCATAGTGCTGACCACATGTTCCCTTCATAAGCCCAGTTCCTTGAAACAGGTGGATTCTACTTCACCTCCCTACTTGAAAAGGGAACTTTCTTTTTTTTTTACTGGAGTGAGACGAGTGTCTGGTTCCATTATTTGTATCCTTACTGGATGATGACCCATCCTTAGGAGATGACCCACCAACCCCAGTTTGGGATGGTAGAAGGATGACCATCATCCCCTTTATAAGATTTATCCCTGTGTCCGTTTAGCTTAGAAATCTGGGTAGGAATCATTGTACATGATCAACTAATTCCAAGATTTAGAAAATAATTCTTTTCTTTTTTCATATTTTAAATTTAAAAATCTTTCTATGAAATTTTGACATGAGCTCAAAGTAAAAAAAATACAGTGCCAGTAGCGTAGCTTAAGAGTAGAGGCTTTTTTTTTAAACCTTCTAAATTTTTTAAAGACCACCGTTTTTCATTAGTAGTTCAAAACTTTTTGGCTCTATTTATAAACTATCTTTCTTTATATCTCCCAGGGGCCGGGTATCACCTGATCGTCGTGAAGACCCCCACGTTCAACCCCCCGGCCCTACAGGAGCTGATGAAGTCCTACACGGGCACCGCCCAACTCCAGGCTGACCTACAGAACGAGATGTCCTACCTTCTGCCCGAGGAGGAGAAATCACAATTCCCTGAGCTGCTTCAGCTCCTACACACGCACCGTCAGGAGTTGGGCTATGCTGGGCTGGGCATCACAGCCACGACGATGGAGGAAGTTTTTCTTAAGTAAGTTGAACCCAGGGGGGTTGGGGGGAGGGGGAGGGGGGAAGCAGTAATCTATCTTACATTTCAAACCTCTGAATAAATATTTTTTTTGGAGTGAAAACGCTTTCCGAAGCCCCGAAAATGTGTTGGATAGTGCTGATCTTTAAAAAACAAAAAAAAAATTAAATTTAAAATCCAATGCCGTAGCCCCCCCCCCCCCTTTCCACCCCCTAACCCCCATCTAGATTCATCCCTCAGACGCCCCTGACTAGTCCACACTCCTGATTAAATCACTTTATTTCTTCAGCGTCGGATCCGAGGAGTCGCATGAGTTGGAGACGGGAGAGAACGTGGACCAGGATGTTGACGTAGACGGCAATAAACGTAAGTACTCAGGCAGCAGAATCAGGCCAAATTTTTTAATACTGCTATTGTTAGTTGATACGAAACTACAGTTTTACTCGAACCGTACCCATTAATGTAAAGAATAAAATTAAAATTATTTTGCAAGAAATTAAATACACTAAAATTTCGCGAAAATTATTTTTAAAAACTTGTTTTTTTTTCAACATACAATATGAAACTATTCTATATTTCTTTTATTTTTTAAAGATAGATTGCATGATGAATTATTTTATTTTTTCCCAATAAATCTTCAATTTGTAATTGCAAATTCGGCACTTTGAATAGCATAATGCAGATTTCTATTTAGCATGTGAGATTGCTAAAAATTCCTGCGAAGAACAGTTTTCAGAAGAAAAATAATTTCTCGTGAAAATTGTTTGATTTATGTAATTTTTACCGTTTAAGTTGTAGAAATAGGAAAATTAAACTTACATACGTTTTGGCAAAAAAATTATTTTAATGAAACTCTTCTTTCCGACATTGTCAAACTGATAGCATCAGCATCTCAGGACGTGTGTGGGAAGGGGAAGGTGGGAGGAGGGGGTGATAGAGAACTGCAGTTCACATCGGGGGGGGGGGGTACAGAATTTTTTGCGAAATGTACTGACAAAACATAATTTTATCTAAGTCAACGAATAAAGTCAACCTTTGCCTCGTTTTAGACTTCCCGCCCTTTGACCTCTGCAGCGGCAGCAGCCTGTTCATGTCGCGGGTCAAGGCCGTGCTGTACAAGAAGATCTTGTACAGCTGCCGCACCAAAAAGTTGACGTTCCTGCAGCTCTTCCTGCCTGTGCTGTTGGCCGCCTTCCCCATGACCGCCGAGATCACCAAACCCTCCGGCGGGGCGTTGACCTTTGACCTGTCCATCTACGGCGAGACCGTCGTGCCCGTGTCGACGTTGACCTTGAACCAGCAGAATGCTGACCTTGTTGATGTTTACTTTAAGCAACTCACTGGCAAACATGAAAAGCTGATTTTGGCGGCGAATAACGTAGGTAACCATCTTTTTTGTTGTGATAACGTCAAAATGTGTGTGGTGGTAGAAATCAACCGAAATTAATTTTGAAATTTTAATTAAACAGACATTTATTTTGACATTTTAATCAACAGAAATTAATTTTAACATTTTAATCAACAGAAATTAATTTTGAAACTTTAATCAATAGAAATTAATTTTGAAATTTTAATTTAAAAAATTAATTTTGAAATTTTAATCAACAGAAATTTATTTAAAAATTTTATTCAACATTAATTAATTTTGAAATTTTAATCAACAGAAATTAATTTTGAAATTCTACCCCAGGAAAAACAGTTCGATGAGCTTATGTTGAAGAAAGCGATGGAGCTGGGGTTTTACTTCTACAATCGTAAAGTGGTTATTGGGCTTCTGGTGCAAAACTCGACGGACGGATTTAGATTGACGGCCCTTTACAACTCGCTGACGTCACACGCTAGCCCCATCTCTGTAGGTCGTGCTAGCAGTGTTCTTTCAGGCTATCCACCCCCCCCCCCCCCCGCCCCACAGTAGCACGTCTACCGCTCTCCACCCAAAAGAAATAGAAGAAAAATATTTTATATAGAAAATATGTTCTTAAACCAGCGTCAATCCCGTACTCCTGGAAATAATTTAAGTGCGCCCCCCCCCCGTAAGTTTCAAATGCCCCATCCCACCCCGGGAGAAAAAAATGTCTGAAAGAAGCACTGTCGGGGGGCATTTTGTTTCGAAAGATTTTGTTATACTATCTTTTCTGGGGTATAAGTATAGCCTGTCGTCAAGAGTATAACTTTATGTGTGTGGTTGAACTATCAAGGAGTCTGCGATATTAAATGTAATAGGTCAACATTATAGGGTTATGTTTACATTTTCGATGTAATGGGTTTTATTTTAGCTTTAGTGCGTGATGGAATGACAGAGCATTCGAATTCAAACCCGAATGTCTTGAGTTCGGATCACGGGCTCGTCCGTTTGTCGAAGGGGTACCAGATTCGCGTTAGGGAAAGTAAAGGTGGGTGGAAAAATTGTGCTGACCATATTATCCCTTTCATATTGCCGGGGTCACCGAAACAGGTGAACTCTACTACACCTGACCTTATAAACCACAAGGTTCGAAAGTGTACTTTACTACTTGCTTAATTAAGGTGGGTAGTAAAAAAACCAAACCCATTCAAACACAAACAAGCACGCACTCTTAGATACACACAAGTACACGCACGCACGCACACAAACACACACACACAATAACGCGCACGCAGAAACAAATAAGCACAAGCAGACACACACACACGCACGAACTCACACACACTCGCACACACGCACTCAAACACGAACACATTGACACACACACGAGCTCATAGATACACACAAGCACACACCAACACATACACCACATCACCCCCAATGTGTCTGTCCTACAGGTAAACCACGCCATGAACACGCTGGTCCAGCACTCCCTTGGCCAGACCTTCAGCCTACAGACGGGCTACCAGCCCATCACCACCCAGGACGCCAACAAGTCTCTCAACGATGAGGGCATCAAGCTACTGGCCATCAACCTCTTCATCCTCCTAGGCTACTCTTTTACCATGGGGCTCTTCGTCTATTTCCCGATTCACGAGAACCAGGTATTATATATATATATATATATATATATATATATATATATATATATATATATATATATATATATATATATATATATATATATATGTATATTGATATAAATATTAATATATATATTGATATATATATATATATATATATATATATATATATATATATATATTAATATATATGTGTGCGTGTTCGTGTATCGTACGTGTACATGTGTGTGAGTGTGTTTAACATCAGCATAACCAAAGTAAAAAAATTAACCGGATAAACTACAATCTATTATTTTAAAAACAACAATGAACTTCATTAATATTTTTAAAAAGATAATACCACGATTGTTTATTGAACGAAAAAACTTTTAATGCCCATATTTGTGCGTTAGACTTAGGACAGTGGATATTTTGTTTTAACACACATACGTTCAATTAATTGCAGTGTTTCTTCCAGACTTTTTTCTCCGGTGTGTGTGGGGGGGGGGGGGGGCACTTGAAATTTTCGGGGAGGGGGGCGGTAGACTTACTTCGGGGGATCGGACGCTGTTAAATGTATATATTTTCTATATAAATTCCATTACGGTCGGGGGGGGGGGGGGGTCGGTAGACGTTTTTCGCGGAGAGGGGGGGGGCAATGTCTGGAAGAAACTCTGATTAATTAACTCTTTAACATTTTTAAGTGTATTCACCACATTTTTTTTTCTAGTCCGGCTCACGAAAACTACAGTTTTTATTCGGTTTAAACTTCCTGAGCTACTGGATACCGACCCTGCTGTGGGACTACATGCTGTACCTGACCTCCGTGCTGTTGCTGCTACTGCTGCTGTGGGTCTATGGCCTGAAGGTCTACACCGAAGACGATCACCTGCTAATTGTGGCTCAGGTTTTCGCGGCTTTTGGTTGGGCCCTGTTCCCCACAATCTACATCGTGCAGAATTACTTTAACAAGTCTACTGCGGGTTCGCTGTTGGTCATGGCCTTCGTTTTTTTCCCAGGTAGGAATCGGTTAAAACATGTATCGATACGTCTTTAAGTGAAATGGAACTGATGACGCTGAAGTCCCGAGTTCGGATCCTGGCCTAGGAATCGAGTATAACATTTATCGATAAGCCCTATAATTTAAGTGATACTGCTAACCCGGAAATCGCGAGTTTGGATCCCGGACTAGAGTCCGTACGGCGTCCCTGAGTCCACCCAGCACTTATGGGTACCTGACTCGCGTTAGGAAAAGTAAAGGCGACAGAGCATAGTACTGACCACACTATCCACTTTATATGCCGAGGTCGCAGAAACAGGTGCATTCCATCTCACTTACCCCATAGATAAAGACACGCATGAGCGATATAAAAATGTATCGTTTAATTTAAGAAGTCATTCGCATTAGTCATTTTACGGACAATATATTTAGCGGTGGGCGTGCTACGTTCTATGTTATGTACACCGTCATATGCAGTGTTTCTTCCAGATTTTTTTTCTACTGGGGGGGGGGGGGACTTGAAATTTTCTGGGGGGGGGGGGGTGGACTAAAATTTCAGGGGGAGGGGGCGGACACTGTTAAAAGTATATATTTTCTATATAAAGTTCGGGGGGGGGGGGGAGGCGGTAGAATAAATTCCATTTTGTTCGGGGGGGGGGGGGCGGTAGATGCCTGGAAGAAACACTGGTCCTATGCATGATTGTAAAGCCAGTCTATCTCAGTTTCAATTATCTCTACAATGTACTGAGCATGAATGGTTTCATTACTTCGCCATTTTTAAACCTATTTTATCTCAGGGTTCTATATCTACACCGTCCTGTACATGAGTGTGAATCCCTATTCCATCGCAGGCTTCTATGTTATCTACAAGTACTGAGCATGAATGTGATTCCCTCTTCTATCCCAGGCTTCTATGTTGTATACAAAGTACTGAGCATGAACGTAAATCCCTATTCCATCCCAGGCTTCTATGTTATCTACAAAGTACTGAGCATGAACGTAAATCCCTATCCCACCGCAGGGTTCTATGTTATCAACAAATTACTGAGCATGAATGTGAATCCCTATTCCATCCCAGGTTTCTATGTTATCTACAAAGTACTGAGCATGAACGTAAATCCCTATTCCATCCCAGGTTTCTATGTTATCTACAAAGTACTGAGCATGAATGTAAATCCCTATTCTATCGCAGGCTTCTTTGTTATCTACAAAGTACTGAACATGAACGTAAATCCCTATTCTATCCCAGGCTTGTATGTTATCTACAAAGTACTGAGCATGAACGGCTTCAACAGCCAAGAGGACCTGGGGGGTGACTGGGTCGTCCCGTGCCCCGGCTACCACCTGATGCTGTCCATGCTGTCCTTGTACAAGAACTTCCTGCTGTCCCAGACATGTTTTGATGTCACCTGTGCTGCCGGCACCGCGGCCACCAGGTTTTGCTGCACGCGTGAGTGTTGTAGTAGAACATCCGTAGACTGTTATAGTAGAACATCCGTAGACTGTTACGGTAGAACATCCATAGACTGTTGCAGTAGAACATACGTAGACTGTTACAGTAGAGCATCTATACAATAACATTGTATTTGTCCAGTTTCAGGGGTTGGCGTGGTCGAGTCGGTAAAGCTCATGGTTGCTAAACCGAAAAGTCTCGAGTTCGAACCCTTGGGCAGATGAGGCTCGTTAGCTGGGGACAGCCACTCTTCTAGGAGAGACAACTCCAAAATCAAACATCTGCTGCCTTGTAGTTTGTTCTTGGTTGGAAGCAAATTCAAAAAGAAAAGCAGGCTGAAATTGGAGTCAATGTCCTCAATGGCGCATAACCAGTTGACACGTAACGCTTAATTGTGTTGGAAGCGTGGTCGAGTCGGCAAAAAGCTCATGGTTGATAAATTCGAACAAAGTCTCGAGTTCAAACCCACTGGCAGATTAATCTCGATCCCCTCCAACACTAATAATTAAGAAGAAGAGAGAAGAAGTGAACTTAAGTAATCCGTAGACACATTGATTGTTACAGTTGAACATCTGTACACTAACATCGTTGTCAGGGTCCCCCCCCCCCCCCCGAACCAAATGAAATTTATATGAAAAGTATATACTGTTATCAGTGTCTGCCCACCCCCTGGGAAATATTGCTTACTCCCCCGAAAGATTTAAGTGCCTCCCAAATCCCTAAGAAGTGTCTGAAATTGAGGACAGAAGACTAGACATACTTAGCCTATATATACAAGCAAAGAAACAGATCGCATGTCTAAAAGCATCATTACGTATTACTATATGCAAAAAATACTTCTTGACTTTTATAAATTGTAAAAATGTATACCTATTCGTTAAAACAAAATGTGCAATCGTGCATAATATAAGCTGTCTGGTCCTGTATTTCTTGCCATATTACACCGTTGTCCATAATTCACCAGGAAAGTGTGATGACTCCCAAGGTTTCTGCAACGCTTTTGTCCCTGACTACATGAGCTTGTACCAACCAGCCATTGGGGAGTTTGTCATCTCTATGGTTTTACAGGGGTTCGCTTGTTTTTTTATCCTCTGCCTCCTCAACCTATGCAAGTGGTAGGGGATTTTTTTTTATCTTCTTCACTGTTAACAGTGTTTCTTCCAGACTTTTTTCTCCGGGGGGGGGGGGGGGGCACTTGAAATTTTCGGTTGGGCGATAGACTTTCTTCGGGGGGGGGGGGGGGGGGGGACACTGTTAAAAGTATATATTTTCTATATAAATTATATAAATTTCATTTCGTTCGGAGGGGGGGGGGGGGGGGGGGGGGCGGTAGAATTTTTCGGGAGGAAGAGATGCCTGGAAGAAACTCTGATTGTTAAGCTAGTGCGTATAGTTTTTTAAATTTTATTTTGTTGTGTGCTGTGTTTGGATATAATATCTCTAGATCGTAGAAAATTAAAAATTGGTTAGTCCATCATATTCATTTTATAATATCTAACTATAGATGTTTTAATAGCTAGCTATAGCTTTATGTTTTAATAGTTAACTATAGCTTCATATCTTAATAGCTAACAGTAGCTTTATGTTTTAACAAGTAACGATAGCTTCATGGTTTCTTAACTGTAGCTGTCTTAATTGCAGGGCCGGCGCTAGCAATAAGGCGAACTAGGCGGTCGCCTAGGGCGCCCTCCCTTGGGGGGCGCAAAAAGGTTTAATCTCTATTAACAAACAAGTACTTAATAATTAAAAACTTTGATTATCTTTTATAAACTATGGATGGTAATATACAAAGGAGTAGCGATCTATTTCGGCGCCCAGTACGAACTATCAATTTTGCGTCCCCCACCCACAAAATAGGCCTATAAGGGGCTATATTTATTCGCGATGGTGAAAATACATCCCCACCTCCCTTTTTACCACTCAGTTTACCTTTTTATTTTGGTGTCACATAATTGATGTAGAAAACGATTAAATAAGTCCGTAATTTACATTTCGAACATTTCAAACGGTTATCTAATTGGTTATCTAATTTTAATGTTGACTTAGTGATCGCTCCAGCGCATGACGAGGCGTTCCAAAAACACGTGCAATTTTGGTTTTTAATAGGGCTTGTAAGACTCGTTTTCTCTGACTTTGAATTAGAAATCTGTTCTGGTGTATAAAGTTTTGTAATGACGGGGTGTTCAAAGTATTGTACTTGTTTGGGGGTCTACGACAAATTCCGAAAGACACTTGCCCGAATGCCGTTTGCCCGAAGGCCGATTTCCCGAATGAACACTTGCCCGAATGCGACAAATGCCCGAATGGACACTTGCCCGAATGCGACAAATGCCCGAATGGACACTTGCCCGAATGCGACAAATGCCCGAATGGACACTTGCCCGAATGCGACAAATGCCCGAATGGACACTTGCCCGAATGCGACAAATGCCCGAATGGACACTTGCACGAATGCGACAAATGCCCGAATGGACACTTGCCCGAATGGGACAAATGCCCGAATAGACACTTAACCGATTGCGACAAATGCCCGAACGGACACATGCCCGAATGCCGTTTGCCAGAAGGCCGATTTCCCGAATGGACACTTGCCCGAATGCGACAAATGCCCGTATGGGACAAATGCCCGAATGCGACAGATGCTTGAATGGGACAAATGCCCGAATGGCACAAATGCCCGAATGGACACTTGCCCGAATGCGACAAATGCCCGAATGGACTGTTGATAAACAAAACATATTTACTCAAAAAGATAAAAATGCTCTATATTACCCCTCAGGCTTTTTTCATTAATGTGTATTTGCTATATAAAGTGTAGAAACATACTTTCTCTTCCTTCTATGAACGATGCATTTATCTCAGGATTTTAAAATGAATTTTGCTTTGTTTATTAAGTAATCGCTTCAACTTTGTCTAAACAAGGTGAATTAAATGGAGATCAACCTTATTATGTGACTACCTTTAGTTTTTAAATTCGCCGCCTAGACCGCGCTTAGTTCTGTTGTGAAATAGTTACCACACAAGTTAAGCATAACAAGATAAATCAAACAAACGCCCCTCAGTTCATTGTTGCCAGACGCCGCGCCGCCCACACCATGTCATAAGCGCTGTATAGCCACCGCAACACGTCGGCTAAACAAGGGGTTCAAAACATTCATCAAAAGAATATAAAGTCACCGCGCGAACATCACATTACATTTAATAAAGAGTAACGATTTTTTACAGCTATTTCTCGGTTAAAAAAGTTAATTAAAGCTGAATTTTAAAAATATAAACAACTTTGGTTTTATGCATAGAATTGTGTTTATGATCAAAAACTTCAATTGATTAAGAATGTCTATTTGGTAATATTATTTATTCTCTAATATTAACATCTTTCGAGCAAACAGCCTTCGGGCAAGTGGCATTCGGGCATTTGTCGCATTCGGGCAAGTGTTCGTTCGGGAAATCGGCCTTCGGACAAACGGCATTTGGGCTAGTGTCTTTCGGGAAAACGTCTGGCTCTTCTTGTTTGGTAAGTTTTGATGAATCGTTTAGATTTGGGAGTAACGGCGAAAGGCTGTTGTTGATATGGCTTCGTAGGTATAAAGTATCGAAGTGTTAAAGTGTTGTATTTTTACTTTCTCGTATATACGAAGTATATAGAAAGTCTTGTAATCGTTCAAATGAAAATCGAGATTTTTACAAATCTCGACGTTTTACACCTCACTGATACGGAAAAACATAATTTTGCAATCTTGTCCGCATGTCTGTGTGTCTGTGTGTGTGTGTGTGTGTGTGTGTGTCTGTCTGTCTGTCTGTGTGTAAACACGATAACTTGAGTACCGTTACAGCTAGGTTGATGAAATTTCATATATAAGTATTTTATCAAAATCGTAGATTCGTATCAACTTTTGAGCGATTTCCGATAACCGGAAGTGGTACTTTTTCTACTTTGAATTTTTCAAAAGGCTATCTTCTTCTTCTTCTTCGTTCTTAATTATTAGTGTTGAAGGGGATCGAGATTTATCTGCCAGTGGGTTTGAACTCGAGACTTTGTTCGAATTTATCAACCATGAGCTTTTTGCCGACTCGAACACGCCTCCAACACAATTAAGCGTTACGTGTCAACTGGTTATGCGCCATTGAGGCCATTGACTCCGATTTTAGCCTGCTTTTCTTTTTGGATTTGCTTCCATAGCCTTTGTCCAACCAAGAACAAACTACAAGGCAGCAGTTGTTTAATTTTGGAGTTGTCACTCCTAGAAGAGTGGCTGTCCCCAGCTAACGAGCCTCATCTGCCAGAGGGTCCGAACTCGAGACTTTTCGGTTTAGCAACCATGAGCTTTACCGACTCGACCACGCCGACCCCTAAAAGGCTATAATTTGAGTACTATTTCAGATAGATAAATGAAATTTCACATGTAAGTAAAAGATCAATATTTCTACCTTCTGTCAAATTTTGAGTAATTTCCGTTGACCAGAAGTACTAATTTACGCTATTTCCGATTTCTCAAAAAATGCATGTAAATTTATAAATTACTAATAATATTGCGCACTATTATGCACATTTTGTTTTGGCGTTCGCTTGGTGCGCAATTCTTTTTTCTATGAGATTCTATTCTATGTTTAAAAGTTTAAGTAATTAAAAATCATGTCTATATTCCAAGTTATATAAGAATATTCGAGAAAGTAGGGGAGATCACTCCCGGTTTATTTATTTGGCTGTTGTGTAGTTGTAGGTCTAGTGGAATCTGATTGGTAATAGAGAAATGAGAATGTAGCTGATGAGGTATCGTAGTTCTGGAGCTCGGTAGTATCGGAGTGTGATGATTGTTATCGTGCAGTAGTAGGTCCAGTTAAATCTTTGTTGATTGGGAGTATCGCTTGTAGAGCTTGGTGAAGTTAAACGTGTTGGTGTCCTAGTTCTGGAGCATCGAGTCTAGTTATGTTTAGGTATATAGGTTGTGAATGAGGTAGTCTATCGAGTAGTCGAGTTTATCGTAAGTTAGATGATTTCAATTCAGGACGGAACACACTACATAGAAAGGTAAGCGTTCTCTAACTGAAAAATCTTTAGTTTTTTAGGAATCTATATTACCACTCTTAAAGTATTAATATATAATATTATATAGGTTGGAATTTATAACTAACCGTAAACTTTTTTTTTCAAATTATATTTTTTACATTTAATCAATATTTATGGCAATGTCTTAAACAGTTCACGTATTTGATTTTATTTATCCAAAATTATTATTTAATACCTTTATTTTCAACTAAAACAATTAACATCAAACATTTGTTTGTAAGCCATTGTATGTGGTATCATATATACATAGTAGAATAGTAAGTTTGAGGGGGGGGGGTGCAAATCGAAATCTTGAGATCTTGAGAGGGGGGGGGGGGTGCAAATCGAAATCTTGAGGGGGGTGCAAATCTAAAGGTTTGGCGCCGGCAAGGGTCGCTACGCCTCTGGTCAAGCGGGAGGGGGTTCAGAAAGTAAGATGACACTTTTCCATGTTCAACAAACACTCACGTTAAGAAACTGAATTTAAGCCCTTATTTGCATTATTAAAAGTTGTTTTATAAATTGTTATAAAATAATTCATCAATAGGCCTACATTGAATGTTGGAAAAGCCCATAGGTCTAAATATTTTATGAAAATCGCTGCTTTAAAAACAAAATAGCGGGGGGGGGGGGGTTGGCTTAGGTTTACTTTTTTGGGAAAGGGGGAGGTCTGGCATCGTTGTGACATCGTTAATAGATGACCCCATAGTTAGAGGTCGATCTAGATTGATTAGGCCTATATTAAATGTTGATATTAATTACGCTTTACTTAATATTACAATGGAAAATAGCCTAGTAGTTTATTTATATTAAATAATATAACATCCCCTTTCACCACAACACCCTGACTATACTAATCCAAATTAAAATAAAAATGTTTTGTAAATTACTATTATATTATTAGTAATTTTGTGTTTAAATATTTTTAGCCTTAGTAAAACCGGAAGTGACTTTGCACTTATTTCACAAATGTTATAAAATATTCAATTTTGGTTCAAAAATGTGCTTTCTGGCAACACAAAGTGGAACCACTTTTGGAACCACTTTTCCTACCTATTGTTTTTTAATGTACATTTTTTTCCAGTTTAGTTTTTACATTTAAAATCTTTAACAAGGTGGTGAATTTATTGTCAACTTAAAATCTGAAGAATTTGCTTTGCTCTGTCCTCTTTGTCACATGATGTTTCTTTATTATCTTGCTTGTCATCATTAAAAAATTTTTGTGCATCTTCAACTGTTTTTTCTCTGGCCTTTCCCTTTAAGCCCTCCAAGTACTGCAGAACTAAGGTAAAATCTGAATCATTGATCAAATTAGCATCATACATAACATTGAGTAAACGAGTCTGAAGTAATTTGTTGAAGCTCCAAGCAACTTTATCAGAACTCAACTGTCTGATGTAGTTAATGCAGGGGTCGGCAACCTTTTGAGACGGAAGAGCCAAAAGATGCAATTTACAAAATTTATCAGTTTTTAAAGAGCCACTAACATTTTTTTTCAATATTTAGGATTAGGTATATATATATATATATATATATATATATATATATATATATATATATATATATATATATATATATATATATATATATATATATTATAGTTTTAAATATGAAATAATATTTATTCATATTTTTAAAAAATACACATGTTTCGCACAAAACATATTATAGTATTTTAGCTCAACTCGCGATTTTCTTTTACAGCTGTCCAGTTGTGCAACGTAACGTGCATGTTTTACTGGACCTTCAACTATTTTTACTTGCTCGTGAGTTCTGTGAATTTTTCGCTCTATAAATGATACGTTTTCGAATCCAGCAATTGCATTTGAAGCGAACCAGCATCAATTCCAAATAGCTCAAAGTTAATCTCATTTGTTTTTGTGTTGAGAGAGTCTACTATGAACGTCAGAGTACTTGCATTTGTTTTGAATTGCTCAAATCTCTCAGTGAATCTATCCTTCGTTTTGTTTGTTGTAATGCTGAAGCAATTCATGCTAATAGTTGCATTGGTTTCTAGATTTGTTTTTCAGATTTTTCGAAATCAAGTAATTTACCACTCTCCGTGTCTTCAACAAAAAAAAAGTAATTTTTTAGATAAATCCACTTTTCGGGCAAGGCATGGGCTGAGTTTTCCTTTCCGTACAGTTTTACATTTAGCTCGTTTATTTTCTTTGTGATATCCACCATGAAGTTGAATGTTTCAATTCGGGATGAACAGTTTAATAGGAAGTACATTGAAAATAGGGAGTACCTAAATATTTGAATAGAATAGCGAATGTTTAATGTTTATGTTTATGATTTTAGAATTTATTACCGAGTGTTGCAAAACAATATTTTTAGTTTTGAAAATAAAATAAAAAAGTTATTAAAATGTGTGCATGGAGCCGAAGAGCCGCATCTTAACATCAAAATAGCCGCATGCGGCTCGCGAGCCGCAGGTTGCCGACCCCTGAGTTAATGCACTTTTCATCACGAGTTTCATCCAACTGTACTTTTTTTTTTAAATACTTTTATTTGCAATTAAAACAAGTACATCAACATCAAATTTTTTAACATATTTTATATATATATATATATATTTTTTTTGCCGACTGGCGTTTAATATTGTTCCTCTCTTGCTGCTTTCCCTTCCCATGGGTTGGAAGCAAGAGTAGGTTTGCATAAGAGTATATACATATAATACAATTGTATGTCTTATACAAAACGTCTATAATGTATTTGTTATTTTTTTTTTTTTAAATACTTTTATTTGCAATTAAAACAAGTACATCAACATCAAATTTTTTAACATAATTTTGAACACCAAATGAAAACGAAAGGTTTTGCAAATGTACATAATGAATATTTACATGATGTCATGTATTTGATTATAAAAAAAAATTGCAAAGGATGACAGTAAAAGGGGTGAAGGTCAAATGAAAGTGTCAGAAGTCTGGGTGGGGAGAGGAAAGGAAATTTTTCAGAGAGGGTCAATGGGACAGTGAAGCATTTTCTATGTAGGGAAACAACTTAAGTTGACTAGTTGAAAGGGTGTTGTAGGGGTATAACGTACTTGTTATTTTTTTTTTTTTTTTTTTTTTTTTTTTTTTTTTTTTTTTTAAAGAATAATAAGTGTTTATTCAAGTGATCTGAAATTTTGCAAAGTTGAAAACAATTATTGCTATTTAAAATTGGTTACTTTTTAGTAGAACACTGCTTTAAAAAGAAAAAGATTCTATAGAGAATTTTATTATCACAAATAAAAATACATTGACATTTTACATAATTTTAAGTTTTTTTTAAATATCAAAATGCAACAAAAAGGATCAACACTTTCCAAAGATACAATTCTTTTGTGTAAATGTACATTAAAAGGTATAATGTACTTGTTATAATCCAAAATATTACAGCACTGGAATAAAAGTTAAACGCAATTTAATGAATGTCATTAAAATTGACTAGAAGTATGTTATAATAAAGCTACCGTGTTTAGACTTTCAAACTAAATCTGCTGTTAAGTAGTCAATTCGTAAAATATACTCTATTGACAAAATTACATAGGTATTAAAAAGATTTGTTATAATTATTACGTAATGAAATTTAGAACGTTTTATTGTCTTTTTCAAGCATGTCTTAGTTACACTTGGTTGATTTAGCTTCTCTTGTGACAGTTATTTCCCTTGAATAAAATTTTGGTGTTTGGATTTTAAAATGGGAGATAATTCGTTTCTTAAGTTTACATTAATTTCAAATTCTTGCACCTTAGGTTGATCGCTTACTTATAAATATAACTTTAAGTTATTATTTGCTATTGTAAAAACTATATAGAGCAGAAGTTCTAAACAAAATAGTTTGGAAGGTTTTCTTGCATTATCAAGTTGAAAAACAAATACATCAGCAGCCGTTGTATATTGCAATACTTAATGTTAGTAGACATACAAATACAACAAATGCGTCTAAAATCGTCTTAGTCACATATTAATCATTTAATTAATCAAGTGTCTTGTCCACATTTTTCACCCTCTCCTAAAGGATTCATATATAACAATTATAGGCTGGAACCTATAACATTTGTAAACTTATATTTTTCCAAAACAAAAACAATCATTACATAATCACACAATATAGATCTAGACATTTTACAATTTTAACTAAAGACAGTCAAGTTTGGGAGGTCTGTAGAGAGCCCAATACCACAAAAATTGTAGGGTTTTTAAATGTTTTTTTCCAGACTTATTTCTTCCGGGAGGGGGGGAGCACTTTAAAGTTTCTAAGGTGGAGGGGGGGGGGAGGACTTAGCAACAATTTCAATAGAATGTGATTACGCTTGCAAACTGGAATTGAAAGAATTAGTACAAACTTTTTCGACGAAGAAGGCAAGTCAAATTTGATTTTGATGTCTACTTATAACGTGTATGTAATTGATGATGAATTAATTATTAATATGTCACTTTTAATTAATTGTTTTCTTATACGTATGTTTTAGTAATTAATTTGTGTGGAAGGGGGCGTTTTAGTACGCTTTGCCTCGGGCGCTAAATAACCTGGCGCCGGCGCTGCTTAATAGCTAACTATCGCATCATGTTTTGGTAGCCTACTGTAGCTTTTTGTTTTAAAGGCTAGCGATAGCTTTATGTTTTAATAACTAATTCTAGCTACACATACACACACATACATACACACACACGCACGCACGCACACAACAACACAACACACACACACACACACACACACACATATATATATATATATATATATATATATATATATATATATATATATATATATATATATATATATATATATATATATTATATATATATATATATATATATATATATATATATATATATATATATATATATATATATATATATATATATATATATATATATATATATATATATATATATATATATATATATATATATATATATATATATATGTTATGTTGTGTGTCTGTCTGTCTGTGCATTTTTTAAAAGCCCAGTGACCCATAACAAGTTCTTGCCCCTGTCATTGTCTCAATGACTCCTGTGTTTTACCCATGTACATATTTTTTGTACCATACCCCCCCCCCCTCTATTCCACCCCCAGTAACTGTGAGATGTCCAGCAACGCTTATGACTGGCGACAGTACGAGAGCCCGGATGTTGCCATGGAGAAGAAGCGCATCAACACGGAGGGGCTGGAGAAGACAGGTGACTACGCTCACACTTCGCTATACGCTCACACTTCGCTATACGCTCACACCTCGCTATACGCTCACATTTTCGCTATACGCTCACACTTCGCTATACGCTCACACCTCGCTATACGCTCACATTTTCGCTATACGCTCACATTTTCGCTATACGCTCACACTTCGCTATACGCTCACGTACTTCGCTATACGCTCACACCTCGCTGTACGCTCACCCTTCGCTATACGCTCACACATCGCTATACGCTCACACATCGCTATACGCTCTCACTTCGCTATACGCTCACACTTCGCTATACGCTCACACACTTCGCTATACGCTCACACTTCTCTATACGCTCACACACTTCGCTATACGCTCACACCTCGCTATACGCTCACACCTCGCTATATGCTCAAACTTCGCTATACGCTTTAGATATTGACACATCTACGAGGCCTAGAGGCAGAGAGCTAGACTGCTAACCCGAGAGTCTCGGGTTCGTTTCTGGGTTCAAGTCAGTAGAATTTAATAAATATTCTTTAAACTGATACAGTAAAGTTCTTATTTTGATAGGAGCTGTGAATATCCAAAATGCAGGTGTTAATTTAAGATAATGTGGGATGGCGTGGTCGAATGGTAGAGTGTTAGACTGCTAAACCAGTGGTCTGGAGTTTGGTGCCCTGGCTAGAATCATAGCACGTCCCTGAGTCCACCCAGCTCTGAATAGTACCCAACTCGTTATGGAGAGTATAGACGGCTGAGCATAGTGCTGACCTTACTATCCTTTCATAAGATCGGTCACAGAAACAGATGAACTCTACTTCAACTGCCCAAATGACCGTCAAGGATCGTTACCCTCCCAGAAACGAATACCTCGTTAAACGTTTTTGATTTGGTCACATCTAAGCCAGAAAAACGAATACCTCTGTGTACGCTTTGGATATGATCACCTAGCTATACATCTCAGAAATTAATACTTCGATATACGACTGAACAACTAGTATGCCATCGTAAAGGGAAAAGTATGAATTTACTTATTTCCCATTTCTCCTTCAGTCCTTAATATATTGCCTCTAACCAATATTGGCCCAAACCCTGAAAATTTTAAGTGTCCTCGTTATCGTTACCGTTGTTATCTTTATCGTTGTTATCGTTATCGTTGTTATCGTTATCGTTGTTATCGTTATGGTTATTGTAATCGTTATCGTTACCGTTGTTATCGTTATCGCTACCGTTGTTATCGTTATCGTTGTTATCGATACCGCGATCATTGCTATCTTTATCGGTACCGACATTTTTAGGTGCTCCCTCCACCCCTGTCAACAAATGTCTGAAAGAAACCCTGAGTACTTTACGAAAACCTTCACTAAACAAGCTTGACTTCCTCAGACGCACTTGTACTGATGAATCTGACGAAACGTTTCGGCGAACGTATCGCGGTCGACCACATCTGCTGCGGGGTGTCGCAGAGGGAGTGCTTCGGTCTGCTGGGCATCAACGACGCGGGGAAAACCGTTACCATGGAGATGATCGTCGGTCACGTGCCCATCTCCGGCGGCACCGTCATCTACAATGGCATCGACCTGAGAAACGACTTCGACAATGTGAGTCTTGCGATGCCTTGAGGTGGCTGGATGGTACGCTGGTAAAATTTACGACGGGGAGGGGGACAAAACAATTTTTTGGAGGGGGGGGGGGGGAAGAGGGAGAGGGGCGGGCACTAGTAAAAGTATACATTCTATTTAGTTCAGGGGGGGGGAGTAGACGTTTTTCGATGGGAGGGGGTGGGGCGAAGAGATGCCTGAAAGAAACTGTGTACCTGTATACCGTTCTATATGTACTTTGATGTACACATCTTGCAACAGTAGTTAGGTTGCAATTGTTTCTGGACATTGGCCGTATCAGTCAACCCTTAGTAGCTACTGTCTCTGGACATTACACTTATTGGCTATTGTCTATAGACATTATCTTTACCTGGTACTGCTCATGGATATTACCTTTACCTGCGACTGCTCATAGACATTAACTTTACCTGTTATTGACCATGCTTACCGGCTATTGACCATAGACATTACAGTAACGTACTATTGTCCAAGGACAAAACACTTTTTGGTTAATGTCTTTGGACATTACTTTATTGGCTACATTACCCTTGACGAAACCCAAACTATAACTCGCCAGCTACGAGACACCATTGGCTACTGTCTCTGGACATTACATTTATAGCTATTGTCTCTGGACATTACATTTACTGACTACATTACCCTTGACAAAACCCAATCTATAACTCCCCAGCTACGAGACACCATTGGCTACTGTCCGCAAGCTGACCCACTGATTGAAGAGCTGACCGCACGTGAGACCTTGACCATGTTCTCACGTATCCGAGGGATCAGGACCGAGTACCTGGCCGGCCATGTCAACCACCTGATCGACATGTTTCTCCTGCAGCCGTACGCCGACAAACTGGTCCGCGTCTACAGGTAATTAGAGATACAGTTACATTTCCGTTTACCGGAATAGGGTTGGGGGACTAATTCTTAAAGCTGGCCATTATGATTTTTACTACTGTAAATTTAAGGGTAATTGGCTACATTTGAGTTTCCCATTCTATTCTTTTTTTTCCCTCTTTCTTTTTCGTCGTTCTTAATTGTAAAATGAAGGGGATCTCCAACACAATTAAGTATTAGGGGTCATTTATAAACAAAGTCAAATTTTTTGACGATTTTTAACTTCCCATTCTCTGATATTCATAGATGGTAGCTGAAAGTATCACGCGCAAAATTGGAGTTTGTGTTTCTTTCTAAAATTACATTGAATATGTACATTAATTGTTATAACAATTTCAAAAAGCACAAAAACGCGATACAAATGCTAGAATTGAGTTTTTTATATTACTTTTTTAAAATGCGAAATTGCGTCTTCACATTATCTGACAACCCCCCCCCCCACCATCGTGATTCATAGGCACAAAATTCCGTCACAAAAAGCAAACAGTTTCATTACTTATTACTAAATATAAACATCAGGGGCGGTAGAGGAATGATAGAGAATACGACTTCTAACGCGAAAGTCTCGAGTTCAAATCCTCGTTCACATCCTTAGACCGCCCCGGGTCCAGCCAGCTATGATGGGTACTAACACACATTAAGTAAAGTAATGGTGGCTGGGCATAGTGCTGACAACACTAACTAATATTTCCTCTATATAAGCCGGCGTCACAGAAACAGGTGAACTCTAATTGCCCCATGGGCCATCAGGTTCGAAAGAGAACTTTACTAAATATAAACACCAGTTAATAAATTCTTATTGCTACACAACAAGAAAACGTGTATGGAGCAATAAATTAATTTATTAAATGATTATTTGGACGTTTCTCTTCAGCGGCGGCACCAAGCGCAAACTCAGTGTGGCGGTTGCTCTGGTGGGGAACCCCAAGCTGATCCTATTGGACGAGCCGTCACGTGGTGTGGACCCCAAGTCGAGGCGACATTTGTGGAACATCCTGTCTGAGGTCAGGACGGCTGGTGCTACGGTGCTGCTCTCCACTCACAGGTAGGTGCAGGTGCTAAATGACATCTCTCTTACAGGTAGGTGCAGGTGCTAAATGACATCTCTCTTACAGGTAGGTGCAGGTGCTAAATGACATCTCTCTTACAGGTAGGTGCAGGTGCTAAATGACAGCTCTCTTACAGGTAAGTGCAGGTGCTAAATTACAGCTTTCTTACAAATGGGTGCAGGTGCTAAAGTACAGCACTATAATAGGTAGATTTATGGGATAAAGTGCAGCTCTCTTACAGGTAAGTTCAGGTTCTAGAGCACTATAACAGGTAGGCTTAGGTGTTAAAAAGCATCTCTATTACAGGTGCAGGTGCTAAAGTACAGCACTCTAACAGTGAGGGCCAGGAACTACAGTACTCCCCTCTCTCACCAATAGCTGGAGTGCAGTATGCTTTATTCACAAAATGTGCTGAATGCTTTAATCACAAAAAAAGGGCAGAATGCTTTATTCACAATTTCAATCTAAATTTACCAAGTTTAAAACAACGTTTGAGTTTGAACTCTAAAATTCTTTGAATTTTGTTTCCATCCTAATTTATTTCCACTGTTAAGTCTATCCAGCTTTAATGAATACCCGGCATTAAAAAAACTACTAAATACTTCAACACTGAGCTCTCTGTGGAACATTTATTATTTCCTATATCAACATTGTGTTGTTGCAGTATGGAAGAATGCGACACGCTGTGTACACGTCTAGCCATCATGATCAAAGGAAAGTTCCAGTGTATAGGCAGCTCACAGGACTTGAAGAATAAATTCGGCAAGAGCTACTCCCTGACCATTCAACTCGCCAAGCTGGACAACGGCAGCTTCGGTCCCGTCCCGCCCGTTGTTGAGTTCCTAGAGCAACGTTTACCCGGTATTGAGGTAAAAACGGTGTCCAGATCTACTTGTTCAGTGTTTCTTCCAGACTTTTTTCTCTGGAAGAAACTCTGTACTTGTTACTTTTTCTATACGAAGTGTAGAGAAAGTAATGTGATTGTGTGAAAAAAATCGACGCTTTACATCTCCCTGAGTCGAAAAAAAACTAAGTATTTGCAATGTTGTTTGATTGTTTGTGTGTCTGTCTGTGTGTTCGTCTGTTTATCTGTGGACACGATAACTTGAGTACTGTTTCAGATATGTTGACGAAACTTCATGCATAGGTGTTATATCAAATTTGTAGTTTTGTTTCAGCTTTTGAACGATTTCCGGTAACCGGAAGTGGTGCTTAACTCTATTTCCGTTTGAAGACTATTTTGAGCACGGTTCCAATTTGTGTGTAATTTATCAATGGGTTTTTAGTTGTTTTTCCCTTTACCTTAACAAAGGGTTCCATATATTTCCATGTAGTTGAACAAATGGTTTCATTCATTTTTTTCGCGTATCTTACCTTCGGATTTCATTTTTTTTTCCGGGTAGTTTAACAAACCGGCTTTCACTTTTCTCTGTGTAGCTGGTGGACGAACACCAAGGCTATGTTTACTTCCGGTTTCCAACGGACGAGGTGGCGCTGTACAGCGTGTTCGCTGTTCTCGAGGCAGCCAAGTTCGCCTCTCTCATCTCCGACTACTCCATGCACCAAACGACGCTCGAGCAAGTTTTCCTCTCCCTGGCCAGGAAATTCGCCGACGAGAAAAACGCCGACGTCGACATTGAACAGTCTTTGTGTGAGCGCTGTATTTGATTGTGTCGAAAAATATCATTCTGGTTTTGAAAGTGGTGGTTTTGTTTGGCTGTTAGTTGTAGTGGGTGTGTGGCGGTTAGATAACCAGAGTGGGGGGTATCTTTGGACGTGTGTGCTAGCAATGAATTGTGGTGAGTGTTTCCTTCGGGGATTTCTCTGGTGGTGTGGAAAAAAAAGGGGGGGGGGGCAAATTCACCCCCAACCCGGATGCAATAGAAAAAAAATTAAATGTAACAATTCTTACAATCAACCCCGCCCCCCTTTCTGGACATTGTCTAAAAGAAAGCCTGAGGGGATATATGCATTTAGTTAAAAGTGTATGTGATTGTGTGCGTGTATCTAGGCCGTATGTGTGCTATTGGATATGTGTTGAGTAAATGTTATGTAGCGTATGTAGTAGAGTATGATATAATATACTTGTTGAAAGTAAAAATATTTAAAATAGTTATCTTGTTACAGCTTTTTTTTTATAAATAGCCTATTATCCTATCATAGCCTAGCTGTCCCCTTAGATTTAGATTATCTTAACAGGGTGGTACTATCATAGCCTAGCTGTCACCTTTGGAATGGCTTAGATGATCAGGGTGGCATCTTATGAAGAGGGCGACACAAAATTAAATTTAATAAATTACTGTCACAAGTTTTTATCTAGCAAAAATAACACAATCGATGGCGCGACAACAATCGTAAATGCAACATGGTTTGAATGGCGTGGGGGGGGGAGGGAGTACCACCCTCAGTTACCACACTGGGGGCATTTAACCTGGTGACGCCACTACATGCACTCAACCCACTTCTATACAGTAAAACAAATATTTAATCTAGCGTTGATATAGGGATAAAACCAGCACCCCCTCTTCCAATTTTATTTTAAATATCTAACTTCAAATATGCAAGCTCGGGCAGAGGAGGCTCGTTAGCTGGGGACAACTCCACAATCAAACAACTGCTGCCTTGTAGTTTGTTCTTGGTTGGACAAAGGCTATGGAAGCAAATCTAAAAAGAAAAGCAGACTGAAATCGGAGTCAATGGCCTCAATAGCGCATAACCAGTTGACACGTATCCTTTTGTGATGGAGGCGTGGTCGAGTCGGCAAAAGCTCATGGTTGATAAATTCGAAAAAAGTCTCGAGTTCAAACCCTCTGGCAGATAAGGCTCGATCCCTTCCAACACTCACAATTAAGAACGAAGAAGAAAACCCTTTGTAAAAAAAAAAACACCTACAAATCAATTTAATCAATGTCTTTTTTAATTCATACTTGATTGCTTTTAACTTTAAACAAAACATTGCTATACTTAATATCACATATTAAAATATTGAGAAACTTATAAATAAATTATCACTCGAGTGAAATTATAAACAAAGATTTGTAAGAAAAAAACCATAATGGTTTCAGAACTGTGTTTTGATGGTTACATAAAAAAGTTGAACACCACATTTAAACTTAAGAGAACAATACATAAAAATAGACTTGGATTGAAATATTGAAATGTGTCAGATCATTAAAACGTTCGCCGTTACACCAGAAGGAATTGGATTGAAAGACAGAATAGATAATGTATAACATGATTCAAACAAAACCCAGAACTATTTCAAGTTGGATAAGTGCCGGAGGAAATGAGTTCTAGTCTAGGGTGGGAATAACTGGTGTGAGACAAGTTCTCGTGTCTGGCTCATGTGTTGTATGTTATTGACTACCTCTAACTTGTAGGCATAACTGTGTATCACAGCTCCCAGAAACAACAACATAGTAATGATAGGCAGAGGCGTAGCGAGGGGGGGGGGGTGCGGGGTGCGGATCGCACCGGGTGACACCAATTAGGGGGGTGACACCAAGGTAAAATATAGCAAAATATATAGAGAAAAACTTGAGGGGGTGGGGGGTGCAAATCGAAAGTTTGTCCCCGGTAAGGGTCGCTACACCTCTGGGGGGGTGACACCCGACCTCGCTACGCCACTGATGATAGGAATGGTTATGTCATATGTACATAAATAACATGCTTCAGCATAGCATCAAGTTTCAAGTGTCTTAGGGAGTTTTTCAAATTCTTTAGTAGACAGTAGTTCTAAAAATTCAAATTTATATTCACTGCTACTTGTTTTTCATTCTTGTGAGAACTTCTTTGAAAAAAATAATTTTTTCTGCAACAAATTGCAGAAAAATCTGGACACTAAAATGTTTTAGCAGAAGATGAGAGTGAGAGAGCCAAATACAACCTGGCAAACTTAACAGAGAAGACACTGTCTCCTGTATACTATTTTTACAATTACATTAAGTACAACTTTGTTTTCTAAAGGGTCAAAAGCATGGCATAAAACATTCAGTGTTAATCAAAAGTTTCTAACACCAAAATAGTGTAAAAAGGCATGGTACAAAATCTTCATGAACAAAATTCAAACTTTTTCCCACCTATTTATTTCTAAAATTAATTATATTTCTAAAATTAATTAGAATTAATGAACTAAGTTCCAAAGCCCATCGCATAAACCAGCATCAACTACAACAAAAACTACTACTAACAATCTACAAAACAATGTTTTGAATGTGTTACCATTTGAGTAGGCTAAAATAATTGTAAGAAAACCTGTTTGAGAAAATTTGTGACTAGATGTACCCCAACAACTGAGATTCAACTACCTTCAACCACCGGGATCTAGCTATCATTATAAAAAAAAGTAATCCACTTAACAGTCTCATGGCAAATCTGAGGTCAATTAAAAATCTAATCAACATTTATTTTTATTTATTCATATATTTAAATTACAAAATTAAGCAACATCTTCATCACATTGTAAAAAAAATATAAAAAAAGGAGTTCTTACGTAGGATATATATAATACATTTTTTGTGCTCGTAAACTTTGGTTACATCACCATTTAAAATATTTACACGATTAAAAAAGACGTAATTCCAAGTTTACTTTATCCAATTAATATTGTATTATGTAATGAGATGTGAGATAATTACTCAAGAGCTTACATAACAAAATGAATAATATTGCACAGCAATGCTTAAACTTGCAAGCTAAATTTAAGTTAACTGTCTCATATGTACATGCTACGTTTTTACTTTTTTTTTTACAATTGGACCAAAATAAAGTTGGACTAAAACAGCACAAGCTTATCTGTTCCTTTACATGCAAAGTTTTTACTTTTTTACAATTGGACCAAAATAAAGTTGGACTAAAACGGCACAAGCTTATCTGTTCCTTTACGTGCTTGGTTTTTACTTATTTTACAATTGGACCAAAATAATGTTGGACTAAAAATGACACAGGCTTATCTCTTCCTGCGCATGCTGGGTTTTTACATATTTTACAATTGGACCAAAATAACGTTGGACTAAAAATGACACAGGCTTGCTTATCTCTTCCTGTATATGCTGGATTTTCACTTTTTTTACAATTTGACCAAAATAATGTTGGACTAAAATGGCATAAGCTTATCTCTTCCTGTAGCCTACATGCTGGGTTTTACCTTTTTAACAATTGGACCAAAATAAAGTTGGACTAAAACAGCACAAGCTTATCTGTTCCTTTACATGCTCAGTTTTTACTAAAAAATACACAGGCTTGCTTATCTCTTCTTTTATAAGCTGGATTTTTACTTATTTTATATTTGGACCAAAATAATATTGGACTAAAACCACACAAGCATGTCTGTCCCAATTATTAAGATTTATAACAGCCCCCTTTGATGCAGCAGCAACAACAGATCTTGGCCAGCTCACTCCGCTTGGTCTCTTCCTTGGGCGCTATCTGCGCGCGGGTGAAGGTGAGGAACACCTGCTCCAGGGTGGTCTGGTGGACAGAGTAGTCGGACACGTTCAGGTTCTTCTTCAGGTCCTCCATGATGGAGAACACCTGTGCCAGCCGGACGTTGGAGTCTGGCACCTGGAAGTGGATGTAGCCTTGATGGTCGTCAAACACCTGGGGGATCAAAGGTCAGGTGGTTAGGTTTTATGGTACTTTCACAGACACAGGTAATATAAGGTCAGGTAAGTAATTAGGTCTTATGTTGTTTTCACAGACACAGGTAATATAAGCTCAGGTGATAAGGCTTTATGGTGCTTTCAAAGACACAAGTAATATAAGGTCAGGTAAGTAATTAGGTCTTATGGTGCTCTAACATACATAGGTAATTAAAGGTAAGGTAAGTTATTAGGTTTCATTGTGCTTTCACAGACATACGTAATTAAAGGTTAGGTAAGTAATTAGGCTTCATTGTGCTTTCACATACATAGCTAATTAAATAAGTAGGTGCTTCTAAACATGTAGGTAATTAAAAATCAGCTTAGTAATTAGGTTTCAATTAAAATTATTTTAGTAATTTAATCAATGAAACAAACATCAACTTTTCAAGACCACATATAGGTCAGGTAAAAAACAGTTCATCATTTTTTTTCAGCCATAACATGTATGAGATGGTTGTGGTCTATACATTTGCTAAGCTTAGTCTAATTTCCCCAAGTAATACCCTACCCACAATCTCCAATCCCCAGGATTTCAGGTCTGCAATTTATAACCTAACTAAGTAAAATAAATTTAACTTCTATTATTTTAACTAGGTGGAGTCTTTTTTCCCCAATCAGCTTTAAATAAATCATAAGTTATTTATACCTTGGCGCCAGCAAAATGCTCTAGAATAAAGTCTATCACAGGTTCATTGGGTGCAGTGCTTCCATCTGGCAGGGCTCCTAACTGTACGATCAATGTGTAGCCCTGGCCAAACTTGTTCTTTAGATGTTGAGGGCTGCCCAGGCACATGAATTTACCATTCACCATGATGGCTATACGTGTACAGAGTGCATCACACTCTTCCATGCTAAAGATTTGAAAAAAAAAAATTAAAATTATGAATACATAAAGTTATAAAAATTTAATTTAAACCTAGATTCTTAACGATAGAAGAAAAAAAAAATTGTTTAAAGGAAATAAAGGGAAAGAACCAGGCATTTAGAGACAAAAATTATGGGCCTTTGATATAAAGAGAGCATTAATGGCCTTAAAGATTTACGTTAATGTTTCAATTAGCTAAAATAATTTAAACATAAAGAACAAAATGGGAATGACTATTGCAGAGAAAATGGCCTTAAAGATTTCATTAATGTTTCAATTAGATATAATAATTTAAACATAAAGAGCAAATGGAAATGAATATTGCAGAGAAAATATTACATAAATGGCTTTAAAGATTCCGTTAATGTATCAATTGGCTAAAATAATTTAAACATAAAGAACAAATGGAAATGACTATTGCAGATACAATATTACATTAATGGCCTTAAAGATTTAGTGTTTCAATTAGCTATAATAATTTTAACATAAAGAGCAAATGGAAATGACTATTGCAGAGAAAATATTACATTAATGGCCTTAAAGAATTTGTTAATGTATCAATTATCTAAAATAATTTAAACATAACGAACAAACGGCAATTATGTCAGCACCCACCTGTGTGATGTCAATACCAAAGTACGGCCTGACGCTCGCACCTGAGACAAAACATTCCAGAGTTGTCTCCTGGCCTTAGGGTCCATGCCTGAAGATGGCTCGTCCAGCATGATGAAAGGTGGGTCACCAATCAGGGCTATGGCTGTGCTTAGCTTCCTCTTGTTACCTCCACTGGAAAAAAAATGTATGATCTTGTTAAATAAGTATGATGCAAAGGCACTTGTAATTATGAAAGATCTTGTTAAAACATTGGGAGGTAGAAAGTCTGATGGCTTAATTGAAAGTTAGTGCTTATTAGAAATGGTCACAGCTACACTTTATAAGGCTCACTGTGGTGTATGTATGTAGTATAGAGCTCACTTAGGGTGTATAATGTACTCTATTTTTTATTTTATTTATTCAATTACGGTAACAATAGTAGGCACGGAGGCCTTTTTTCACATTAGCCGTTTTAAAATAAACAAATAAAACAACAATACAATTTAATAACAGCATTTAAAAAAGCAATAGCATAGTAACAACATAGCGGTAACATAGCACTAAAAATGTGGAATAAAGAAATAATATTACATAGTTATAATACAAGATGAGATAAAATAAGAATATAATAGATGAATGAGAAATGTTTCAATGAGTCAGTTAGAGAGGTCATTAAATAATTGTTGTTTTAGTTTAGATTTGAATATATTTTCAGAACTAGGTAGTTTTATTTTGTTATGAAGATTGTTCCACTAATTAGAACCAGAGTAGGCGAAGCTATTTTTTTGGAAAAAAGTGTTATATGGGATCGGTAAATTAAGACGATGATTTAATTTTGTGTTAAAAGAAAATAGGTCCGATAAGTAAGAAGGGGCTGTTTCGTGGAATATTTTATGTAAAAAAATTGCTTTAGTATATATAATCTTTTTATATAGAGGCACATGGTAATGGGTGTGGTCTACCCAGAGTATTGCATTTTTTCTTATTTAACTATAAAAGTGGGGAGGGGGTATGGGTAGAGCTCTTTCTGAGAAATGATATTTAAAAAAAAAATATAAGTAGTTTCCATCATAAATGAGCTGGTAGTGTAATGAAGGTGATGTTAATCACCTGTAAAGTCCAGCTAGTTTGTCAGCGTGTGGTCGCAACATGAGGATGTCCAGCAAAGTGTTGACCACCGACGGAATGTTTTCCTCCGGCACCCCCCTCAGTCTGGCGTACATGAAGAGTGTCTCTCTGCCGGTCATCTGGTCAATGAGGGCGTCAAACTGCGGGCAGTAGCCCATGTTAGCTTGGACCTAGTGATTTTAGAAATTTAATTTAAAAAAAAATATAAAAGTAATATCAAAGACATAAAGCATACATGTTGAAAGAAAGTGTCTCTGTTACAGTTGTAACTGAATTATCAGAATATATAATGCATATGCTGACATAAATTTCTACATGAAAAATGAAACAGACATTAAACTAATACTATGGAAAGGTAACTGAAAGTTGTAATGCAACAATATATAGACTACAATTTCCTTAGCATTATATTTATTTACAAAATAGCATTAAATAAATATTATTCAATTAGATCACAGCAATTTTTCAAGATGTAAATAAATTGCTTTATAACTTATGGATGTGATAGAAATTTAATTGAAATCTAAGAACTAATGCAAAATATTCTTTAATAGATAGACTATAATGGAATAAAAATGTTAATTATTGCTGTAGCCTAGTTACACAATATAACATATGATTTAAAAGAATCTCTGTATGATCTTACTTCTTTAATATTGCTGCAATCATCACTATTAATTATTTTGCAACCCTCATTAAACTAATACATGAATGATTTAAAAGGATTTCCAAATGATCTTACTTCTTTAATATTGCTGCGAACATCACTGCCCTTGAGGTAGGCATTTCCACCAGTCACCATGACATCCCCAGTCAACATTTTAAAAGTTGTAGTCTTGCCAGCTCCGTTTTGACCCAGCAGGCCAAAACATTCTTGTTCTGGCACGCCAACACATATGTGGTCCACAGACACGAAGGTTCCATATCTCTTATACAGGTTGACCAACAACAGGGAATCTGAAATAAGAATAATTGTCTTCAGAAAACACTTAAATAAAAATAGTGATCGTAGTGCTCTTGTATTTAAACAGATTTTTAATGCGTTCAAAAGGCTTGGGGTTTACCCATTTGTTTTATTTATAGTAGAATAAATAGAAATCTAAGTTTTAAATTTTTTTAAAGTTTTGATTTTGATATATTATTATTTTATGCTATTATTTTACATAAAAGATGTATTACTGATCAGTTTTTTCAGTATCAAGTTTTAACACTTATTATATTGGGATGGGATTATATGTATCAGCTTTAAGTCAGAAGTAGATTAAGCTTGACCAGGGCTACTAGCTGAAAATCATTTGGAGTGTGTTGTAACTACAGAGAAATGGTCATAGCTTGTGAGATAGTGTTTTGGGACCCGAAAATTTGAAGGCCCAGAGCTGCTGGCCAGTTGGCCCCCTTTTAAATCCATAACTTGTTACAGAAGAACAATGGTAAATGCTCAGAATATAAATGGGACGGCAAGACCTGAAAGTCTTGAATTCAATCCGGGTTCAAATCAATAGAATGTCCCTGAGTCTATCAAGCTCTAATGGGTATCTAACTCACAATTTGGAAAGGAAAGACGGCTGGGCATAGTGCTGACCACACTATCCCTTCATATACTGAAGTCGCAGAAACAGGTGAACTTTCTTTTTATCAGAACATCAGCTAAACTCACCTGTTCCAGTGGCGCTCATCACAGAAGCTGGGGAGGAGTTGATGCGCTGCCTCTCAGCTGCCACGTCGCTGTCCTCAACGTGACTGGCGGCGTGGTCAAACGGCAGTGGCTCTTGGCCTGAATCAGGTGCTCCGCGAATTAAGTACCTACACGATATGTATGTTGGTGATTAATTATGTTGAGCTTGATTGAAATATTATCGTTATTAAAGTTTAAACACACCAGTGGTTTAAATGGTTCCAGGTAAATGGCTGTAGCTGGTCAAAATTAATGCTCAGAAATCATTTACCTCGATCCAAATTTAGCCACAAATTAAAAGGATATAGTTCGGAGCAGCTTATATTTATAGATAACAATTAACAACTTCAGGATTAACAAATTAACTCAAGGTAATCCCCTAGGACTATTGGAATAAACTATTTTGAAAACATAATTGCTTTAGAATAGATAAATAGAAAATCTGAGAATTATTATCTAAATTATCTAAATAGAACGTCAACACATTTAAAACCTTACCAAATCCTCTGGAAGAAGTGGTACTCAATCAGCAGAACAATGACTGAGAACACAGCACCCTGTACAGCCATAAGTATTAAATAAACTCCGATGCCAGGCTTCTCAACAGACATGTAGTCCTCTTGGTACAGTACACAGAAAACTGATTTGGAACAGGTTTCTGAAAAAAGAAAAAAAATCATACAATTTGCTTTTTAAAAAAAAAAAAAAAAAAAAGAGGTTACATTTATTATAATATCTAAAAAATTTATTTAGATATTATAATAAATGTAACCTTTTAAATTGTGTATGTTACCCCATGAAATCCTTGCATGTAAAACACTATTAACTATATGTCGACATAACAGTTGTTCTAAAATATAATGTAAAATCAAGAGCACATCTTTTGGCCTCCATAATTTTAGAACTTACTAGGACAGCAAGGGGAGACCATTCCCATTGCACATAAACCCTGGGTAGAGGCACAGGACTTGAGGTTCAAGTAGTTTGTGTACAGCTTGATGAAGCAGGTTGCCATGTTGTAGTTGGGGAATATAAAAGCGAAGACCCAATCCAGAATGTCTGCTATACTTTCCGTCCCGATGGATGGGATTTGTAGCACAAACACAGCGGTGGTGGTGATGATTCCTGTTTAAATTAAGTTAAGTTAATTAATTTTTATGTGTTGTGTAGCAGGTTGTGTAAAAAAAAGAAAGTTAAATTTATTTGTTTTAGATTTCGTGTCTCAGGTCATGATTAAAAAAGTTGAATTTATTATTTTTATGTTTAGTGTAATAGGCAACGAAGGGTCCAATGTTAAATCATTTTAAACTTTAAATGTGTTCATCTGTCATTTTTCTTCATAGGGTTAAGAAAAGTCTTAACAAAAGAATGGCAGGACATTATCCAAGGAAATATTTAGCCTAATATTAGTATCATTATCCTGATTTAAACCATAATCTTGGTTCTATTCTAATCATAATCCTGACCCTTAAAGTGATACTTTTTATTATATGTTACATCCTGTCTGTTTTTATAAATACACTACAAAGACCCAAGTAAAATAATAATCTAAAAAATCCTCTTACCTGAGAAGATATTCAACATGATGACAACCACAACACCACTTGGAGGGGACTGGAAAGCAAACTGCAGCGCGTACATGAATGGCAGCACAGCCCAGCCATATATAACCAGCACGAGGATGACGATTCCCCATCTACCATCATCCAGGTATGCAGACTGTTGGTAGGCCAGGAAGACAATCAGCAGGAGCAGACTTGGTATGATGTAGTTAATGAAGTCCCAGATGAAGGTGGGGATCCAGTACGAGAGTGGCCCGACTCCGCTGACAACTTGCATGTGTTTGGCCCCGACCTGAGGAAAAAAAAAACACTCAAATGTGTTAAAATGAGTGTCATAGCTATTTATGATGGGGGTTATGCCTTTTTTGTTCCACAACTTTTAATTGTGCAAATTTAAACATTTTGAAAACATTAATTTAAAAACAATCACTCACTTGTGCTAGTGTGTATATCAAAGCTATTTATGATGGGGGTTATCCTTTTTATAGCACTAGCTTTAACTTTAATAAATGCTCAATTTAAGTATATTATTTATCTTTTAAAGTCTGACACTTTTATTTTAGTTTTTTGGAAGATTAACAAGTTCAGTTTAAAATGTAACCTAAATGTGGAATACTGTTATATATATATATATGTTTTACAATATATTTCATATAATATAAACAATTATTTTATTTGAAATTTTCTGCTTTTAAAAGGCAGACTTATCTTTGAATTTTTTCATCATTTAAATTATTTGCATCATATTTTTTTTAATTAAAGAACTGAGTCTGAGTGCTCTCCCTTGGTAGAGAAACTCATTTTGTTGTCCATGTGCCATTATAGAAGCATCACATAACTAAAAATTCAACAAAGCTTCCTTAACCACTCACCTGTCTCTCTTTAATCAGGAAATAAATGAACATAGTTGTCAAGAAGGCCATCCCAAACCCAATGAACAAGCCCACAGAAAACCCAGCCCCCAAAGCCAGGGTCACATCAAATTTGGCTTTGTCTTCCTCGTCTTTGGGCAAGGGGTTGATACTTGTTTGGAGCGAGTAGGAAGAATTCATAAAAAACTGAAGAATGGTATTCATCAGGAAATTGACCTGAGGAGATAAATGAATGCATTGATGTGAGTACTTTGTGAGTTCTAAACAAGTTTTTAAATAACAAAAATGCTAACAACATTTGACTATAAAATACAAATGAAGTACGTTTACTTTTTTGTGAAATCAATGTAGGCCTACATAATATTTCTTACGCTGGCAACAATACATGATCCCAGAACACATATGTAAACTGTCAGAGAACTAGAAAGCAACTATTTCTTAACACTTTGAACTATTTTAATATAGGAATAAGCAACAATAAAAAAATTGTTATCGAGATTTTATTTTTTGGACAGTGAGTTTGTCTTCTATAAAGAAAACAAAATGACCAACTCACAGAGATAGGTTAAGCGTGGTACAGGAAACTATAGAAAACAAAATGACCAACTCACAGAGCTGAGCGTGGTACAGGAAACTATAGAAAACAAAATGACCAACTCACAGAGATAGGCTGACTATTGTAATGAAACCATAGAAAACAAAATGACCAACTCACAGAGATAGGCTGAGCATGGTACAGGAAACTATATACAACAAAATGACCAACTCACAAAGATAGGCTGAGCGTAGTACAAGAAAACCATAGTAAACAAAATGACCAACTCACAGAAATAGCCTGAGCATGGTACAGGAAACCATAGTAAACAAAATGACCAACTCACAGAGCTGAGCGTGGTACAGGAAACAATAGAAAACAAAATGACCAACTCACAGAGATAGACTGAGCGTGTTACAGGAAACTATAGAAAACAAAATGACCAACTCACAGAGATAGGCTGAGCATGGTACAGGAAACTATAGACAACAAAATGACCAACTCACAAAGATAGGCTGAGCGTAGTACAAGAAAACCATAGTAAACAAAATGACCAACTCACAGAAATAGCCTGAGCATGGTACAGGAAACCATAGAAAACAAAATGACCAACTCACAGAGATAGGCTGAGCGTGTTACAGGAAACTATAGAAAATAAAATGACCAACTCACAGAGATAGGCTGAGCGTAGTACAAGAAAACCATAGTAAACAAAATGACCAACTCACAGAAATAGCCTGAGCATGGTACAGGAAACTATAGAAAACAAAATGACCAACTCACAGAGCTGAGCGTGGTACAGGAAACTATAGAAAACAAAATGACCAACTCACAGAGATAGACTGAGCGTGTTACAGGAAACTATAGAAAATAAAATGACCAACTCACAGAGATAGGCTGAGCGTAGTACAAGAAAACCATAGTAAACAAAATGACCAACTCACAGAGATAGGCTGAGCGTAGTACAAGAAAACCATAGTAAACAAAATGACCAACTCACAGAGATAGGCTGAGCGTGGTACGGTTGACCATTGTACGCTGCTGTGACCACCAGATTGTCCGTGGCGCTGTCAATCACTCCCATCCCCACGATCATCCTCTTGTTGAATGTGGCTGTGCCGAGATCTCCCGCTCTTTTTAGTGTGTAGTTGTCAAATGTGTAGCCCTGTGTTTTGAAATGGTATACACACACATGAATAAGTTATATCATTTTGATGGGTAGAAAAATATTTTAATTACATAGAAAATTTTTTTTTTTACTGTTTATTAAATGTATTTATAGGCACACAATTCTCAATCATGTATACCACTATCTGTCTGTGTTGACTGATTAAATAAAAGTAGAGAAATAAAAGTGTGCCACTATTGCTGGACTGTCCATTCTAACTCATCAAATATAAAATACTTAAAAAAAACTTTTTAAAAAACCACGTTTTTCTTGTGGACTAAAAAGTAGAAAATAACTATTTACATACATTTGATGACAAAAAACGTGGGTACGTTCACCATCAAATTTCCCGACCCATCTGCCCGACCCACGTTTTTTGTCATCAAATGTATGTAAATAGTTATTTTCTACTTTTTAGTCCACAAGAAAAACGTGGTTTTTTAAAAAGTTTTTTTTAAGTATTTTATTTTCTCCTTTTTAGTCCGTTGCTACACATGAAAAACGTGGTTTTTAAAAAAGTTTTTTATATAGTTTATTTTCTACTTTATCTAATGACTTGATTAAGTATGAATTGACTAAGTGTTTATAAATACACGGACTAAAAAAATCTTGAGCGACCAGGATTCGAACCTGGGTTGTCGCGGCCACAACGCGAAGTACTAACCACTATACGATCACGGCCAGCGCGCTCACATCGATTGGGGCCGAAGTAACTGTGTCAACAAGCCTCCAGTCTTGTCGGTATCTTTAGAAATCATGTCCTCAATTTTATGGTCCTTTGGGCGTAATTAAATTAAGCTAATTACGGTCTCTAATTGCTAGTTTTTATGATTGCATCTGAAATTGTTAGGCGAAAGTAGCATGCATGCCAAATTTCAGGTCTCTAGAGCAATCAGAAGTGGGCTAATTTTCGATGTCAATTTTAACAACAAACAAATCCACACATCCACAAACGCGAAGCTGAGTTAAGAAAAACGTGTTAAAAAGTATGGAAGAAAATGTGACACTAGTGCTGGATTATCTACCCTGCCTTATGAAATAAATTGTTATAAAAAATTTAATAATATACTTTATACTGTAAAATTCTTAATTTTAATAGGAACTATGAATATCTAAAATGCAGGTGTTAATTTAAGATTATGAGGAATGGCGTGGTCAAATAGTAGAGTGTTTGACTGTTAAACCAGTGGTCTCGAGTTTGGTGCCCTGAGTCCACCCAGTTCAAATAGGTACCTGACTTACATTAGGGAAAATAAAGGTGACTGGGCATAGTGCTGACCGCACAATCCTCATATGCCGAGGTTACATAAACAGGTTAACTTTACTTCACCTGCCACTTGGGCCATCAGGTTCAAAAGCTAACTTTACTTACTTAAGATAATGGCAAGCTCCTAAAATAAACAGCTGTTATAAACAAGGATCTATTAATAGACGTACCCCTGCGAGAGAAAAATTCTCCATTTGAGAGCCAGAAAACTGGGACTGGTACAAGGCCCTGAACTTTGAGTTACCATCTGAAGCTCCACATGGGACATAATTACTTCCAAAATCTTTCAAACTGAAAGTGAGGGCAGGCTCGTCCGATCCCTTCGGCCTGGCTTTATCAATGGCCAGTCCGAAGATGGTGAAGATGACAGGCAGGAGCAGCTGGACAAAGGTGACCACCCTGTTGCGCCAGGTGTGTAGAGCTTTCTTAACAAACAGGCCCCAGAACCTGGATTTCTTCAGCTGGAAGCCAGTGTTTTTCTGGAAACCTTTGTTGAAGGCTAAGATAAAATTTAAAACAAAAATCCAACGTCAGGAATCATGTATGTCAATAAGGCTTCATCATACATTGTTATACAAGAAGAAAGAGTTATTAGCAGTGCAACCAATAATCATATCAGTATTTAAATGTAGTACTCACACCTCTGATCATATACTAGAGAGTACGTTTCATATCTTGGGTATTTCAGTAGCCCACTTACATATATATATATCTATCTATCTATATATATATATATATATATATTTATATATATATATATATATATATATATATATATATATATATATATATATATATGCCGTAGCAATATCTATCTAGCTCTTACACATATTTTATGAAACAATAGTTCTTAGACATAAATTCTAAGGTGCTAATAAATATTACAATTCTTACACATAAAATTCAACAAACTAATATACAACATTATTATGTAACTCAATATTAGAAGTATAATACTAATAATCATATATAAAGAACCTCGAGATTTAAGTAGGATTCAACTATTCTAGTTATAAGATGTCTTCAATGTACTAAAATCAGCCCATATTCCAGAACTATAACATGATATCTGAAGTACTAATATCAGCCTGAGTACTTACACATGATATCTGAAGTGCTCATATCAATGGAGTCATCGTAACCTTTGAGTGCGTCAACCTTGTTGGTCAGACTGAATGGTGAGTGACACCCACCATTCTCTGTTCCCTCAAAACCTGCTTTGTCAGTGTTGAAACTTGGGTTCAAGATGCCATTCTTTGTTCCAGATTTTAGATCACTGTCCTGTGTTGATATGGATGAATCTTCATCAACAGCGCTGTCTCCAACCCTAAGCACATTTTTTAAAATAAGAAAGGATTATTTAATGGATGAAAAAATAAAAAACTACAACAGCGCTTTCTCCAACCCTAAGCACATTTTTTTAAAATAAGAAAAGATTTTTAAATGGACGAAAAAAATAAAAACTTTATTAAAAAATGTGTTTGTTTTTAGAAATGATAAAATAATTTTTTAAATTAAAATTTCAGGGACAGGGTGGTCGAGCAGTAGAGCTCTAGACTGCTAACCCAAAAGTCTCGATTTCGAATCCCGCGTTCAAATCAGTAAAGCGTCCCTGAGTTCCCCCAATTCTGATTGGTACCCAACTCACAGTAGGGAAAGTAAAGGCAGAGCTGAACATATATCCCTTCTTATGCTGAGATCACAGAAACAGGTGAACTCTACTTCACTTAATCCATAGACCATCGAGTTAGAAACGGAACTATATTAAGATTGTTATTATAATTTAGTAATCTAACTAAACTTTACAAAATAAGCTTGTAACAAGAAGATAAAATCCAGGGGTATTTACTTGAGGAAAACTTCTTCCATGGTTGTGGCTGAAGTCCCAAAACTTGAGATCCCCAGCCTGTCCTTGTTGTCATCCAAGCCATTGAAGAGAGTGGGGAACTTGCTGGATTCACTGTCAGCAAGCAAGTACGACACCTCTGAGTTGATGACTGTCTCCAGCTCTGCTGTTTTGACGTGGGTCTGAATGTAGCGGGTCAGTTCGTCAACGTTACAGTGGGGCAGCTTGACCACGACTAGATGGTAGCCAGCGCCTGTGAAAAATAAGTCTCAGGGTCAGTTTTATGTACCAACCACACAAACTTGTCTGGTTCTGAGGTAAAGAAATAAATGAATTCTACTTTATCTTTCTCTTTACTTTTCAGATAAGGGACTTCATTCTTTTTCTTCTTAAAAATAAACTACATTTCTTGCTAACAATACATGTATAGTACACCCAACTGATAAATCTGTTTAAATATTTATTTTTAAAAATGTCTAAAATAATTTTATATAAGGCAATTTTTTTATGTAACAAAAATATAAGGTTTAGTTGAATGTAAAGATAATAAAAGTCGGTGCATTTTTAAAATTATGATCCCCTAACAGGCAGGATGATGAAAAGGGTTCAGTTACGGCCAAATGGTATAGCTAGTGTAAAGAACATGGATAGGATTTAAAAGATCTAATAACGTAAAATAAAATGCAACCAACCGTAAAGTTTTTTCAAAAACATGGAACTGCCACAGCACTTGACCACTCCTTCAGCCATGATTGCAATTCTATCCCCGAGCAGGTCAGCCTCGTCCATGTAGTGTGTGCTCAGCACCAGTGTCCTCCCTTGTCTGGCTCTCTGCAAAACATTCCAGGTCTGGCGCCTTGCGGCCGGATCCATACCAGAGGACGGCTCGTCCAGTATGACAACCTGGCAAGAAAAGGATGACAGATTGGATGAATTTTAACAGAGGACCAGCAAGGTAAATCATCCAATTTTTACTGGTGATTATGCCCACAGTTGGTTTATCACAGGCAGGAGTAGTTAGGTTTTTTAAGTTAGGCTAAACAATTTACGTCTGATGTTTGATTTAAGGTTAAGGCATATTTCTATTGTAAATTGTTGCCATATTATTAAATTATTGCAGTATTAGTCTATATTGTTATTTACTAATCACTTCTTTTTTATATGGCTATCAGAAAAAGTTCTGTTGCAAGATTAGAAATTTAATTAGAAAATTTAATATTTCAATAAAACAATTGTGAATTATTACAACATATAACGATCATTTTGCTTTGGTTTGAAAAATTTTAATTACCTTTGATCCTCCAATCAGGGCTATCCCAACAGAAAGTTTCCTCTTTTGACCACCAGAAAGGTTGGTGGACGCAGTGTGGATCTTGGTGTCCAAACCAACTTCCTTTGCCATGGCAATCACTTCCTCTTCAAGAGTTGGACTTTGGTACCCCTTCAACTAATCAGATGAAATAGTTTTCAAAGGATTTGTTTATAATTTCAACATTATTTTATTTTTATTTTTTACCTAATTTAACAAATTTGTAAGTATGATTTATAAAATTCATTGTTACGGTAAAAAAAGGATAACTTACCTTAGCAAAAAACAGTAGGTGTTCTCTCACAGTCATGGTATCAAAGAGGATGTTGTGTTGTGGACACAGGCCCAGGCTTCCTCGGACACCAGCGATGTTGGTTCTGATGTCAAATCCATTCACAATTGCTGTTCCGCTGGTGGGTGGGATAAAGCCTATAGACAAGAAATTCAAAGATGAAATCACGATTTTTCCAACTCAACAGAAATTGCATAAAATATGAAAATTTTAACTGATAAATTTACAATCAATTTTTAAAATGTGAAATAGTTTCAGAATTTCATTGACAAATAACACCCAACATTAATAATTTAACATATTATATAAAGCAGGCAAATTCTTTCATCAAAGTACATGCTTTTAGCCTCGAAATAAAAAAAACATTTAAAAGTAAGAAAAAGCTCTTACTTTGAAATTTGAAAATGAAAGTAGCAAAAGAGATATGAAAGGGGAATTATCTTACCAGTCAACATAGACATAGTAGTTGTCTTTCCTGCTCCATTATGGCCCAGCAGAACTGTAATTTGTCCTTCATACAAATTCAAGGATGTTCCAGCAACAGCTACTTTTCTTCCAAAAGTCTAAAAAAAAAATTGGATGTTAATTGTAATTCAATAAGAATATATTTGAAATGTAAACATATTGATTAATATGAAAGTCAGCCCTTAAACACAAGAAATAATTTTATTGCATGAAAGATGTTTTTATTTAAAAAATGAAATAATTTAGCTTGCATGAAAAACATCTACAAAATATAAAATAATAATTGTAACAAAGAATATATTTGTTAGTAAACAAAATAAAAATCTGTAGTGTACAAACTGTACATTTATTCTGTGTGTTTATTTAACAAACAGACAAACCCACCTTTTTCAAATTCAAAATTTGTATTCCCGGGTGGGTATTCGTGGGCTCTTTTTCAAAACGTCGGTTGTGTTCATTCTCAGTTTGATAAACAGCATCAGAGGCCTGGCTTGATCCACACCAGTATGATTTCTAAAAGTAAACACATAAAAATATAAGGACACATAAAAATATAAGGACACATATAAACATCACAGTTTTTAACTAGAACAGAAAAAAAGAGCATACAAAACAGAGTTAGATAGAAATAATAGTTTGCACACAAATGATTAATTTCTTTCCAATCCACATATTAAAAGTGAAACAAGTGTAACAATAAAATTTCAAAGTCAATTGATAAAAATGTTTTTTATTTAGAGATATTACGACCCCACCTATCTTTACATGGAAATTGAATACACTTCAGCGCCTACCCCACCCTGATGTCTTAAATAAATCAGTATCCCCTGTAAGGCTCATGATTTTAGCTATCACAGCTCCTCACCCCACCCTTAACAAAACCTGACTATATATTGATCCAAGGTCAAACAACATTCCTTACTGGGAAGTAGAAATAGGGATGCTGTACGTCATCCATACACTCCCCCCCCCCACCTACTTCTAACAAAACCTGACTAAATATCAACCTAAGTAAAAAAAAAAATATTTCCCTACTGTGAAGCAGAAGTAGAAAGGTTTAGGGATGCCATACTCCCCAGGTCTGATGTTGTCCTTAAACACACCCCCGCCCCTCCCCCACTTCTAACAAAACTTGACCAAATACCAATATATTATAAGTAAAAAATGTTTCCTTACTGTGAAGCAGAAGTAGAAAGGTTTAGGGATGCCATACTCCCCAGGCCTGGTGTTGTCCTTAAATAACCCCCCCCCCCAACTACTTCTAACTAAACATAAACCTATTAAAGTAAAAAATGTTTCCCTACTGTGAAGCAGAAGTAGAAAGGTTTAGGTATGCCGTACTCCCCAGGTCTGATGTTGTCCTTAAACACCCCCCCCCCCCCCCGCCTCCCCCACTTCTAACAAAACTTGACCAAATACCAATATATTATAAGTAAAAAATGTTTCCCTACTGTGAAGCAGAAGTAGAATGGTTTAGGGATGCCATACTCCCCAGGCCTGATGTTGTCCAGGTACCAGCAGATGATGAGGTGTATGGCTGTGTCCACCAGCAGCATGATCATACAGGCCAGTAGACTCAGGTTGTCATCAACAGTGGCTGGTTGGTAAAAGTTTCTCCACTGTGCACCCTCACCTACAGAGTAAATCACAATTTGTTTTTCCTCTCTAAAAATACCAATACAAAAATAAAGGTATCATTGAATTATTTTCAATTATCATTATCTTTTTTAACTTTTTCAAACTTATATGATAAATGAATTTAAGAAATGCGAACAAACAACTATATTTTTTTTTATTTCTTCATTACATAATTCTAGTCATATAACATATTTAGCTAATGTTATCACATTATGAATGAAAATTGTGTGATGATGAAATCTTTTAATAGTTAGGCCCTAATAATTTTTTAAAATCTGTTCACATTTTCAAAATTCAGTTATCCAGTACAACCGATACTATGTCTAATAAGAAAATAAAGAAAGAGCCTGATGCTAACAGATTATCCTAGTCAATTTTTAAAATTCAGGTAATCAGCAGTTTATGTAATTATGGCTTACCTGTTCCTTCATGTATGCCTATAACATTTGCTCCCAGGGACATGGCGACATTAAACAAAAGTGAAGCGCCCAATTTGCTGTTTCTGGTGAGGGTGTCGTAGGTTTGGGTCATAAAAAAGTAAGGAAAGAAGAATCCAAAGAACAAAACACCTGCGACAGCGGCTCCCACATTGGCTGGGGAAAAGTGTTACGGCCAATATTTATATATAAAAAACAGCAGACGTTGTACATAATATAATAAATTGAATGATTACCACTTTATAGAATACCAGTTGTAAAATTTAGCCAGAATTACCTTTTCTGGAATGTATATCAAATTTTATTAAATATATTTTTCAATACAAGCCTATTTTTTTTTTATTTCATTCCTAATTTTGAAAAGTATTGATAACGAGTTACATTTTTAGTACAGAATGTATCAAATGCCTATTATGTATAGTAAAATTAAAATTTATGACCATAGAAAACTTTCAAACTTTCCTATATTAAATTTATTTACACATCAAGCCTGTGGCCTAAACTACAAATTATCAAAAAAAAAAGAACTCTCAATACTGAAATCTATATCTACAAAGTATTCTTAATATCTCTATTTAACACAAAGATATTGTATTTTTAATATCCAGGACATTTATCTATAAATAACAGCACAACACATAGACAATTCCTATTTAATTTTTTACTGTTAAGCTATAAATACACCTACCTTTCTGTACAAATGTGCTGACCATGAAGCAAAAAGATATCATGGCTAGGGAGTAACACAACAGGAACACAAAGAAGAGACTTGGGTCTGTATTGGCCAGCACGGAGCCTGCGTTGGACACTTTGATGGAGAATATGATTGCATAGATTGCCATGGCAGGGACAAGGTAGACGGCGTAGGTGATGAACCAGGATACCCAGTGGACTGAGCTTGTTAGTCCCATCAGTTTCATGGACTCCTGCAGATCAGTGTTATAAAATTGTTAGTTTTAGGGGTTTATTTGTTTTGATTTGTTAAACAGACTTTTATGGGCTAGGTATGAAGTTGTTTCATGAACTCTTAGAAAGAAGAGTGTTAGATTGGTTTAGAGGTTAGGTATTAAGTTGTTGTTTCATGAACTCTTAGAAAGAAGAGTGTTAGATTGGTTTAGAGGTTAGGTATTAAGTTGTTGTTTCATGAACTCTTAGAAAGAAGGTTGTTACATTGGTTTAGAGGATAGGTATTAAGTTGTTGTTTCATGAACTCTTAGAAAGAAGAGTGTTACATTGGTTTAGAGGTTAGGTATTAAGTTGTTGTTTCATGAACTTCTACAAAGAAGAGTGTTTTATTGGTTTAAAGTTTAAAGGTTTTATATTAAGATGTTTCATGAACTCTTACAAAGAAGAGTGTTACATTGTTGTATATTAAGTTATTCCTTAGACACCAGCAGAAAAGAATGTTCTATTGTGTTTTAAATCTCCTTCCGAGAAGAATAGTTTCTGAATGGAGACTCAGTAAGGCTTCAGAATTGCACTATCACATTTGTCATGATGTTGATAAAAACTTAAAACAAGAGGATGTAAGCCTACAACTGCCTATACTCAAACTGATTTACATCCATTACCTCAGCAAACTAATTGATGTCTTGAAGATTCAAATCAGAGAGTGACTAATGGCAGAATTACAATTCAAGTCATTTATTATCTATTATCACTACCAACACTGGTCAACTTCTACCGTCCCATCAACTGTTTGATCTTAAACCTGTCTTAATTCTGGATACATTTTAAAATACACCTTAACGTTGACTTACAGTATCTTGTTATATTTCAGTCTTGTAATTACCCTACAATGTTTAGAATTTGTTATATAGGCTCAATAAAGATTTTAAAAAAACAACAAGGGCAGAACAGAAATTACCTTAAGTTTCCTTTCTTTCTCGTACACAAGATTTTTGGTATTGATGATTATACTGAGTATAAAACTCAATACAATGAACAACGGAAGGTTGTTTTGGATAATTAGAATCATGGGGTCATCAATATAATGGGGATAAGCCATTCTCTGCTTGTATACTGTAAGGTTGGCAGCAGGCAGGCCTTCCACTTCGCGATGATAGTCAGTCACTGCTAAGCCAACCAGGTATTGCATCATCAAAACACCACGTGATTCATACACTGTGAACAAGCAAGTTTTAAAAGTCAATATGTTTAGTTTACATAATAAAATATTAATCTAAAATGTTTACCTTACACAGCAAATATCATGGATATAGGTGTACAACATATTAACCCTTAGAGTTAAGTTTGAAGTTATGGTTTAAATCATGGTTATTGAAGGCATGAATCAGGATTGATTAAGCTATGATGTTCAAATATCTATTAACAAGACTAGCCATCTCAATATAAAGGTCTTTACTAAAGGGTTTACTATGAAAATTTCATCTTTAAACAGTTCAAACTAAAGCTGTGGATTAGATTAACCTATCCTCCCACTAGGAAAAAGCTTTTTAAAACATCTAAATTCTGTGATAATCTCTTTAACTGTCCACCAAAGGTATTAACTTCTCTAAGATGAAAGAACCATTTAACTCATACATGGTTCGTCTGTGTCTTTTCTTGGAGAGTTACTCTGAAAAACTGGGAAGTTGAGCTCAGTCCTCCACCTGGCGCTGCCTGTGTAAGGCCGGATTGAAAATTTTATGTTTTTGGGCAGCCGCGATGTAGCCGAGACATCAGCAAACACGACCACCATCTGCATAAGTGAGGAGTTGTAGCGGAAATATTTGACTGCATCGTCCTCTGTGTCAAAGGGAAACTTCACATCTGGAGAAAAAAAAAGGATCAGAAAAAATGTGAGCATCTACAAGCATGTTCAAACAACAAAACTTAAAGTGGGCATGCTTACAAAACAAAACATCTTATTAAAACCACCTCACAATTTTATGAAATTATCATAATACATAAGCCTATAACACACACACACAAGTCAAATTCATTTAAATCTTATGCTTAGACTATAACATAAACCTTTTTCTACCTTATTTATGGCAATGTATTATTGTAAGTCTTAATTCGTGGCTTATACGGAATATAAATGTGTTACACTAATGCATGGCAGTGATAATATAAATTTAATCTTTTCTGTAGCCTACAAAATACATATTTTTATGACAACTTCATAGCAAATGAATACAATTTTTTTTTACAAATAAATTAAGAAATGTGTTCAAACTTACATGTGCTGTTATGTGACATAGTGTTTATATTCTTTAACACTTTGTCCATCACTTTGTTGGTGTCCAGTGTGTTGGGTGTAAATCCGATCTGAGGGGAATTTACTAGAGAGTCTGTTATGAGTGATTTGGTAGGGTAATAGGTTGGGTCAGGGTACTCTTTGGCTTTCACTGCCAGACGGATCAGAAGAACCAGAATGGCAAACCCAACAGGTAAAAGAACTTCAAATATCGACACACAAATTTTTCTCTTCTGCAAGAGCCAGTTCTTCCATAGCAGAAGTCCCACTTGCCTAAAGAATCCCATTCTTGTAGTATTCTGTCCGCAGTAGTTTTATTATTATTTTTATCTTGAATTCATTGACTGTTTTTGTATCTGCTACTCTATTTCTTGATGTAGTAGGTCTAATGTCTGTTTCTGTAAAGAATTAGAAATGAAATTTGAAAATCTAGCATGAAAATTAAATTAAATAATAGATAATGAGAAAAGTAGGCTTCAATTTCAAATCTACTAGATCTAGTAGTCACTACTAGTTACAAGTTATTTTTAAATTTTATGAGTTGATTTTATTTAATAGTTAACAAAAGTTAAATAACAGTGAGAAAAAGATAGACTCTAGAGGTTATTTATAAATTTAGTCTACATTTGGATCTAGATTCTTGCAGATTCTAGATCTGGATCTAGAAGTCTAGATCTAGATCTAGATCTAGTACTGACACAACTTTTAAAGTGAGTAGTAGTAGTAGTGAGTAGTGGGACTTGCATTGTTCAATGGATTACAGACTGCTATAAACTGCGACACTGCTCAGTGAAAAGTTACGTTACGATCTCTTTACATTACAATTTACAGTTCATAGTCTAAAGTCTAAAGATTTCGGCGTCGTCCATAAATGAAATTTAGGTTACACTGTGTTTTTAGTTTAAAATTACTAGTAAAGATCTTAAATCTAGTTTTACGTCTGCTAAATCCTTTTAATGGCCCACTAAAGGAATTAACTCTGCTAGGCATTTAAACTGCCAACAAGACTCAATAAATAATAAATAAGTTACAATAAACAAAAATAAGCATGGTTTTAGGTTCATTGTTTCTTCCAGGCATCTCTTCGAGGGGCGGAGCACCCCCCTCCCCCCCCCCCCCCGAAGAAAGTCTACGCCCCCTCCCCCCTCCTCCCCGAAGAAAGTCTACGCCCCCCCCCCCCCCCCCCCGGAGAAAAAAGTCTGGCAGAAACACTGTCAATGTTCTAGATAGATTAGTTAGATCTACCATAGATCTAGACTAGATTCTCGATCTATCGCGAATTGAATCCGGGATCGTCCTTAAAAAAGGGTCAGGTTTTTTTTTTGACGATTTGTTCTAACAGCTACTCACCCCTATCCCACCTTTAAAAAAAATCGTAGTTTAACTTCTGGTAATTGTTTAGATTCGTTTTCGTGTGCGTATTCGAACCGTTCTGTCGGATACTTAGCATACCAAGGTCACCATCATGGCAGAATATATTATTAGCCACACTGACCTAATCGAATTACCTAAGGATTAACTTCAGTAAGAAGGCTAATTAATATTTGCCACCCTACAGCAGGGGTCTCCAAACTTTTCAATCCGAGGGCCGCATTAACTATCAAATTTTAGTTCGGGGGCCAGTTCTTCCTGGCATGTCTTTGATTTTTCTGGGCAAAGTTCCTCAGCCATCACCAACAAACGTTTTTTCCGTGGACAAAAAAAATCTCCGCGGGCCGGATGAGAGAACCTCGCGGGCCGCATCCGGCCCGCGGGCCGTAGTTTGGAGACCCCTGCCCTACAGTAAAAGAAAGCTACACAATTTAGTGGGCAGAGTTAGCTCAGTTGTGTACTACAACCTCCCACCATATATCCTACCTAAGATTGCCTAAGAAGACACTAAATAATAAACCCACTATCTCCAGTTAAATTCAGGGTTAAAATCGGGGTTGAGTTATCTTAGAGAATGTTAGAAAGCCATATAGATAATGGGAAAAGCGTTAGAAACATAACACAAAAAAAAAAAAACACACACACTTGGGAACAAAATAATTGCTAAATCAACGTGTTAAGCGAATTCTATTTTTGGAACAACCAGATCAATACGTCATGAACACGAAGATTTTTCACGAGCCGGCGTTTGACGTCATCGTTGTTTGGACACGGTTGTACATACTTACATTGGTCTATATTTAATGGAAAAAGCACCTGCGATGCGGGGATGCAAACTGTGATTCAGAATGAAGAGATGGCACAGTTTTAAAGCAAATGATATCGATGGGATTTTTATGCTATGTTGGCGTTCGGCAAGTCGATAATAATTCTAAACAGCTGCCCCGTGTGTATGAATATATACATATATATTATGCAAACTATGCAAACACATGTAGACCTATATAGGCCAGTGCTTTTTTTTTTGTGACGGTACTTACCGGCACCTTTTTCAATGTGGGGAAAAAAAATTATTACTTTTCTTGTATTTTAGCGTTTATCAATAATTAAAAGTTAGGTAATTCACCACCAGGTACCGGCATCTATTTTTTTTACAACCCCCCCACCCCCACTGTTATAAGTTATATGCTATACGTGTGTGTTTGAGAATGTTATGATATACATCGAAACCAGAGCCTGAAATATAACTGATTGCCGCAACAGATAGAAAACAATATATTGATATTTTGCACACACAAAAAAGATTCACACCCACCCCTCGCCCTAATTATATTGGAATTACTCCCATATATGGTCAACGGAGTTACAAGGCGGGGTGTGAGGTCCACACCGGTTGACACAATTTAAAGAGTGACATTTAAATCGAAAACAAATATGTGTCAAATAATGTTTTATCCAGTTAAAAACAGCAAGTTAGTAGGGGGACGGGGTGACACCAAAACCGAAAATCCAAAACTGTTGGAGGTTAACTGACTAGCGTTCTAGCGCTCGGCCACGCCGTCCCCGTTTTAGAACAACGGGTTAGGTTTCAATTAGGGATCCGTGGATTAGGATTACGGTTAGGTTTAGATCAGGGAGTGGGACGGAGTGGTCTAGCGGTAGAGAGCTGGACTGCTAACCCGTAAGTCTCGAGTTTGAATCCGGGTTAAAGTCAGTAGACCGTCCCTGAGTCCACCCAACTCTGATGGGTACCTAACTCACGTTTGGGAAAGTAAAGGCGGCTGGGCATAGGGCATATCTCTAGATATGCCGAGGTCACAGAAACAAGTGAACTCTACTTCACTTGCCCTATAGACCGCCAGCTTTGAAAGGGAAATTTACTTTAGATCAGAGAGGATTACGATGGCATTTATCTAGCAAGCTTCCCAGACAACCGGAATCATATTACAGAGCTGCTCGCGTCGTTGTAGAAATTATGCCTCCCTGTGCTAAAATTAGAACTTGTCGTGGAGATCTAAAAATAGATCAAACCCAATTAAAATATCAACAAACAAACCAGCGTGTACTCCAACATTGAAACGTGATAGAAAAAGTTATTTCAGCGCATTTATTTTTCCAACTGAGTGCAAAACTAAACGGATCGGTTTTTTCTCTTTTATTCTAATCGCCCTGGAATCAAACAAACAGCCACGATTTTGATGTGATTTTTGTTGGGAGTTCGTGACGGGAGATTTGATTTCTACAGAATTAAATCAACAAAAGAATCTAATCAGCCGATCAGGTGGAATATAAAATAGACGGCTGGCGCTCGTGTTGCTAAACACGCATAAATAGCTCATCTATGCCAGAGGCGTAGCGAGGGGGGGGGGGGGGGGGCGGGTGACACCATTTAGGGGGGGGGGGGTGACACCAAGGCAAAAAATAGCAAAATATATAGAGAAAAATTTGGGGGGGGGGGGTGCAAATCGAAAATTGAAAGTTTGTCCCTGGGAAGGGTCGCTACGCCTCTGGGGGGGGGGGGGGGGGTGACACCATTAAGTGCCGCACCGGGTGACACCCGACCTCGCTACGCCACTGATCTATGCTTCATAACAATCTAGAGGGGTGGGGGTCGGAGATGGGTGAAGCTGAGCAGACTTTTTTTTTTTAAAAAAATCCCAATATTGTAGAAAATTTAATCCAAAACATAGTTAGGGCATCTACATTACGGGATAGTTCACAATGGTAAAGTGAGTGTCATTTTGGTGTAGATGTTGTACTCGAATATAAAAGTTTTCATAATGTTTTTAAAACCTAGTTACTTCATTGAGATGCTGAGGGATCCAAAACAATGTATCACATAACCTTCCCACTCCCTCCCCCCCCCCCCACTCCCACCTGCCGTTGTACCTCCCCCTCCCCCCAGACATTAGAAGTTTTACTAGAACTAAAGTAAGTCATGTAAAGGTATATTTGCTTTTTTTTTTGAGTATTTCTTAAATATTAATTAAGCACAAATAAATCTTACGTGTTCAGTATAGGCAACTAGACAACCAAGTACAAATGTAATAAGGGGTTATCCATAAATGACGTCACACTGGTAGGGGGGAGGGGGGCCCGTAATTTTGTAACGATGTGTGATGGGGGAGGGGTTCAGAAGTTGCGACGTCACATTTTTGCATAATAAAAAAGCAATGTTAGAAAACGAATTTTAGACGTTATTTCGCGTTTTAGATAACTGTTTTAATAAATTGTAATAGTTTAGACAAGATTTTTTAAAAATATCGATGTTTAAAAAAAATTCAACTGCAATTTTGAGGGGGGTTGTAGGTTGAGGTGTGACGTCATTTTAGGGGGGGGGGTCTGGCTTTTTGTGACGACGTGTGATGGAGTGACGTCATTTATGGATGACCCCTAAGCGACGTAAAAAAGTGCAACTGTATTCAAATCGCACCATAATGAAGGGAGAAGTGATTCTTCCTTTGTCTTCTTCTTCGTCGTTCTTATTCTAGTGGTGGTTGGGATCCCCTCCAACACTAGAATTAGGCGTCAACTGATTATGCGCCATGTTGGCCATTGACTTCGATTTCAGCCTTCTTTTCTGTTTGGATTTACTTCCATAGCCTTTGTCCAACCAACAAACTACAAGGCAGCAGTTGTTTGATTTTAGAGTTGTCTCTCCTAGAAGAATTAGGTTATGGCAGTGATTTTAAATGATTTCTTGACTTAGATATGTCGGGTGTGGTCCAGCCGGTAAAGCTCATAGCTGCTGAACCGAAAACCCATGAGTTCGAACCCCTGGGCATATTAATGCATCCTGAAATCGGCTGCAACGGCTATATAGCGCATAACATGTTGACACGTAATTCTTCATAGTGTTGGAGGCAATCCCTTACAAAATTACAATTAAAAACAAAGAAAGATAATTTCTTCAGCGTAAGCAATAACATGCACATTTTACTGAACCCAAATTTTTAATAACCTCTCTATTAAGAGTAGCAAATTAATTTTCTTCATATGTTAATGAAGAAGATTTTGAAAATGTGGAAGATCTCAGGGAAAAAAAACATTTTAGTGCATTGCACGCTTTGGTCTAATGACAATTACTTTTAAAGTGAGTGATTAAAAAACCTCAAAACCGCGAAGCTACATAAGGGCTGTTGCCATCAGAATTTTCGCTGTAGTGACTACATAATGATAAATACAGCTGTTGAATAGAACTACTAGTTTTCATCCTCATCCAAGCCCCCATCCCCTGCAATATTTTAAGCCTCAACCCTGGTGGTGTGGGAGGGGAATTAATGTCTTGTCCGGACAAAGTTCAGCGACTTTAACACAACCGTTTACCATTGTGGAGTAGACTTACACCGTGTTTACAATTGCGACATGCATACTATACACGTCTAAAAAAACGCCATAGGTTAATTTTATCAAAACGTGTTTAGGGAGACCTACACTCTTATTGAATTTTTTTTTCTATTTTTTTAAGATACATGTCGCAAGTGTAAACGCTGTGTTAAGGTTTCCTTTCAAAGTCTGAAGTGTAGGAGAAGTAGAGCGCACCGAGGTCTCGTGGACGTGGATCTGGCCTAATTAAAAATTTGTTCGATTTTAGTAGTAAATGTGAAATAAACAATACAGTTGACGTTTGATTTACTTATTTAGTTCTTAGTGAATTATATATATATATATATATATATATATATATATATATATATATATATATATATATATATATATATATATATATATATATATATATAATTTCAACCAAGCTAATAGAATCTATTGTTTTTTTAGCATATAAATCAAATAAATGTATTGTAGTCCAATTATAGACTGATAATCATTAGAGCTGTCTCTTTAATGTACAGGGTCAATCACATTGTTTTATTCTGAGATTTTTTAAAGACGTAGGTTAGGCTAAATGTTAAGCATTTCGAATTTAATCGACTTTTTAAAAGAAAGATGAATTTAATTAGTTGATTATATTTTGTTAAAAAAATCGTATTTTGTTTTGGCACCAAATCTTTCTTTTTATATTGCAGCGCGTTTTGATGGAAAAATTTTATGTCACTCGTCTCTAAATGATAGTGAATGACTACGCACAGTAAAGACCTAACAATCTCAATTTTCGTATGGAATGTAATAGGTTTTTTTTGTGCCGCGCATTAATATCGAATGATCGAATTTCACTCATCTAGAACCAATATGAATGACTGTATACAACACATAATTAACTTGATCTCAGTAACAACTAACTAGAAATAGAATAGCGCCCGCTGTGCGCTGCGCACGGGTGGCGGTAGCACGTCCCTTTATAGTCAAAGAACCTAAAATACATAAACTAACACTGACACCGCTAACAGTAATTAGTAAACAATGCAGTTTTAGTATGAATTTTAATTTTGAAAAAATATTTAGCCTGCGATACACAATTTTAAAGTTAGAAACTTATACCGGTTTAACTATCTTATTTTTAAATATCTTTTTCCCTATTTTCGTTTCACACGGATAAATACTAAAACAGGAAATGGAAACTGTTGTAAACACTCTTTTAATTAAAGTAATCGACACTGCTGTTGGACGCGTTGCGCAGCCCTGACCCTTGATCTACGTTCAATTCGGCTTCTCTCTTACAGTCATACACGCTGTCTTTATATAAGTAGATATATTTCCGCAAATCTCTAAGTCCTTACTTACTCACCAGTTAAAGTACATTCCTGTCAGGCCAGAGCTCTAAGAAAAATAAACCGACGAACACGACGACTACCCGAGTACTAACTATCACCAGTGCAACACTGCCGCCTCGGCTCACTAGCAAACAAAACCCCCACACCTGTTACTCCGCGCAGTGCGACAGTACCGCTGGCGGTGATTCGGTCACGAGACTTCGATCACTTGGGTGTGTAGGGAGAAAGATGTTACCAATCTATTTTTGTACACTATGACGTAGACAGGAAGAGGATACTTTAAACGCTGAATACCGGCTTAGTGTTGTAAAACAAATCACGAGATCACGAATAGTAATTAAACGTGTAATCTTAAAATTAAATCATTTATTTTATCTACGTCTTTTAAAAAAAAAAAATCTTCTATTTCAAAGTTAGCCTTCAAATGATGCAAAACGTAAAGTATATGCATTAATTAGACCTATTAGGAAAATAAATTAAATAAAGAGTAGGCCTATTGACCTATGGGCAAATACATTTTTATAAAAATAGAAATAAAAATGTATAATTACATTTAGTGTAAGAATTGCTGTCACAATACCAAGTTTAATTTCTAACATTAGTCATAGGTTTCATAAAGGTGCAACAGGGTTGTCAGCAATATGGGCCGATAATCTGTCTACTATGTTGGTCCAGCTAATTAACATGTACCACAGTCTCATATAACAGAGGTAAAATAAACCTCAACGTACATTCAGTCTAAATCTCTTCAATTCTCATTCTTCCGAGAACAAGACCATGGCAACTAATCAATGATGTTACAAAATGACGTAAATACATCTCCCCGACTACAAACGACTAAACGTCTTACTTTTTGTGTATTACACTAAAACATGTAGGAGTCTACGTACATCACAGAATAGACACTACTAATTATCCCAAAACATGTCTAGTTCGTTTACTAATGTGTGTTTGATGCTAGATAAAATAAACAAGAAGCTAATTTTTTTTGTTATATTTCTTAATGTGTGGCTAATTCACCTAATTAATTACCTAATGCCAAAACCGATAGTGTTATACCAGATTCCCTTTCAGGTATGATAATTCGATACTGTTCTTTGAGTATTCTTGATATACATTTCCCTCCCCTCTGTCAACAGGGTACGGGAACAGAGCCAAAAACAGAAAGGACAAAAATAACTGGAAGATTACCAGATTACATTGATTGTTTCAGCTCTGGGTAGCTGGACACTTGTGTGAATGTGATGGAAGGGTGGTGTGAGGGGGAGGTGATGTGTGGGTTGTGTGAGGATGGGTAGGGGTCGCACAGACAATGGCCATTCTTTTGAGAGTCGGATGAGGCGGACTGAGGCTGTATGTGTATGTAGAAGGGAGCTAGGACAATAGTGTCATCAAACTTCACATTTAGTTGAGGGAACTGGCAGTGGGATAAAGGCGAATTAAAAATACCTAGAGTTAAGAGATTTTTAAAAATTTAATGGTTGCAATTACTAACATTCATACACACACACGCACACACACATATATATAGACTATATAAAATATATCCAGACCTACATTGTGTTACGCGAGCGGCACGTGTTGTAAAACGTGACCTGGGCTGTAGTCAGATACAGTAAACTGCCCCCCCCCCCCCCAACACTCAATGTCATATATATATATATATATATATATATATATATATATATATATATATATATATATATATATATATATATATATATCATAAGAAATTACACATAATGCATAGTTACACGGATCTAACCCACCTTTAAAAACGAAAAATGAACAGCGTCTTAAACGTATCCTTAAACCGATTTAAACGATAAAAACAGAAATTCATGAGCCTACCTTCCCCGGGCCTAGTACGTCCGCAGCAATACACTTCACCACTCGACTGACGCACAGTGCACGGACACGCTTGACTGAGCCTGTAAGCGTCACCCGACTGGATGTGGTTTGGTAAAACAGCGAGAGGCCCTGTGATCTGGTGGCGCGGTCCCTAAATTCTGAGTTATATAACGCCCCGTTGGCGGGGTATGGCGAACTGTCAATATGGTCGGATGATTGTGTAAAGTGGCTTTTTTTTTTAACTACTGTCTGTTGGTCCGACTTTTTAAATAGCCGGACTACTTTATGTAACCTTGTTCGGGGTGTGATTCAGGTCAAATAATTGTGTTACGTAAAATTGAATTGTTCTTTTGAGTTAAGTTTAGTTTTTTTTTCTAGTTTAAAGGGGAAGTTTGAAAAATGGCATTACAATTAAGTAGTAGAACCTATTAGTATTAACTGTCATTGAATTTTTAAACCATAATACATTAATACAAGTCAAATTCCAAAATAAATCTGTGTTTAGCTTAGGACCTAGAAATACAGTACTGAGAGAAGTTAAGCACGGGCAGATAGACATTGGTTGACGACACTGTATTACAAAATCTCCGACAAATTATGGGAATCATTTTATTGAGCAGAAGTAAAAACCACACTGAGAAAAAAAGTTTTTGTTTTTAAATGGCTAAACTCAGATTTTACAGACTGCGCTCTAGTGGCTTTATGTCTAAATTTTTTAATGTAATAAAAAACAGCAGTTTTATATTCTAAAGACGGCTGTGTAATAATGGAATACACACACACACAGACACACCACACACACACACACACACACATATATATATATATATATATATATATATATATATATATATATATATATATATATATATATATATATATATACATATTATATATATATATATATATATATATATATTATATATATATATATGTATATATATATATTCCATAATTACACAACCATATATTATACCTACATATAATATATGTGTGGAGGGATGGTGGAATTGATCCCCACCCCCTACCTACACTACTGTGCAATGATGTAGGTCGATGTTCTTCAATGGAACTTCAGGCCATTCCTGAAATTAGAACTGGTGGATGTCAGATATATTTAGACTAGGCACTTCTGTCCATGTGAAGAAATCGTTCTGTAATGTGGCACTCGGAGCTGTCTTGGTGTGCAATGCTTAACTGTGGTAGAATTTATGAAACTATACCATTTGTGTGTGTGTGAGGGGGGGGGGGGGGGTGGTTGTGTACTTTTGTTTCTGGTTTGGTTTTGCGATTGTGAACTGAAATACTGATATATTGTTTCAAAAGAAATGGTAGTACACTTACATAAGGATTTTAATTCACATCCTTTATTTTACCAAAAATCTAAAAATAACCTCAAAAATCTGGGGCATTCTTCAGCTTAAACATGACGTCACAGTTTTACGATCCGGGTAAAATTCCTAAGGTGACTTTGTCGTTTTCAGGTAAAGTTACAGTTCGGTCGTACTTAAAGTACTGCACTATACATTACAGCACCAAAAAAAAAAACGTGCGTGGGGAGTGGGGGGGGGGGGGGGGGGAGTTTACGCATGGGCGACTCCGTCTCAGATCACGTTTTTGAGACACGTGTCGGTCGCATAACACCGTGTCAGGATATACAATCAAGTGAGCGCGGCGCACAAGTGATTGAATGTCGTCAATCTGTTGTGGGGGAATGTACGCAATCAGATTTGGCACAGCCCGAGTGATCACACTTCGATGTATTGCGGTCGGTTATTGTAATTAAAGATTGGTTGCATTTTGATAGGGTTGGTAGATAAGCGAAGAGGGGGTTTCAGGGTAGACTGGTTGGGCTGATCGGTCCATGGGTTAGACGGATTAGCTGATCGGCCCTCGGGTTAGACGGATTAGCTGATCGGCCCTCGGGTTAGACGGATTATCTGATGGGCCGTTGGGTTAGTCGGATTAGCTTTAGGTTAAACGGATTAGCTGATCGGTCATTGGGTTAGACGGATTAGTTGATCGGTCTCTGGGTTAGATGGATTAGCTGGTCGGCCGTTGGGTTAGACGGATTAGCTAAACGGTCCCTGGGTTAGACGGATTAGCTAAACGTTATTTGGGTTAAACGGATTATCTGATCGACCGATGGGTTAACCAGATTATCTGATCGGCCGTTGGATCAGGACGGATTAGTTAAACGGTCTTTGGTTCAAAGGGGTTATTTGATTTGTGTTATTAGCGGTACCTATCGACTTAAAAAAAAGATTTTGCTATATACTGATCACTAGACCCCCTTATACTAACTACTAGAATCCCCTTATATGACATGGTTTATATAAGACTTGACCCAACTTCCAGCCCTGCCCCTTCCCCTGAAATATGAACCAACATAACACAAACCGGTACCTCGGTTCTACACGTATTGTCAACGTGGTGTTGTAAATTCTCAAGAAATCTTTTTTTTATGACGGGGCTATTTCCTGTGTAATGACCTCTGACCTCCACCCAACGCTACCCGTCTTTTTTTACAACACTACCGCAAAGTGAAAATAAAATTTAAGCCGCTTTGTAACATTCAGCTTATTTCAGTCTCAATCTTGCATTTAGCAACATCACAAACTTGACGGAAGCAATGGTTAATTACCACATTATATATATAAAAATTTCAGACTTTCGTTAAGAAATGCCTTTATCGCGCATTGAACATCACACAGTCTGAGATAATAAATTACCAATGCCGAACTATGGAGAAAAACTGGGCAAAACCCTATAGGTAAAGGAATACAAAGATCAATGGACACACCTTATGTAAAAAACAAACATTATCACCAGACAGGTATTTGATTGGAGTACACCAAGGTAAGGCAAAAATAAAAAAAAAAAATGAAAAAAAATCAGCTGTCAGTGAAGCATAAGAAGATGGAATATCATGGCCCTAACTTGGAGGAATCGACCAAAACCGAGTACGATGGAGAGGTGTGGTTGAATAGCACATTTTATTTTAATTTTTTTTAACATTAAATATACATTAATTAAAATTTAAAAAAAAAAATGAGCATTTCATTTCCCAGGTGTAATTGTCAACGATATTCTTACCGCAACTCAGCGGGGAATTTTCACGCTTGAGTAAACACCAGGTAAATCTGACACTTAACAGCCTCAAGACATACGGCTGATCCCCAATAAATGTACAGCTTTTGTTACGATATGGGCCTATTACAACCATTTACAGACGCGAATAATGGGCCTACAACACAGCCGTATACAGAGACGGATATACAACCGACACACAACACATTACAGGCTCATAAAGTCTCTACACCACACAAATCTAAATTTTAAACCATAAATCAAATCCCCAAACAGCACAAGAGAGTGGGATCGCGTGTATAAATCCTTTATAAAATATTATAGTCGCTTACTTGAGATACATCGGGATAAAGGCGTTTTACTTCAAGTAAGCGGATATGCGAATATTCATAAAATGAATTGTCCGGATTAGTTTTTTTTTTTTTTTTTTTTTTTTTTTTTTTTTTTTTTTTTTACAATTGGACCCAAAACAAAGAGCAGCCCAATTAACCTGTCGTTAGCAAAGCTTCTCTTTAGACCTAGCGATCCATTGGGCAGATGAAGTAGAGTTAATATTTTTTTGACGACACATGAAGGGATAATGTGGTCAGCACTTTGTCCAGCTGCCTTTAATTTTTCCCAACGTCAGGTACCCATCAGAGCTGGATGGACTCGAGGACGACAATAGGCCATACCGAGATCCAAACTTGAAACCTTCGGACTAGCAGTTAAACGTTTACCATTCGACCAGTGTTTCTTCCAGAATTTTTTCTCCGGGGGGGGGGGGGCACTTGAAATTTTCGGGGGGGGGGGGGAGGGGGGGGCGGTCAACATTTTCCGGGGGGGGGGGGGCGGACACTAGTAAAAGTGTATGTTTACTATATAAAATCCATCTCATTCGGGGGGGGGGGGGGGGGGGGGGCGGAAGACTTTCTTGCCCCCCCCCCCGAAGAAATGCCTGGAAGAAACTCTGCATTCGACCACACCGTGCCAGCCACTAAACCCGGATGAGTGGGAGACCACGATCAAGTCCAGAGTTTCTTTCCCGAATGAAATGCAATGTATAAAGAAAACATACTTTTACCAGTGTCCGCCCCCCCCCCCCCCCAATTTTAAGTGCCCCCCCCCCCCGGAGAAAAAAGTCCGGAAGAAACACTGTGAAGTTCATCTACGAAGTTGGACTTGGTGTTTGATCCCGCCCATTACTACAGGAGGAAGAACACTAGGATATCTTCTGTAACTGAGATAGTCTGCTTATAAGGCAGAGCAGACAGCATTTGTTGTTGAAGGCCCAGAGGTAAAAATTCATGGAAGTTGAACTATCGTGCTACCAGGAGGTGGGCTGGCTTCCCGTCTACCGGGGACAACATCTTGGTTGTCCCCAAGGACAAAAAATCTTGGTGGGCCCCAAGGAAAGGTGCTATAATAGTTTTGATTTTTAAAAAGTAGTTTGTAGTTATTTCTCCATTTTACTATTTCCATTCCTTCATGCCAAGGAGTAAAATCCAGACTACGATGGAGGAAAAAATTACACAACGAAAATTTTAATTTGGCGTTGGGGGCCCCTTCAAAAATTTCCCTGGCCTCTTGGATACAATATTAGTCCATCCCTGGTGCCATGTCGTAAAAGAGATGATTGGCTAAAACATGTCGACTATGATAAGATGACGGGTTAACTAAGATATGTAGTGGAACTAATGTAGTCACTGGCGTAGGCAGGGGGGGGGGGGGGGTTAGGGGGTCATAACCCCCCCCCCCCCATAGACCCCTCGGTATATATATAAAAAGTATGAGGGGGGGTGCAAAATCGAAAGTTTGAGGGGGGGGGGGTGCAAATCAAAAGTTTGTCCCCGGGTAAAAATTGGAACCCCCCCCCCCCCCCCCCCTTGAGACGATCCTGGCTACGCCACTGAATGTAGTGGATAGTGGAACTAATATGCCATGATAATCAGGTAATGAAGGAGCTTTACTAAATTAAGTCTTGTTCAGTCAACTTTAAAAAAAAATAAAGTTGTGATTCCAACACGGGCAAAGAAAAAAATATGT